ATGTATGTAATGTATGTAATGTATGCAATGTATGTAATGTATGTAATGCAGGTAATGTATGTAATGTGTGAAATGTATGTAATGTATGTAATGTATGTAATGTATGTAATGTATGTGACGTATGTTATGTATGTAATGTATGTAATGTATGCAATGTATGTAATGTATGTAATGCAGGTAATGTATGTAATGTGCGAAATGTATGTAATGTGCGAAATGTATGTAATGTATGTAATGTATGTAATGTATGTAATGTATGTAATGTATGTAATGTATGTATGTAATGTAATGTAATGTAATGTAATGTAATGTAATGTAATGTATGTATGTATGTATGTATGTAATGTATGTAATGTATGTAACGTCTGTATGTAATGTATGTATGTATGTATGAATGTAATGTAATGTAATGTAATGTAATGTAATGTAATGTAATGTATGTATGTATGTATGTATGTAATGTATGTATGTATGTATGGTAATGTATGTATGTATGTATGTAATGTAATGTAATGTAATGTAATGTAATGTAATGTATGTATGTATGTCTGTCTGTGTATGTATGTATGTATGTATGTATGTATGTAATGTATGTATGTATGTATGTATGTAATGTATGTAATGTATGTAATGTATGTAATGTATGTAATGTATGTAATTTATGTAATGTATGTAATGTATGTAATGTATGTAATGTATGTAATGTATGTAATGTATGTAATGTAAGTAATGTATGTAATGTATGTAATGTATGTAATGTATGTAATGTATGTAATGTATGTAATGTATGTAATGTATGTAATGTATGTAATGTATGTAATGTATGTAATGCATGTTATGCATGTTTTGCATGTTATGCATGTTATGCATGTTATGCATGTTATGCATGTTATGCATGTTATGCATGTTATGCATGTTATGCATGTTATGCATGTTATGCATGTTATGCATGTTATGCATGTTATGCATGTTATGCATGTTATGCATGTTATGCATGTTATGCATGTTATGTATGTTATGTATGTTATGCATGTTATGCATGTTATGCATGTTATGCATGTTATGCATGTTATGCATGTTATGTATGTTATGTATGTTATGTATGTTATGTATGTTATGTATGTTATGTATGTTATGTGTGTTATGTATGTTATGTATGTTATGTATGTTATGTATGTTATGTATGTTATGTATGTTATGTATGTTATATATGTTATGTATGTTATGTATGTTATGTATGTTATGTATGTTATGTATGTTATGTATGTTATGTATGTTATGTATGTTATGTATGTTATGTATGTTATGTATGTTATGTATGTTATGTATGTTATGTATGGTATGTATGTTATGTATGGTATGTATGGTATGTATGGTATGTATGGTATGTATGGTATGTATGGTATGTATGTATGGTATGTATGTATGGTATGTATGTATGTATGGTATGTATGTATGTATGGTATGTATGGTATGTATGGTATGTATGGTATGTATGGTATGTATGGTATGTATGGTATGTATGGTATGTATGGTATGTATGGTATGTATGGTATGTATGGTATGTATGGTATGTATGGTATGTATGGTATGTATGTTATGTATGGTATGTATGGTATGTATGTTATGTATGTTATGTATGTTATGTATGTTATGTATGTTAATGTATGTAATGTATGTAATGTATGTAATGTATGTAATGTATGTAATGTATGTAATGTATGTAATGTATGTAATGTATGTAATGTATGTAATGTATGTAATGTAGGTAATGTATGTAATGTATGTAATGTATGTAATGTATGTAATGTATGTAATGTATGTAATGTATGTAATGTATGTAATGTATGTAATGTATGTAATGTATGTAATGTATGTATGTATGTATGTATATATATATATATATATATATCGCACATCCCATCAAAACTGCTACACCGCAGTTGAGGATGCTACAGTACAATGATTCTAGGGACCTTTCCTAGTGGCTTTCACGAAATCGTGGCGGCAGGTGACAACAACTGTGGCTGTTGCACGAGCGTTGCCAACCCTGATGGTGACTCTGGCTGGGGGATAAACATCTACCAGATCAGGGATGTGAATGCTTTCTTCTATTACATGCGAACTTGCACAGAATCTCGGCAATGTCTTCAGAGACTCTTTTGGACATGAAAGTAAAAGGGTCGAACATGGTCGAACACTCCCAAAAGATCGGTTCCCAACCCTACCCCCAACCCCCTGTCCCATGTCTCGTGTCCTTGCCCCAACCATAAACCCGACCCCAAAAGGTGTGAGAGTATCGGCAACCAATGTCTAGGTCATGTGATGTATGAAGTTTTGTTTTCTTGTCCCATCCCCCACCCCTAAACCCAACCCGAAAAAGGACAGACAATCTAATGAAACTGGCATCTGGAGTGATCCAGACATTTTTGTTAGAAAAAACTCAACAGTATGGCGAAAGTCATGCTTTGGGTGTCTCAGGTGGTCCTTAAACCCACCCAAGCACGCACACGCACACAGGAAAAGCACTTGGCAAACATGATGTTGTCAACACATTGGTCCTTGCATCCAGGAATGCTCTTGCGTCAGCTCTGACAAATATTTCTCAGCAGCACGGAGCTTCGGTGATTGTGCAGCCTTTTGTGCTGCCCAGAAGTTTCCTCGGTTCCACTACGAAACTACTGCTGACGCTACAGGCACCTGTGCTTGTTGCACCTTCGGCGGTATACCCGGTACGGAAGCATCCACTGGCAGTGTGTATACTTACGCTGACAATGCTACTGTAGTAGTGGAAACTTCACATGGTATGGCACCATGCTTCCTTCCACTCCTTTCTCTAATGTCTTTGTCACTTCTGTGACCCGGCCGTTTCACATTGTTTCACATTGTTTCACCCTGTCATTTGAATGGGTCAGCGCCTGTAAAATGCTGAAAATATTCGCATATCCCAGCCATCATTGGGGTATCTCTTAGTGTACAGCAGGTCCAATCAGAGAACCTAGTGAAATTTATATGAAGGATTATTATTCTTTTTCAAATCCAATTCCAAGCTTTTTCGAAATTCGTTTTCCAGCCTCATCCTATTGCATCTTGCAGTGCTGTTTGCACTCTATACATCTCTAGACTATGTTACTGTTTCTAGCACGTACCAGAGTAGTAAGTGATTGCGATAGAAGACGACAGCTTTTTAATTCCCTATTTCTTGGGCTTTCAGTTTACAACTGCTATACAAACTTGAACGAGCCATGGCAAACTGTTTTTGCTTCGTTCAAAATAGAAATGATATGGATTGCCTCAGCCCCAGGTCTGAGATTTGGAACGCATGATGAGTGATGGGAAGAACATGCACGTGAGGATAATGTTGAATGACAGCTGAGTTGAAAAATGTTACACCATTTGATTCTTATCCAGCACTGCCTATTTTCTCTCCACAATCCACACTAGAAAGTTGATTTGTGGCAGGCGCCTGTATATAGTTGGTATGGGTTTGCTATCCCAAACTCTAGTTGCGATCATGTCATTCTGGAATGATTGTGCACAGAACATGTCCTTATTTCTTCAACGCTTGAAGGCAACCCTTTCCAAAAAGACAGCCTTCGCTAAAGATGTGGGGTTCTCTACAAGGATTGACTAGAAGATTTATCAATTTCCTGTGAATAGCGCAATTGGCCTATCTGCCAAATTGCGTGGAAGAGCAGAGGATAACTATATCAGACTATATCGGCGATTAGATAGCCATTTGAGTTTAAGGAGTACATTTCAGCATTGTCTCCATTTGTTGTCCTGAGTTCGATGTCACTGATGAAGAAAACAACAACCGGAATGAATATGGATGATTGTAACTTTAAAACATCAGGCTTGAGGTTTAACTTGGGTTAAGGTCAGTAAAAAGGTATCCACATCCGTTCTCATCGTTCGCATCATGTCCAAGATACATATGATACATGATCTCTTGGTGAGGCCGTTTTCGCAATGAACCTCCTCAATATTCATCAATATTCTGCATCTCACACGGTAGATCACAGGGGTGTTGGGACATGTTTGGATAGGATTCGTCCTCAGTGGCTCTTTCGATTGTATTCCTAAAGATTTGAACTGTTTCGAAGGGCTTCGCTCCGCAGCTCCTCTTGGTTCTCTAAGTTTGTGGGACTAATATATATATATACACATATATATATATATATATGTATATTAATATGGCATTGATTGAGATATTGATTGAGAGATTTGCCTTGCATAACCAGGATCTCTGGCCATTTTGTCCAAAAAGCTGTGCAGATTTTGCAAGTCCTCGTGCATTGAATGGTGTTCAGACCTTGAAATCACCAGACTTTTCGGAGATTGTATCCTGCAAATCGTCTGAGTCGTTTGGTAGCAGGAATCATGGGCAAGCTATGCTTGGCTCGAAATGATTTGTCAGAACTTCTTGAAGATTGCAAAAAAATGGTCCAGAAACGAGCCATGGTATTTCCCTTGCTGTGGGTTTTACACACCGATCTGATTGGAAGGACCGTAGCTGACGGGCCGATTTCATCTGCATCTACGACCACCACAACTTCTTCGAAGAGCAGCTCCCCCTTCATCATCGAGCCAGTTTGTACCAAATGCAACTGTAACCCTGGTCGGCCGCAGTGGAAAGGCCAGCAATCTTTGGAGAGCTGTGCCCTTACTTGCGCGCAAGAGGGATCCTGGTTCAGACATGCAAGTGGTACAAACGAAGCTGGAAATCCAGGTCCCTTGCATGTGTTTGGGTGATTGTCCCGGATCTAGATTTCAATCCCAGGGCAACATGTGGCTAAAGACACGCGTTCATCAAACATGTTCTTGTCATCTCTTGTCTAAGTTGGCTAGTTGATGGATGATGATGGATGTTCGATGGGTACTGTAAGGATTCCATTGCCACCCAAAAAGTGGAGGGCTGCCATTTTTCCCTGAAATAGTGGCACCAGGTGACAACAACTGCGGCTGTTGCCTGGACGTTCAGACCCTGGATGAGGAAACTTTCTGGGGGATCAATGTCTACCAGTTCCGTGATCTGAATTCGTTCCACTACTACCTGCGAACCTGTACGGAATCTTGGTGATGTTTAGCTAAGTGAAGTATACTGGTATACTGTTCTTGGTGATGTTAATTGCATAGAAAGCCGCCTGGAGGATGCTAATTATTACTTTATATTACTTTGTTTGCCACGTTTCAGGCATCGGAATTTCCCCCAGTTGATTCACTACTGATTCACCCAAAGTTTGGGCACTGCAAAGTTGTTCCACATGTTCTGAAAAACATCTTGCAACCAGGAATGCTCTTGCATCAGCTCTGACATGTATTTCTCAGCAGCACGGAGCTTCGATGACTGTGTAGCCTTTTGCGCTGCCCAGAATTTTCCTCATTTCCAGTACGGGACTGCTGATGGCGCTATGGGCACCTGTGCTTGTTGCAACTCTGACACCACGGAAACATCTGTTGGTGGTACTAGCGTGTATACTTATGCTGAGAGCAAAGTGGGGGTTGATGGTACTGTTGTCTGGACTACAGAGCCCATTGGCTCCTCCCTCGTCATCGAGCCAGTTTGTACCAAATGCAACTGTAACCCTGGTCGGCCGCAGTGGAAAGGCCAGCAATCTTTGGAGAGCTGTGCCCTTACTTGCGCGCAAGAGGGATCCTGGTTCAGACATGCAAGTGGTACAAACGAAGCTGGAAATCCAGGTCCCTTGCATGTGTTTGGGTGATTGTCCCGGATCTAGATTTCAATCCCAGGGCAACATGTGGCTAAAGACACGCGTTCCTCAAACATGTTCTTGTCATCTCTTGTCTAAGTTGGCTAGTTGATGGATGATGATGGATGTTCGATGGGTACTGTAAGAATTCCATTGCCAGCCAAAAAGTGAAGGGCTGCCATTTTTCCCTGAAATAGTGGCACCAGGTGACAACAACTGCGGCTGTTGCCTGGACGTTCAGACCCTGGATGAGGAAACTTTCTGGGGGATCAATGTCTACCAGTTCCGTGATCTGAATTCGTTCCACTACTACCTGCGAACCTGTACGGAATCTTGGTGATGTTTAGCTAAGTGTAGTATACTGGTATACTGTTCTTGCTGATGTTAATTGCATAGAAAGCCGCCTGGAGGATGCTAATTATTACTTTGTTTGCCACGTTTCTGGCCTTGGAATTTCCCTGCCCAGTTGATTCACCACTGATTCACCCAAAGTTTGGGCACTGCAAAGTTGTTCCACATGTTCTGAAAAACATCTTGCAACCAGGAATGCTCTTGCATCAGCTCTGACATGTATTTCTCAGCAGCACGCAGCTTCGATGACTGTGTAGCCTTTTGCGCTGCCCAGAATTTTCCTCATTTCCAGTACGGGACTGCTGATGGCGCTATAGGCACCTGTGCTTGTTGCAACTCTGACGCCACGGAAACATCTGTTGGCGGTACTAGCGTGTATACTTATGCTGAGAGCAAAGTGGGGGTTGATGGTACTGTTGTCTGGACTACAGAGCCCATTGGCTCCTCCCTCGTCATCGAGCCAGTTTGTACCAAATGCAACTGTAACCCTGGTCGGCCGCAGTGGAAAGGCCAGCAATCTTTGGAGAGCTGTGCCCTTACTTGCGCGCAAGAGGGATCCTGGTTCAGACATGCAAGTGGTACAAACGAAGCTGGAAATCCAGGTCCCTTGCATGTGTTTGGGTGATTGTCCCGGATCTAGATTTCAATCCCAGGGCAACATGTGGCTAAAGACACGCGTTCCTCAAACATGTTCTTGTCATCTCTTGTCTAAGTTGGCTAGTTGATGGATGATGATGGATGTTCGATGGGTACTGTAAAGATTCCATTGCCACCCAAAAAGTGGAGGGCTGCCATTTTCCCCTGAAATAGTGGCACCAGGTGACAACAACTGCGGCTGTTGCCTGGACGTTCAGACCCTGGATGAGGAAACTTTCTGGGGGATCAATGTCTACCAGTTCCGTGATCTGAATTCGTTCCACTACTACCTGCGAACCTGTACGGAATCTTGGTGATGTTTAGCTAAGTGTAGTATACTGGTATACTGTTCTTGCTGATGTTAATTGCATAGAAAGCCGCCTGGAGGATGCTAATTATTACTTTGTTTGCCACGTTTCTGGCCTTGGAATTTCCCTGCCCAGTTGATTCACTACTGATTCACCCAAAGTTTGGGCACTGCAAAGTTGTTCCACATGTTCTGAAAAACATCTTGCAACCAGGAATGCTCTTGCATCAGCTCTGACATGTATTTCTCAGCAGCAAGGAGCTTCGATGACTGTGTAGCCTTTTGCGCTGCCCAGAATTTTCCTCATTTCCAGTACGGGACTGCTGATGGCGCTATAGGCACCTGTGCTTGTTGCAACTCTGACGCCACGGAAACATCTGTTGGCGGTACTAGCGTGTATACTTACGCTGAGAGCAAAGTGGAGGTTTCTGTTGGCAGTACTAGCGTTGCTGAGTCTGCCCAGACAGGAAGCGCGATAGGAAGTGCACATCCTATTGTACCATACCTCCTTCATGTCATATTTTTGCCCTTCCTTTGTTGAGATCCGACGTGTTTCACGTTTGACCCCTGTGTAATGCATCTTCGGCCCAAGGCCAAGGTGTATTTCGAGCAGACCTGCAAAGCAGACGCCGGCCATCACCATGGTATCTAAGCAAACACGCTTAACATATTTCAATAGGTCATCCGCGTTTCCAGCAACATCTTGAGTGGTAGCTGAAAGTGATGAAAGGGCGCCACTTCCACGTTTCGTGTTTCTTTTGGTATCAAGGCACCCAGTTTTTGTTTCAGAATTTCAAGAAGTCTAGTAGATAATGCCGTTTCAGTTGTCCAAGTCTTGTCCAAATCTTGGAACTGGAACACATGAAGGAAGGGTGGAGGGATAGGTCCAATTTGCAAAGCCTTGGGGAGAAAGGACTAAGTCCAAAACATTTCCAGCTGATTTGAATAAGTTCATTGATGTTCATTGATATTTATTGTTTGGGGTTCATGTTTGACGGGAACGCTCAGGTTTACCTTAGAGTCGAGTGTGTGTTGGACTGTAGATAAACCTGAAGCTGGATTGACATTGGGTCCTAAAACACGACCGTTGGGCTTGCGTTTCTGTGAATGAACGGAACCTAATTGAGCAGGTCCTTGCCATTATAAGTTAGGAAATGGGTTTGTTTTGACCACCAAGACTTCAAAAACATGATCCCACTGCGATTACCATTGCTGGTCCTGTTTCACCTACGATTGGGTGTATGAGAAATAGGGGCCCTACGTCTTGACTCTTGGCTCTTTGGCGCCTTTTTTCCCGTGATTCTCAGTAAAGATATTGTAAAGATACGGGCAGATATTCTTGCATTTTTCAGATAGATAGATAGATAGATAGATAGATATATAATATTGTGCCGTGGTAGTTTGGGGCGCCATATTTGTTTGTGTCATCTTTGCTGATCTCTGGAGCCCCAGGTTACAACTGCCGCTTCTGCGCCGCCTCCGACGTCCTGGTGAGTCCGGAAGCCAGGACTTATCTCCCATAGGATCCATGGTGCTGCTATATATATGCTATATATATATGGTAACATGGATCCCATCAATATACCAAATGTTAGCCGAAATTATAGTTACATACCCTTAGGATCCATGTATGCTATATATATGGTAACATTTATATACCATCAATATACCCCAAATGTCCAAATGTTAGCATTAATATACCAGCACCATGGATCCGTCATGGGTCTGGCGTCCATGATTCTTGACCCGGTGCCAACAAAAAGATTCACTAATCACTAAGCATGACCAATTGCCCAACGGCTCCAACCGGCGCCCAGGGCGCTACATCCCTGGTGAACGTCGTAGCCACGCTGTGCATTTCGACGGACACGCCTATGTCACAGCAGTTTTGGGAATCAGTGACCCTGAGAACTACCAGGCCGCAGAGCACGACCAGACCAAGGGAGGCACCCAGGAAAACAGCAATTTCTATAATTACAAAGCAAGTACTATATACATTACATTGATTTGCAGATTTCCTCACCTGCCACGTGACGACCATTAGATTTTATGCCAACATCCAGATCATAGCCAATGTGATCCCCAGCTGGCAGCTCATAGCCAGGCTCTGTTGGCACCGCCGGACCTGAAAACGATGCCGGATAATATGCCAGATTTTGAATGTCAGAATGAATGTCAGATAAAATGTCAGATACAATGTCAGAATATAGTTCAGGCAGAATTTCAGTTGGTAGGGATAACTCGAAGAAAGGTAAGTATATCCCATAGGATCCATGTATTGTATGTATGCTAACATGACTGGGGTATATTGATGGGATCCATGTTGCTGTACCATATATATATAGCATACATGGATCCTAAGGTATGTAACTATAATTTCGGCTTCGCGAGACTTGATCTGGTCTCCATAGTTCCAGCTTCCTGGTTGCAGGGCGGTCTCTACATTCAGCCCGACCCGGGCGTGGCGTCACGAACATACTTTCGTATCGAGCCGGGTGACTTGCTGGTTCAGAGCTTAGACAGGTGTCAGCTTCATGTGCGAATGTCTAGATCTGTATATAATTTGTTTAAATCCGTTTATATTTATGTCAGTCATATGTGACGTCTGTATCAAAGTAAAGTACATTAAAGTACTGTATAATGAGAGAATCTCCTTCAAATACGGTAGGCACCCTTGGGTCAGCTCGGGTACATGCCGTGGTTTTCAATTTGAATTTCGATTAGTTTGGCTAGGAACTTGGTTGCTGCAAGAGTTGCTGTCGTTGAAGTGTGCTTCTTGTGCCTTGCGCACCAAACAAGTCCTTGTATAGCTCCTTTGGTACACCTTACTGTAATGACCACATATGACCACTGGTCAGTCTGGCAACCATACTGAACCATTCTCAACCTGAAGAATGTGTGTGTATGGTGTGTATGTGCGCGTGTATATCTCGTGTCCCTTTTAGTTTGTGTGCACCCCAGCAAGAAAACTCTGCTGACTTCCAATGTGTTGCAAGCCTCCGAGAGATTTGCCTTGCTCATGGTGCTCACTCATAGCCACCGCATTCTTTATTTGATGACTAAGAAACAGATGGCTTAATGTGTTTGCAGCCTCCATGGATGTAATTATCCGCTGCAGGTCCGTGCAAAAAAGTTATGCATCTTATATGCTTCAAATTCTAGACAAGACTGAAACATTTCAGGTTAGTATCAAGATGCAGTCCATGTCACATCAGCGTGGAATTTCAACGACATCTTGGATCACCAGGTGCATTCCTTTGACCTTCAGCATGGTGTGTGGGGCCCAGTCAACTCATCACGAAAAGTTTGTCGCAGATCCTATACCTTCCCATATCACCTTTTGGGCAGTCTCCACTTCTGAAGTTGCAGTCTGTGTTGGTTATCATGGCGTGACAAAACTTGGCCCTGGCCTCACCCAACGCATAATGACATGCATTGAATTTATCATCTTGTCCAACGAATTTTCCCTGATAACCTGCAACAAGTATGAGGCAGTCCTATGTCCATTGAAGGCATCAATTGGAAAGATAGATGGCAGTGTGTCAAAACCTTGTACCCCTGGTGAACATCAAAATAGCTGGTAAATGGATGTTCATCCCCCTAAAAATGGTATTAATAGGTATTGATCCATACCCAGATGGATCAATTCATGTGAAGTCGGGTTGTTGTCCCAATGACCTGCTGCCATTGGTTTCATCCTCAATGCAGTTGTGACATGTTGTGACTAGCTAAGGTTCACGTTTGGAAAGGGATCAGATACAGTTTAGTCTTTTGGATCAAAGACTCGCTACAGGCTCAAGTTGGCGGGATTTTTTTGGATTCAGCAGAGACAGCGTCGCAGATCTTTGGTTCAACACAAACGAATCAACGAGAATCAACGAGCGTAACTGCCCTTCAATGCCTTTCATCAAAGCGATCTTTGGGAACTTTGGATATTGTTTTGGCTCAAGCTTTGTGAAAACGGCCAGGGCCTCCAACCAGATCCACCACAGGGCCACTCCATGTGACACACCATGTGACGCAGGAGGTCCCAACGACCTCTGCCTCGTTGGGGTTGCGTCGAGGCGTACTACCTGGAAACGTTTGCCCTGATCTTTGGTGCAGTGGTAAACATACGCAGCCACAATCACAGCACATGGTGCTGACAGGCTGCTTGCAACTGACTCACATGTATTTGCGAGGCCTGAACTAATATTAGCTTCTACTTGGCAGTATATACTTGTATTGGCAGCATTGCCAGCATTTCCAAAGACGATACTAGCGGAAAGCAGAGACGAATGGAGAACAGTCGTGCCTCCGTCCACAAAACATAATTTTGCGGGAGTTGCTGTTGATTGAGAATGTGCCCCATGGAAGTGCCTGCGGCAGATTTTCAATCAAGAGCAACGCCCACTTCGCTTCAATCGTGTTCCTTTGCTTTGCAGGTGGATCACCATTTGTTGTGGTCATCAACTTGGCCCTTCCGTGGCCAAACCTCTTCCGTTGTTTAAGGTGCTGCACCGCCCCACAATTCACAGCGAAACCATTATATATCGATTCTTGATGCCTTCAGGTAATATAGGTTCCGCAAAAAATCTGGATTAGCAGTAGCATCTTCTGGAATGATTACTAAGGCAACAGTGCTGTATAGTGCTGTTGCGTGAGGTGTTTGCCGAAGACCTCCAGGATTTGAAAAGAAGCTCCCTCAACTGGCCGAAGTTGGTCATGCAGAATCCGAAGTTGGAGGTTGAACTGGCCGGAAGTGAGCTGATGCTCAGGTGTTCCGGTCTGCGCCTGCAAGATATGATAGGCAATGAAAGAACTCTGGGATGCCACATATAAATTATCGGCGTTGAAGCACGACAACATCGTGCGTGCAGACAATCAAGATGTACGACCACCTGTGTGCGATTCTGGAGCAGGAAAGCGGCAGCTGCAGCATGTTTGCCACGTCCCAGCAGTGTGGGGCTTCTGAGAAATGCCGTGCTTCCGGGAGGTTCTGGAGCAGACAGACGGCAGCTGCAGCATGTTTGCACCTCCCAGCGGTGTGTGGCTTCCGAGAAGTGCCGGTGATGGAGCAGAAAGACGGCAGCATGCAGCACGTTTGCGCTGCGCGGAAGTTACCGAGCTGCTTTTGGCAGATAAAGCCTCGGTGGAGGTCTCTTGTTGCTGCCTGAAAGAAAAGTCTGGCAAAAATGTTCGGCAATGATGGATTTGTGTTTTGTTCAATTTGTCCTTTCGAGCTAAATGGATATGGGTGCTTCTGAAGTCGGAGGTCAGTCCCCAACAAGTAGACGACGCGGATCTACTTAGGAGGCGTCAAAAGAAAGCCGAGGTTCATGGCATGATCACATGCATTTGGGCGCATTAGCATCCAATGACCTCAGTTCCAGTAAGGAGGGCTTCTACTCAAAATGCGCCAGCTGGTGAAGTTCGCAGGCTGTTCGTGAAGGCACTACACCTTGGTACCATGGTCTGGCAGTTGGAACCTCAGAAGATTGCGTCTCAGGCATTGAATTCTAAAGAACTCCAGCAGCTAGCGATTCGACTAGCGGTTCTCAGATCTATCATCAAAGAATCATACAGGCCAAACTTGCGATGGGCAGCTGCTGTTCTATCCAACCATCCCTAGAACATTGAAATTATTGAGATGTGATTCTTCCGGTTTTGTTTCTTCTTTGTTCCCCATGCCAAAAGCGTGTCCTCACTCAGGGGTCCTTTTAAGGGAGGTGTAAAGCCCGGGTTTGTTCAGGGTTCGCGCTGTGGGTTGCTGGTTTTGTTTGCGCCGTCCTGTGCAAAAAGTTCCCTTGTGAGACGTCCATGCGCATTCTTAATGGGCTGGCTCGCGCAAAAGTTGCGTAGCACTTGGCTCATGTTGGAAGTGCATATTTTTCCGTGCGCGGCGCTCGTTTTTTGAGCTATGGCAGCTATGATCGCCATTTTCGTTTGCACGTTGTAAAACGTTAGCAGGCAGCGGTCAATGTGAGAGGTGGTTTCGGGCGCAGGTTGTGGTGCACTTGGACGAGGTCTTGAAAGTCCGGAAAGTTTTTTTGGTGAAACTGTCGTCATTTCTGATTTGGTACATGATGAGGATTTTGCGTGGCAGGCACGGTAATTCGCTCTCGTCACTTTGTGCTTGTCGGATCGCTCTCGCTGTGGCGCACCACAACCTTCTCATCACTTTTTGCATGTCAGAGCGCTCTTATGGCGCGGTGTTCATGTTAGCTGTAGCTGATATTCAGAGGTCCTGACAAAAGGATCTTCATGATCTTGCGAGAGTTTCATATATGGCGTCCTTCGAAGTCATTTTCAAATCATATGCAGATCTTGACCGAAGTATTGTTGAGGCCCTTGTAAGAAGATTTGTAAAGGCCCCGCTGAAATCCTTTTTAAGAGGCTCTGATATTGAAGATGACCTGCATAAGAGGTGTGCACAGCTTTTGTGGGAAACTCTAACTGAAGTATGAAGATCTTGGAAGGTCCTCTGCAGCAGGTCCTTCTATCACGATCGATCTTGTGAGGTTCTCTTAGTGGTCTTGGTATGAAGATCTTGATCAAACTCTTGCAGATTGCAGACGTCCTTGAGAAGATCTTGTGAAGATCCTAGTAAAATCCTCTAAGGCGTCTTTGTGTGGTCTTGTGAAGTCCTTGTGAGAAGATCTTGTGGAGATCCTGGTGGAGTCCTATATAAGAGGCACTTGCATGAACACCTTGAAGATGCCATGTTTAGAGGTGCTCGTATGAAAATGCTGTTGGGGGTCTTAGGACGTTCTTGTATGAAGATCTTGTAAGAGTATGAAGATCTTGTAAGATCCTCTACATGTTTTGTGAGGTTTTCTTGGAGGTCCTGGTATGAGGCCCTGGTTAGTAGAGCGTTGCTTCTAACAAAAACATACAAAAACAAGTTCCTGCTGCTGCAGTTCTGCTGCAGCTCCGATAGTGTCTAGCTTGACCAGTTATTGTTTCCGTACCTGTTGTTGCCTACCCTGATGCTGAGGAGCAAGATGACCCTGATGCTTTGTACAACTTGGCTCAAAACTATGAGTCGGCGTCCCAAGAATGAAGACAAGTGATTCCATCAGCAGGTTTGTGGAGTCCAAATCATCACAAGCGGATTTTCACGCCACAGACATGCTGATCTTGGAGATGTAAGCTGCTTGCAGAGAATCTCCAGGCACACCGTATTTGTATCCACGGGGGTTGATGCATCTTTCACAGCATCAGCAAGCAACCCTCTTGGTAGCAACAGCCCCGTCGCGTGAGCATATCGTGATCTGGGCACAAGTGATCATGGCTCTTCGGCTCTTCCGATCTGTGCATACGTTGTTGATCTAAGATGTGGGACGTGGGATAATACGCAACATGTTTTTTTTTACCCATAGTTCAATGAAGAATTATGAGGCAATGTGGCAGGTACATCTGTGCGATTCACATGGGCTATGTGTCCTTAACTTTGCCACCTGTCCATTTCTTTACATCGCACAAAGGAGAGAAGGGACATACTCCCTGACAAACAAGACAGGTTCATATACCACATCAGAAGAAGATCAGAAAACATCGGTTTCCTTTTGGGGATGATTCATTGTTCCCCACCTGTCAGGTTAGGGTTGTTCCCCACCTGTCAAGTGAGGGTCGCTAGATTTTATGTCAGCTCTACTCCTCGTCGTCCTCCTCCTCCTTCTCCTCCGCTTCTTCCGCCTCGCCGGACCACAACTGCAAGCTCGTGATCGCAGTGTTCCCCGCCGGACCCGAACAGCAAGCTCCCCAAAGGTTCCGCTATTGAAAACAATCAATAGCTATTGAAAAAAACTATAGCCTATTGATTAATCTTGAAAGTCAACCGAAAGATTCCAGCCATCACTACACTCAACCCTTGAATGTGGCTGTTCAGGCTGTTCAGCCACCACACTCAACCTTGAATGTTGCTGTTCAGCCACCACGCTCAACCCTTGGATGTGGCTTTTCAGCCACCACACTCAACCCTTGAATGTGGGTATCCAGCCACCACACTCTAAGCCGCTGGAGCTTTCTTTTTTTTTCTTTTCCGCTTGCTTGAAGTTTCCTGCTCACTTTGCCAATTTTTCCTTGGCTGCCAAAACATCAGCTAAGGAGCTACCCTTCTTCAGCGTCTCCATGAGCTTACTTGCAGCCTTGCTGGTTTTCTCGACCTGCTTAAAAGTCACCACCTGGAAAAGCTCACACCCTTCGCCACCACTGCCACAGCAGTTGTCTTTCTAATAGCGCATGAGCCTTGTCTATCTTATCTCAGTTTCCTTGTAGTTGACCTTGTCCTTGTTCACCTTTGTCTTTGCTATCTTACTCTTCTTGTTGCTCTCCTTCGAAATCTTGCTTGCAGGCTTCTTGTGACTGGCAAGTGGGAAAGCTGGAAGGTCTGAGGGCGGCATTGGGTGTGGACGCAGGTAAAGGCCCAAAGAAAAGCAGTGGTGCTTCAGGGTCAAAGGCAAAGGAGGAAGAAGACTCAGGAGAAGGAAATGAGAAAGGAATTTGTGCGACCCAAGATGTGTTGGATTTGGAAATCCCCACAACTCCTGGAAAGGATGGCCGCAGCTTGTTGGATGCTGCCCTGCAGGTGTCACCTGTGCCTGCCAGGAGCAGAACCTCAAAGCTGCCATGGGCTTGAAGAAGCCTGCTGCAGCTGCGAGCTTCGCATGTGTGTGCAGTCAGCCAATTTCCCCATCCAGTGCTGACCTCATCCCCAAAGGAAAGCTTTCCTTCAAACCAGGGAAATCTCTGCACACTTGGATGAACCCTTCTGTCAAATCCTTGTAATTGAGAAGGGACCCATCACTCACTGCCATCAACTTCAACAGGAAGTCTTCCTGAGCTAGTAGGGCTCCACCATGGATCGCTTGTGTCTTGATGCTCAGATACTAGCCAAACTGAAAAAGCCTGGGACTGCCCCACCTTCCTCTCCAGGTGCTCCATATCTGTGCTGTGAGTTGGTTGCCTTCTGCAGCCTCCTTTGCCCATGGTGATTTCTAGCTCCTATTATAGAAGCTTCGAGCATGAATCCTACAGGGGTGACTATCTGATTCTCTGTGTATATATATATAAATACAAAGATATGTGGCTGTCCAGCCACCACACTCAACCCTTGCCAAGTCTTCTGGCTATCAAGCCAGCACCGCTTAAGCAAACCTAGCACGCGGCTATCCAGCCACGAAAAGCAAGCCTCACATGTGGCTACTTCCAGCCACATTGTATGTTTTTCAAGGAAAACTACTTGTCAAAAATCAATCGAAAAATCAATCTGTAAACTTTCAAAGAAAGCAGATTCTATTGGAAAAAAACTGTTTTCCATCGAAGATTGATTGTGCTAAAAGTTCAATTGCTATTGATTTTTTTCCATGGAGGAGCCTTTGGGCAGGATCAGAGTGTTCCCCGCGAGACCTCAACTGCAAATGCTAGATCGCAGTGTTCCCCGCCGGACCCGAACAGCGAGCCCTGGGTCAGAGTGTTCCCGGCCGGACCTCCACCGCAAGCTCAGGATCAGAGTGTTCCCCACCGGGCCTCAACCACAAAGAATCTCCGAAGATATACCAGATAGAAAGCGAAAAAGAATGCCAGAAGATATACCTGATACACATGCCAGAAAGAATGTCAGAAGATTTGCCAGATAGAACGCCAGGAGGAAGAGGAGGAGAGGGCAGCTCTGATGAAATCTAGAGACCGACGAAGGTCGCTAGATTTCATCAGAGTTGTCCTCTCCTCCTCTTCCCTGCCAGAAAGTTTTTCCAGAAAAATGTCAGAACATATGCCAGATAGAATGTCAGAATATGTGTCAGATAGAATGTTTTGGTGGGGATCACCCGAAGTAAGTAATTAGATTTTATGTCAGCCTGCCCGCCTCCTCCTCCCTCCTTCCTTCCTTCCTTCCTTCCTCCTTGCTCAGCTCCTCACCGGACCTCAACTGCAAGCTCTAGATCGCTGTGTTCCCCGTCGGACCCCAACAGCAACCTCTGGATCAAAGTGTTCCCCGTCGTACCTCCACCGCAAGCTCAGGATCAGAGTGTTCCCCTCCTGCCGGACCTCAACCGCGAGCTCCGGAGGGCCTGAGCCACAAAGAATCTCCGAAGATATACCAGATAGAATGCCAGAAGAGATACCAGATTTATATGCCAGAAAGAGCGCCAGAATGAATGCCTGAAAAGATGGCAGATAGAACGTCGGAATAGATGCCAGATAGAATGCCAGAAAGAATGTCAGAAAATTTGTCAGAATAGATGCCAAATTGAATGTCGGATAGAATTTCAAAGTATATGCCGCAAAGAATGTCAGATAGAATGTCAACATGAATATGCCATACATACTTCCAGATGTTATGTCAGAAACTATGCCGCAATAGTGTTTCAGGGTGGGGATCACTCGCATGTTTTTTTTCTGTGTGTTAAAGAATTCTCTGCCAAACATGGAGACAACCACTGGACAAAACTACAGCTGAGTGCCGAGGTATGGTCTTTTTGGCCATCGAAAGGACATCTCAAAGGCCTAATGCGAAACCCATGGCGCACATGTTTACAGCACGTTTGATGCTATGGTTTTGACGGCTATGAATATTGCATCGATTATCATGGGTTTCATTGAACACATTTTATTTTGATGACATACGTCTATGATCTGTATGTGTATATATTATTAATATGCTACTTGGAAAACCAAGTGGCAACAAAATAACAGGGCACTAATGAAAGTTGCAAAAAATCTGCCACTGACGAAATAGTGGCAATTTTTGCGTTCTAGGCCTCTGCGATAACATTGGTAGTGTTGCCCAATCCTTCCATTTCTTTTGGCTGGAGCAAAAACATTATTACAGCGATATAATGATCTAACGCGTTTCAATTTTACTGTGGTATATGCATTTTTTGATTTACCATGAAAATGACGACATCAAAATGGGCCTCCCTGAGAAAGTAAATCACTTTTTCCGCAAAAAATCCAGTTTCCAATGTTTCTCCCGATGTTCCCATTGATTTTTCACAGAGTGTTCACAAATTTTTACACGCTGGGTTCGGACTTGGCATTCATGCAGTTTCGATCGTTTCAGAACCAACGGTAGATCTGAAATGCAGGTCACCCGCAAGACGTTTCCCAGTTGCATGTGCTGTCTTTCGGCCGCTGAAACCTGGTATTTTGGCAGGCGAAAAGTCAAATCCAAACTGGATTTGCGTGCTTTGCCGGCATGTTCACCTGCAAGCACGGGGGAGAAAATGCGCAAAATTGAATGAACATGCGCAGAATTCATGCGTACTTTTTCGTACGTGTTTTTTCTTGTAATTTTCTTGCGTTTTCTTGCCACTTTCTCATTTTCGTACGGTTTCGTACGGTGCCGTACATGAGATCTATTGAGATCTTGCGGTGTCGCGCTGTGTCGTTCCGGCTCGCATTCTCATTTTTTTGGGGCGTGCGTGGGTAAACGCAGGCATCAGTGACAACAAGGATGCGAATGATCCTCTTCTAATGCTCTTTGGTAGTCAGAGGGCCCCTCGAAATTCCCCCGTTAAATGTGCTCATGTCTTGGTGCACTATTTTGTCATCAATCGAACGCATTCATATAAAATTCTATAAAATTATTGCCGCCCTGGAGAAAGGTGCTCCTACTGTAATGCAATGGTTTTTGTGTTTGACAATTCCTCAATTTGCCCTGATCTTCTCACCCTTTGACTTGTCAATGGCTGTTTTGTGTGAAATGTCCAGTCTATGCCTAAAAAGACCTTACTCCTATACGTGAACCAATGTCCTTTCTATTTCTATGACTTCTCTGCGGTCTATCCTATATTGACTTTGTCTATATACATCTACGCCTGTTGTGTATCGAATCTACAGTATACTTTGTGCAGTTTATCCACGATTTGTCCTCCACCTATAGTTTTTCACAGCTGCCAGGGGTCAAGGGAGGTGCCTATTGGAAGTTTGAAACTCAAATAAATGTCCATTGGGGAGCAAAACCTGTCATGTCGCATTCCCATGTAAGTTTACCTGCCGAGGAAAGGCCAGCGTTGCACAGAAGGGAGGGAATCTTCGGGTGAGCAAATTAAAGCGTTCCCTGAGCGAAGAAGAAAAGGCATCCCTGGATACTTTTGCAGTCATCATTTGTTGAGCCTGCAGGTTCCACACAACCAAACCTTGACAGAATAATTTCAACATGTTTTGAGGCCCAAATTGCTCGGCTGACTTACTAAAATCTATGCTGGCGGGGCTAGAGGACTTCAAATGGCAAAAAGTTGCACGTTTTGCCAAAGTTGCCTATTGAAAAGTTGCAGAAATGAGTGCCACTGTGAGAACAACGCGCGAACTTTGAAAGTTGCCTTTAAAAACCAGCAACTTGGGTTTTCCAGGTGTGTATGCTTATACATTGAACCATTGAACCATTGAACAACATCATCAATCAAATCAAGCGGTTAATCAGGCAGGTGATAGACGTGGCTTCTGCACTCAGCAGGCCATCGAACTTTACGAGCGAAGCGCTCAAACTGGGCATCACTTTGCTCAAAACAACTTGGCGCTCGGGTGCCCAGACGCTGATGTGTTTGCCAAACTTTCTGTCACCGGCTACGGGCACTCACCAGAACAACCTGGTGCTAAGATTTTTGTAATGGTCCCATCACAAGGCAGAATGGATTTGAAGTGTATCCATGTATGTGTCCATCCCCAGAGCAGCCACTCAGGCTTGTGTACCGGAGCCTCTGCCAGAATACTACTGCTTCAGAGAGCCAGCAGTTACTGCAGAAGTCTGAGACTGAGCTGGGAGATGTCACATATCTCAAGATGGGATGGCCATGGCCAGTGTGGGGCAGGGCATGGCAGGGCAGACCCCCCCACAAAGACATTGTCACATGTGTCTCGGGTGCTTGCAGTACATCGCCAATACCACCTACACCATCTATACCTAGCTTTGACCATGCCAAACCTGCCAATGTTGACGTCATGCGTGTTGACGTCATGCGCAGTCAAAGAACATGATCCACTTGATTATATACTTTTACCACTCCCTAAGATGTCGTCATTTATGATAGGTGTCACTGCATTGTTATGACCAGGTCGGTGGAATGGCTGCAAGCTGCTGCGAAGGCAGGCTTCGGCATGGCGCAGAAGAACTTGGCGTTAGCAGGGTCCCTAAGAGGTGGTGGAAGTGACCACACCAGACTCTCACCGGATGGCATTCGTGCACATCTGGGCACCGCAAAGTGGAGAAGCTGAAACGCTGAAAGCCCTTCAGAATGTCACAGTAAGGTTTTGTCTATTGTTGCTTCAAAATGAAGAAAACTTTGTCTCCGTTGTTGACCACCGGATACTTGAAAAAGCCCGCTTGGAACACAGAATCCAACACCATCCATACAACTTGACTTTGATACGCGGATTTCCACCACACCTTGGCCCATGGCTCAAAGCAGCATGCAACGATAGTAACGATGAGGCATTCCCGGCGTCGTGCTGGGTTCCTGCTGGCAGCCTTTGGTGTGGCTGCGGCCTTCGCTGTGCCACTGACGCTGCGGCCGCTGCGGCGGACGGCGCTGTTGGGACTCGCGGTGGTGGCCGGGAGGCCTGTGGCAGCGGAGGCCACAAAGTTGGGGAAGTGATGAAGTGTGTGTTGAACAGACATGGATTCAACCAAGATCAACCAAGACATGACCCTGGAGCCCATTTTTTTGTGGCGCCTAAACTGATATGTCATTGATTTTCATTGTCTGGTCACGTATTGGGCAGACTTGTTGCCATGGACCAACCCATGCTGTGTGTAACATATATCACCTTCGATTAATTACCATCTTTCGCATGTTTAAAAGTTTGGGTTTTGTATTTCCAATATTTTCCAATGGTCATCCCTTTTTTAAACGCACAGATTTTCTGGATATTGATGGATGATGGTCATCCGTGGCACAGGGGCCATCTGCAGAAGATGCAGCTTTGCTACGACGAGCGTTTCAGGCCTTGGCCAAAGATCCTTCCAGGTGGCCGGGGTTCGGGATCCGTCGTCGGGGGGGACGTTACGAAACCAGTCGCACCCTGCCCGAAGGAAAGCCCCTCATCTGTGACGCGGAAATCTTCCTCATCTGTGACGCGGACGCGTTTCCTCAACTGTGACGCGGTCCCTCCGTTGTGACGCGAGGTGGGGTTTTGCGTGGCAGGCGTGGCACTTTGTGCCATCGATGGTCTCCTTGTGTGGCGCGTGTTGGGCTTGGTGACATTGACTTTGCGTTCCTGTGGTTTTCCCAAAGCGGGCTTGCCTAGCTGCTCTGGTCCTTTTCCCGTGGCTCTGATTCCGTGCTCCTTGCTCTGTCTGGTGGTCCGTTTTGCCCGCTCAGCTGCCCAAGTCCATCAAAACGGACCTTCCTAGCTTGTCTGCTCTTCATCTGCTTAGCTGTGCTCCTTGCTCTTTCTGGCTGTCCGTTTTGGCCGCTCAGCGGCCCAAATCCTGCAAAACGGACCTCCCCAGCTCTCCCAGTCCTGGTTTGCTTGGCGGTGCTCCTTGCTGTTGCGCGCCTTGGTGAGAGAGCCGCCGAAATTGTGCAAAGCGGGCTTGCCCAGCTGATCTTTTGTTTTGTGTCCTCCTGTCCCGTGGCTGTGCTTCTGTGCTCCTTTCTCTCTCTGGTACTCCGTTTTGTCCGCTGAGCAGCGCAAATCCTCCAAAACGGACCGCCCCAGCTTCCACCCTTGGTCTGCTCGCCTGCACTCCTGGCACTGTCGGATGGTCTGTTTTGGCCGCTCAGCAGCCCAAATCCTCCAAAACGGACCTCGTCAGCTTCGTCTGCTTGGCTGTGCTGCGTGCTCTCCCTCTGGTGGTCCGTTTTTGGCCGCTCAGCAGCCCAAATCCTCCAAAACGGACCTCGCCCGCTTGGTCAGGTTGGCTGTGCTCCTTGCTCTCCCTGTGGTGGTCCGTTTTGGCCGCGCAGCAGCCCAAATCCTCCAACACGCACCTCGCCACCTTGGTCTGCTTGGCTGCCTCCTCTAGTGGTCCGTTTTGGCCGCTCAGCAGCCCAAATCGTCCAAAACGGACCTCGCCAGCTTGGTCTGCTTGGCTGGGCTCCTTGCTCTGCTCTGGTGGTCCGTTTTGGCCGCTCAGCAGCCCAAATCTTCCAAAACGGACCTCGCCAGCTTGGTCTGTGGTCTGCTTGGCTGTGCTCCCTGATCTTCCTCTGGTAGTCCGTTTTGGCCGCTTAAAGCGTGAAGCCGCCTAAACGGAGCTCGCCAGCTTGCTATGCTGGGCTGTTCTCCTTGCTCTCCCTCTGGTTGTCCGTTTTGGCCGCTCAGCAGCCCAAATCCGTCAAATCGGACCTCCCCTGCTCTTCCAAACTCATCGGTCTCAGTCCCCGGTGGTCCGTTTTGGCCGCTCAGCAGCCCAAATCCTCCAAAACGGACCTCGCCAGCTTGGTCTGCTTGGCTGTGCTCCTTGCTCTCTCCGTTTTGGCCGCTCAGCAGCCCAAATCCTCCAAAACGGACCTCGCCAGCTTGGTCAGGTTGGCTGTGCTGTTTTGGCCGCTCAGCAGCCCAAATCCTCCAAAACGGACCTCGCCAGCTTCGTCAGGTTGGCTGTGCTCCTTGCTCTCCCTCTGGTGGTCCGTGTTGGCCGCTCCACCACAGGAGCCAGCCAAGCAGATAGACCGATTTTCTGCCAAGATTTGCAGATCATTTCCTGTATACCGGGGATGTCTAGCTCAGTCGGCAGAGGGCAAGGCCCTTAACCTAAAGATCGAGGGTTCGAACCTGGCCGTGCACATCCACCAGTTGTTGGGAAGGTCCGTTTTGAAGGATTTCGGCTGCTGAGCGGCCAAAACGGACCTCCAGATGGAGAGCAAGGAGCACAGCCAAGGAGATTAAGGTGGCAAGGACCGTTTTGGAGGATATGGGCTGCTGAGGTCCGTTTTGGAGGATTTGGGCTGCTGAGCGGCCAAAACGGACCACCAGAGGAGCCAGCCAAGCAGATAGACCGATTTTCTGCCAAGATTTGCAAATCATTTCCTGTATACCGGGGATGTCTAGCTCAGTCGGCAGAGGGCAAGGCCCTTAACCTAAAGATCGAGGGTTCGAACTTGGCCGTGCACATCCACCGGTTGTTGGGAAGGTCCGTTTTGAAGGACTTGGGCTGCTGAGCGGCCGAAACGGACCACCAGAGGGAGAGCAGGGGGGACAGCCAAGCAGACCAAGCTGGCGAAGTCCGTTTTGGAAGATTTGAGCTGCTGAGCGGCCAAAACGGACCACCAGAGGAGCCAGCCAAGCAACCGATTTTCTGCCAAGATTTGCAAATCATTTCCTGTATACCGGGGATGTCTAGCTCAGTCGGAAGAGGGCAAGGCCCTTAACCTAAAGATCGAGGGTTCGAACTTGGCCGTGCACATCCACCGGTTGTTGGGAAGGTCCGTTTTGAAGGATTTGGGCTGCTAAGCGGCCAAAACGGACCTCCAGAGGGAGAGCAAGGAGCACAGCTGAGGAGATTAAGGTGGGGAGGACCGTTTTGGAGGATTTGGGCTGCTGAGGTCCGTTTTGGAGGATTTGGGCTGCTGAGCGGCCAAAACGGACCACCAGGGAGAGAAAGGGACAGAGACCCACCGCCAGCTCTCGTGTGATGAGGTTGCCGTGCCAGTGTGCGCACAGGAACATGGACGTTATCATCCCACCCCACCCCACCACCCCACCCCCACCCCCCACCCCACCCCCACCGAGTGGAAAAGCTGGGTAGGTCCGTTTTGGAGGATTTCGGCTGCTGAGAGGCCAAAATGGTGCAGCAGAGGGAGAGCAAGGAGCACAGCCAAGCTGACCAAGCTGGCGAGGTCCGTTTTGGAGGAATTGGGCGGCTGAGGCGGCCATACGGACCACCGTGATGATGGAGAGAGGGTTCCGAGAGAGAAAGAGGCAAAGCATTGGGAAAGAATCGAGGAAGGTTTAAGGAAGAGGTTTGGGTAAAGGGGGGTTGGTTGAGGCGGGGGGAAAATAGGACGAGGTGGAAGACTAAATGAGAATGGAGCCAAGGAGAGTGCCAACCACACAAATGGGAAGAGGAAGCGTAGATAACTGAGGAGGGAGGTAAACATTGAAGAATGTAGGGAGAAATATAGGAAAGGGTTGATGTACGGGGGGAATATAGAGAAAGGGCAGAAGACCCCCGCCAGCCTCTCGTGTATGAGGTTGCCGGTGGCCTGTGTTCGCACAGAACATTGCCGTTATCACCACCCCACCCCCACCCCCACCCCACACCCCACCCCACCACCCCCCAACCCCCCACCCCACCACCCCACCACCTCCACCCACCACCCCACCACCCCACCCCACCCACCCTAAAACCAGATGGTGTCGCAGATGAGGGGAAAATGGTGTCGCAGATGAGGGTAAATCAGGGGGGGTTTTGGTGTCACAGATGAGGGGGAAATGGTGTCACAGATGAGGGGCTTACCTTCGGGATCCGTCGTCGGGGGGGACGTTACGAAACCAGTCGCACCCTGGGCCGGGCCCTGGGTATCGTGGGGTGATGGGCTGCATGCAGATATTGGACGCATGTAAAATGAAGGGCTGATATTTTCATGAAACCACAAGAAACATCTAAAACCAATGTAAACTTCACTGCACATTTGGCAATGTATTAATCCTGCAGTAAAAGCACGGTGTAAAGAGTTTTGATCCATGGCCCTCGGTTTCCGGATTTGCAGTTGATGAAAACGCCGTTTGGAATTATATAGTGTGATCTGGTTGCCTGTTGCTTGTTCAAACCTTATTCAAACCAGCACATGGTCGCCTTTACCTCCCTTGAAGCAGAGACCTGCAGCACGGCCGACCGCAATGGAGGCCAGGTGCCCGCGATGAACTGGAAGATGCCGAGGAGGCTTGGGGCGGATTTCTGGAGGGATCAATCCAGTCTAATCCAGGTTGCCATGTTCGCACTGCTCGACACTGGTTGACACATACATACTTCACATCGTAAGTTTTGACCGTCGCATATGTGGCTCTACTACAGGCAAATCGGGAGTTATAGAAGTTCTGGAATGGAGTTGTAATCTTGGGGGCACGGGAGTCACTGGCCCACTAGGCAAGCAGAGACAACACTGGTAGATTGTGGGACAAATTCTGTGAGAGTATTAAAATGATGTTTTGATCCATTGATGAAGCACATGAAGCTGAATTCTTGATTGGTATCGGTTCCCTTGTTTCAATTCCACAGGAGATCCTCCGGAGCCTTCTGACAGGCCTTGACGAAGGTCATCGAAGACTTCGATGCTGGTGCAGGACGCCAGGACCGTGGACGGATTCGCATGGCGCGGGCACAGGCGGGCGATCAAACTTCGAATCAACGGGTGCGATGGATCATCACCCATAGGATCCATGTATGGTATATATGCTAACATTTGGGGTATATTGATGGTAAATGTTACCATATATAGCATACATGGATCCTATGGGTCATGGATCCCAGGTTTGAGTTTCAAGACACGTTTGGTTTACATTTCAATTGCCACTGTAGGACAGATGACATGGACATGTTTGGAATTCGTGTCACTGATTACGGGGTCATGTTCCTGTGATTGCATTGGCTGTTTACTGTGTTTTGAGTGTACAGCCCAGAAGGCCAAGGTGTCCAAAGCAATGCCTAGTTGTGATATAACATTATATAACATGATATAACAAACTTCAAAGACTTGCTTTATAATGAATAAGCAATGAATAAATGAGGGTTGAACCTGATCTCTCTCAACATGGATTTCAGGCACGCATCGCAATCAATGACAGCACAGGCCCGAATGTCGGATTTGTGGTACGACGGTCATTTTCATGGTTGTTTGTGACATTGGAGCAGACCTCGAATCAATAAATTCTGTTGTCCCTGCTTGCGTCATGTTTATAAGATGCTGCCAAAGTAGTTGGTATAGTTGGTGTTTTGGCCGTAAGCAACAGTTCGCATATTTGATTTTGGTCTTCTATGGCCTTCTGAAGCGCCATCATAACAGAGGTATGCAATAGATGGAAAGTTTGCCCCAAATAGTGCTAAGTGCCAGGTACCATGCTATGGATGGCATTGGATGGCTTATTAGCAAAACTGAAGAAATTCTGTGGGTCCTGAACCATGCCCTCTATGGTCTGGTCAAATCCTTGATAGTTCTTGTGAAATCTGGCGATTGCGGGATGTCCAAACAACAGTACGTCCCATCTTCATTTTTTCGTTCTATCTCATGAGGTCTATGAGTCTATCCTCCATATATTGAGAAGCTACGTGCATAAAGCCAATTGTATTTATACGACGTATATTGATAAGTCAATGATAAGTAAGCAATATTAATTAATATTTATATATATATATACACACTTAATCTATTCATAACACCAGCACCATCACTTCAGCCGCAAGCGCGACAGAGGTGGCAAGCTGCCAGAGAAGGCGGAGGCCGCGGTGGACGACTACACAGAGGTGGTGCGACTCATGGAGGAAGATCCCAGCGGCTCCGAAGGTCATTTGGCTCCTTTCCCATAGGATCCATGTATGGTATATATGCTAACATTTGGGATCATTTGGGGTATATTGATGGTAAATGTTACCATATATAGCATACATGGATCCTATGGGTTTGGGATGATTCGCAATGACCGGAATGGGATAAGATGGTTTTTTTCTGGATTTTAAGGGCTTGAAACATGTTTTATAAACATGTTGGAACCACCAGGAAAACCACCAAAGAAGTGATCTTTATGGATGTTTACAGTAATATGGTTGAAAATCAGAAAGGTACTATATAATTGCATATAATTGCTAAACTGGAGATATCGATCACTGAAAGCTGCAACCTTTGTTTGGTTGACTTGCACTATCCGTTTAGAGGAACTCAGGACATGCAGATGTGGTTAGTGTGAGTAATTCAGCTGGATTTATCAATTTCTTGGGATCAAGAATCAGGATCAATGGTCTCCTCACTCTCTCGGTAGAATTACAGGATCCTCTCCACGAGCAGGCACCTTCGATTATCCCAACGTCTTTGTTCGAAGGGCCTTGGCGGAGGAAGAAATCGCGTACGGAAGACGGGATCAGAAGCAATGGGAAGCCGCTGTGAAGGAAGTCTGTGGGAAATCTATGGGTGGGAATCATGGTTTCGAGATGTTTCGAGTGCAATCGGCTAATGATGAAACGCCATACATCAAAACATGGCCAAACGCAGTTGGCAACTTGCCGATTTCCCTCTCGTAACTTGACAGCAGTGGTAAGTCATATTCGGAGTTTCCAACAGCTCTCAGGGCTCTCGGTTGTTTTTTTGTCAGCATTCTGTCCAACACAATTAGCACTTCTCAGTTCATTGCTATTGACTTTAACCTGAGATGGTCATATCCAGGCCATACGGATTTCTCATGATTTCTCAACACCCCCAATTGAAGCGGCAGTCATTTGCACGCTCTACGATCCCAATGCTGTTGTTAGAACCACTATTTGCCGACCCCAATGCTGCGCAGGACTACACCAAAGCCATCGACATTTGGCGTTCCAGACCTGTATCTGAGCTGCTTGGTTTACATTCTTGCGGGATGTTGCGGGGATGATTTGGATGAGCTTGACATAGCTTGACTGATCTTGGATGTTCCTGTGCCTTGGGACATCTTGGGACATCTTGGGACATCTTGGGACATCTTGGGACATCTTGGGACATCTTGGGACATCTTGGGACATCTTGGGACATGGAACTTCGCGCTTTCAGGACAGGACTGGGTGTGAACCCGTTGGTCTTGAACTTCCGTGGCAATGCCTTGAGCCAACTGGGCCGCTTTCGTGAAGCCTTGCAAGACTATCGCGAAGCCACTGAGATCTTCCGGAAGGACGGCTGGGCTGGACCGGAATTTGGAAGTGGTCAAAAAGCGAACTTACAAACGGTCCAGTCGGGCGCCACCTGGGCAGTGGCATGTGTCGGCTCCGATTTCTCAAATATAGTCTGAAATCATCTGAAATCCATTTTGCCATGACAGCTTCATAGTTTTGAATCACGTGACGCTTTATGGATTTTTATGGCATTTGAACGAGGATAGATCACATAGAATCCGAGTCTTTCTGAGCTGAGATGCAGCTGTGGCGACGTGATTGGCTTTCAGATGGTTTCTAGTTTAAAAGCGACTAATTTCCCCACGCATATATATATATATATACCTGGACCAGCAAACGGGCAGAAAAAAAAGGTTGTTTTGGTCAATGACCCTGTTTTTAGCCAATTGACCTATTTTGGGTCAGATCGGGCAATTCAACCCAAACGACCCAAAATGGCTGAAATCTGGCTGAAATCTAATTTTCTATGTGTTTCCATGGTGTCCCAATCCCATAACTTCAATTTCTTTCACCATAGCCACACTTGTAGCACTGATTGACCCTTGACGTGTTTGACTGGATCCATGGGGCCTGCGCTTTCAGGCCTGAGCCTCTGCTCTGCTTTTTCTTTTATTCTTCGCAGAGTTGGTGCCAATTGGCATAAATTTCAATGCTGTATGACACGTGTTGTTCAGATTCTGGCTCGCAAATCTGTACCATCTGAGACAGCTGTGTGTTTGTCTGCGTGTGGGACTTCACGCATACAACTATTTAATTGGCGTTATTCACAACACCTAAGGCAGTCATGTAAAACACGTATGATTCACGTATTCACGCCGCAGATTTGGGACAGCAACTCCCCGCAAAACAGCAAATCGTCAATTTTCAACGTTTTTCGGACCAGAACTACCCCGCAAATCGGGCGCAAAAACCCGCAATTAGCACGCAAAAACCCGCAAACGGGCGCAAATCAGGATTTCTGCCCTGATGTGCTTGGACAAAATGTATTTTATCGCAGCAAAGCTAGGTTTAAATGGCAAATTCTTTTGATTTAGCAAAGTGGGTCAGCCACTCGCAGACACACCAATAGGTTGAGACTGCATAGCTGTAGCCATTCTTGGGATGCTTTTCAACACACTTAGTGGATCAGATTCTTCTTCATGAGGTCCTGTTCTATGTTTGAGAAGGGGGTATAGAAGTGCTTTTCAGTTAGAGATATTTTAAGATGATTTTCTTTGTCATGGCCCAGTGACTGAGGCTGGGGGTGTTGGAAAGATGAAGATCACATCGGAAGATGTTCAGGGTTGTCACGTTTATGTCACCATCTGCTTTTTATATAACAATACAGACGTGGTTGCACCTTTACCGGCAGAAATTGCTGAAGTTTGAGGGATTTGATGTGATGTGGCAAGAGACTCCACGTGTGGAAATAAAACCTGGCAGAAAAAGTTGAGATCGCGCAGAAATGGCCCAAACCGGGCAAAATTACCATTATTTTCCGAAACGGGCAGAAAACCAAAACGACCAAAATTTAATGGTTGTTTGATGATACAGGTATGCACCTTGGAAAGGTGTGGAAAGATATGAGCTGTCAATAGCTGTGAGGACAACGAATACAGCCAGGCAGCTGTGTCTCGCTGCAATGAAGCCTTAGCCTTGTTTGGTGCTGACGAAGCATCGGAGGCCATGGCCATTTTGGAAGACGTCTCGAAGAGGGATCCGAACATTGCAGAAGCTGGGCAATGGGAGCAGGCTAAGAGATTTGATCAATTTAAATCCATATACTAGTAGTAGCTATTAATATATAAATTAATAGCTATTCAAGAAATTATTTTTTCTTGATTGATCAAGTCCACTAGCAAGTCTTTCTTGTGCAGCTGTTTTGCCCAAGGATGCACGTGTCGCTCTTGCTGTGTCCTACTGGGTTTCAAGGGATTATTCCAGAGCCGAAGATGAATGGCGGGTGGCGTGTGAAAACACAGATCTTGGCTGCAGGCAAGAATTGGATTATCCACGAACATATTGAATATATTGAACATGAGCAGTGTTTCAAAATTTTAACTTTAGTTGACATCATCAGAATTCATCAACTATATAATTACTCCCCATTTGACTCATTTCATCATGGCAGGCAGTATAAAGACCAGAATTGGGTGAAGGATATTCGAAGATGGCCACCCCAGTTGGTGCAGAAGCTGGATCGCTTCCTTCGCAGAGAGACCACTTGAGCAGAGCAGATGGGAGCAGATGGCAATTACGGGAGCTTCAGGAGCGCGGCTGGCGGAGTGGCATGGAGTGGCTGAGGTGAAGAGAGACAACCGGTGACGACCGGTGACGACCGTTGACGGCATGGGACAACTTGAAGCTCGGAGCCTTCCACGATGACCTTCGACTCGTGACATCTCGTGACACGTTTTTACCTTGGAACCGTGGCGATTGAGCAGCGACTTACACAACTGATGCGTTCTTTTTTGCTGCTTCGAGAACAAAGAAAGAGGCATCGTCAGACTGGTCGTCAGATGGCATGCTATGGAAATTATTTATGAAGTTAGTTTCTTAAGGGGACTGCTTTTGTGAGGCAAATAGGTGTCAAATGGTCGATGCGTTCACTGCTTTATTTTAACGTGGAAGATGTCGTTTCAGTCCTTTGCAGTGCCTCTACGCTCCAAGTTATACCTTGGCATTTGCAAAGCACCGCCCCTCTTGGTTCATGCCTGACAATGGTATTGGCATCTTTTGGACATGTTGTTTCAAGCCTAGGCCTACACCAATGGCCAAGGGCTTCGTCGTGATGATGCGCAAGCTGTGGTGACCTGGTGGCATCATAAAACATGTGGCGTCAATCTAAAGAGGTCATGCACAGAGTCACAGAGTCCGCTTTTGTAGGAGTCCCTCTTAGTGGCCAACCAGCATCTTGATCATCTTGCAAGTGTTGCTAGCCCAGCTTTTCTTCATGACAAAGTTGTTGTTTGGGTCCAAAGGATGCACATTTTACTTTCCATGGACAGAGGAGGTATTTGATTGAACGCGCAATAGCGGAAATTTTCACCCCAGCCACTCAGCCACTGTGCGAGAGTGGGTGTCGCAGCCACTCAGCCACTCTGAGTGACGGAGTGGCTGAGTGGCTGCTCCAGCCACTCTGGCAGAGTGGCTGAGTGGCTGAGTGGCTGCTCCAGCCACTCTGGCAGAGTGGCAGAGTGGCTGAGTGGCTGCTCCAGTCACTCTGGCAGAGTGGCTGAGTGGCTCCTCCAGGCACTCTGGCAGAGTGGCAGAGTGGCTGAGTGGCTGCTCCAGCCACTCTGGCAGAGTGGCTGAGTGGCTCCTCCAGCCACTCTGGCAGAGTGGCAGAGTGGCTGAGTGGCTCCTCCAGCCACTCTGGCAGAGCGGCTGAGTGGCTGAGTGGCTGGGGCAGAGTCATCAGCCAATGAAATGGATGAAGTTTTTAAACATTTCAATATCCAAGCAAGATTATATGATATTGACAGCAACTTGATTTACAAACATAACCCTGTAGACTTCAACTGCCATAGCTATATAACTAACTTTCAAGGTATTGATTAAGAACAGCCACATATACACTTTGAACCATAACCTGAAATCACTTAAAAGGAAAGAGAGTGTTGATGAACTCTGCAAGTTCAGGATTGGAAAGAACTATTACACCAACAACAGAGAAGAACCTCTTAAATACAAAATGATTGATGGTATCGATGATGTGATGAGTTTAAAGGATGAAGAGGAATACAGATTAGTTTTAAAAGGCAATGATTTGAACAAAGCAATTTATGAAATGAAAATAGCAGGATATGAACCACAAGTTAGGCACACAGCAGGTAGGGCAGTAGAAATCAATTTTGATTTAACACACAAGATAGTCAAGAAACAGAAAACGGCAACCTACAGCATTGTATCACAGCACCGTGACCACGATAGAATCAATGATGATATCTTGGTGGAAACAGAGGAATAATACAACAAAGTCAGCGCGACAATGTTCAAGTTTCATGAGTCAATTTTCAGTGAAAATCATGAGTCATACTATAACGAAACTTACCTTAAAGCATTGGATGAATGCAGAACCATTGTTCCTAATGGAAGGTGGTTAAAGGCAAAAGACTATGATAGCAAGGGCTATGAACTTGTCCTTGCCCCTGAAGATATGTGTAGCATCGACACACGGAAAGCCTACTCATACCAAGCAACAAAGATTACACACATTCCAGTGTTCAAAGATTTTGATGTATGTAAGCCATACACCAAAAAATATGATTTCAACAAATTCAATAACTACACCTTGTTCATAGTGAGGGCATGTCAGGGCAGCATTTGTTTTTTAACAATAAAGATAATCTGGTGTATGGGAAGCACCTGAAGGAATTGATTAAGAGAGGGGTGGCAATGAAGATACTATTTTACAAAGTACCTTCATACATTCACAGAGTGAAGTATAAGAAAGTGGTTGAAGATTTATATAAAACAGTGATTAGTGATGACAAGTTTGAAAATCAAACAATCTTGAAAACTATTGCTAATGTAGCCTTTGGTTTGCTTGAGAAGTCTTACATACAATAGAAAAACGACCAGTAGGATTTTTGATAATCTTAAGGAGACATTACAGCACCAGAAAAAATATGATGGGAGGATTTACGCAATGAACGAAGAAGAGTATGAGGAATATTTTAGATGGAGAGAATTAGAAGAAGATTGGACCATCGAAGTTGATGAGAACAACAAACCTTTTTTTAGACATGTGAATGGCGGTGCGTGTTTTACAGATTTTGATTATAACGTCGAGGATGGCAAAACCTACTACTGTGAAAATGATTCATTCAACCAAAAGATAGAGAAGAAAAGCGAGACCGCCAAATATTATATAGTCAGTGTCAGTGACCAAAGGCAGTTGATGAACGGATTTAGGTATATCAAAGAGCTACTGTTACAAAATCATAACTTTCATATGTATGATGCATATGAAGAGTTGAAGGAGGCAAAACATCAATGTTTACGCTGTAAAGACTGATGCCTTTCACATAGCAAAGAGGGATTTAAAGAAAGCTAAAACAATATTGAATTTTCATACTGACATAGGGGGAAAGCAGGCTACCAAAGTATGATTACAACGGTTATGATGTAATCTTTTTTGATGAAATCTATATGTCAAGTCCTTATATCTTGAATCAGATAAGAGTCTTCTGCAATGAAAACCCTCACTTGATTGTAATAGGTGCAGGTGATGTCAAACAACTTCCAAGCATAGAGCCCTTCACCAACAACCAAAATGGAGAGGAGTATGTTGACAATTGCATAGACATAATTTTCAAATACAATATCTTTTTGCAGATACGCAAAAGAGTAGGAGGTAAAGATACAGAAGAGGGAAAGGAATAGAAACAAGTTAAATGAAATCTATGATGAAGTTTTATGATATAAGGAAATACACTTAAAAGGATAATACCTTATAATAGTATGGAGAGTAGAAAGTGCACAAAGTGTAAGAAAAATAGAAATGGTGACCAGTTCAATGGAATGAATAGAATGTGTATTGATTGTTTGGACAAACAAAAGGAGAGTAACACAGTATATTATAATCAAAAGGAAGTATTCTGCGACATTTGCCAGCGGAATGTGAAACAATGCAGGTTGTTCAAACATCTTAAAACCGACAGGCATATCAACAAGGAAAAACTCAAAAAGGAAGAAGAGAAAAATCAAAAAGAGATGGAGGAATACTTAAAAGATGATGAAGCCAGAATTGCAAAATTGAAACACATCTGGAAAACCATTACACCAAAAAAATAAAAGACTTTATCCCCATAATTGTTCATATCATAATCTATTAAAAAATATGATACGAACGTAGGAATGTGGGAGATGGATGATTTAGATTTATGATATTATTTTATGATATTATATTATATTATATTATGATAACATATTATGATGAAATTTATGATGAAATATTATGATGAAATATTATGATTTGAATTTATGTGATGATGGATGATGAGGGAATGATGTGGAATGATGATGTATGAAATGATGTGATTTTATTTTGTGTTGATACTGTGATGAAATGATATGACATGTTGTGAAAATGAACTGTGGTAAATGATGAAATGATGGAGGTGGATGGTATGAACTTAGGTGTGTTTGTGTCTAGCTATGTATATATATATATAGTTTCTTTAATAACATACATATATGAAAACATTGGAACTATAACCAAATGTCTCATTCCTTTCACCATGATGATCCGCAGAGACCCACAGAGCGAACCCCTTTAACACAAATGGCTAATGACTTCTTTCTCACAACCCTTTAACACAGATGTTTGCATAAAATTCCATTCAATCCATAAGAATATATGCCCCAGTGCCTACAAGATAAAGGAAGAAACCCTAAATTAGCATAAAACCTCACTTGAAAAACTACCCAGACCTAAGAAAAATTAGGTCTGGGTAATACTGCTTACACTCCAGTGGCTAAGCTGCACATGACTTCTTTCTCACAACCCTTTAACACAGATGTTTGCATAAAATTCCATTCAATCCATAAGAATATATGCCCCAGTGCCTACAAGATAAAGGAAGAAACCCTAAATTAGCATAAAACCTCACTTGAAAAACTACCCAGACCTAAGAAAAATTAGGTCTGGGTAATACTGCTTACACTCCATTGGCTAAGCTGCACTAGCTATTCACCCACTGAGACATTCTGCCAGAGTGGCTTGGTGCAGCCACTCAGCCGCTCTGCCAGAGTGGCTGCGTGGCTGAGTGGCTGCTTCGATTTCGCGAGCCGTGTTGCACATCCACTCTGATATTTTATGATTTTTTATGATGAGATATTTTACACCAACAGCGTTCAGAATTCAGGATGGAGGGACACAGTTGCTTCTTGAAGTTTCTCAACTCCACTTGGGCAAAACTCCCAGAAATTGAAGTCCATCTTAGTGTGGAAGAAGTGAAAGGGCCAAGTTTCCACCTTTGTCATTCTTTCAACTTGCAAGCAGCTACCACATCAGCAATGTGCAAATACTCTTTTAGTCTCGCTTGAAACATTTGAAACACCATGAAACACCAGAAGGGAAACAATCTGCTTTCCTGTTTGAAATTTGATCTTGTCATGTTCCTTATTGTTCAATATTGAAACAGCCCCTGACGTGATTGATTGCAATTTGCAGGTCTGGATGAGACGTGCAGCAGAGCAACTTGAGGCAACCGGCACAGCAGGGCGAAGAGTGTGCAACCAGAAAAGCTGGCCACTCTTATACTCTGATGGCTGGTGAATTCTGACTTTTTGATTGAATATTTGATAACTGCAAATCTACAAGGATCACAGACGTACTCTTTTGATAGTTCAATGATGGCAGGTCGATTTTGATAGATACATACATGCTCTGAGATACTTGAGCATGGTGGGACCCTTCACTCAGAACTACTCTACACTAGCTACACTGGCTATGTGTCAGGTTTGTGGACAATCAGAAAGTATTTGTCAACAAGAACATCAGCACTTTGTTGAATGCTCAAGGCAAAGACAAATGACAAACCAATCTACTTGACCAATATATTCGAGTTCAAGCCTGCACATTGGCATACCATGGCTCATAACCCTTCCCTGTCGACTCACTGAAGCAGATTCCATAGAACTTTCATTCTGCTGCATTTGGAATGAGGTGGAAGCAGCATACTTGATGGGTGAGCTGCACCGTTTGGAGCCCAATCATTTTGGACCAATTGACATACTGGTACACTTGACACAAACTTAAAGCTTGCTTGTCACATATCGTATCCAGACATACCGACTAAACAGCTCAGTGTCCTATTTGGCTTTTGCTTTGCAACGTTTGCCTTTATTGTTACCATGACTGTTGTTTGCAGCGCGACGGCACCAGCACCAACATCACAATCACAATCACCATCAAAGCCACCAAGACCTTCACCATCGTTCTGATACTCAACCTCATTATCATTTCTGGCGTGTTCTCGTTCTGCGTCTTTTTCGTCATCATTCTAACTATCATCGCCTTGAACCCTGCCATCATACTGACTGGTACTAGTAGCTGTCAATACTACAGATTCAATATGTCCAAGTCATTTTCAGAGGAAGGGGTGTTTCACCACAGGTGCAGGACGAAGGCGCCATCATTAGTCGGCAAATGATTTATTTCCAACTGTCAAAAAGCACTATGGTTCTCATCACTGCACTCCTTTTGGCAATCTGACACCACGGCCACACAAGGAATGGCCGAAAAAAACAAGGCAGACCAGATACTAATTTGGATGGATTGATTTTGCAGTATCCTGTCAATATTCTGCAGAGGATATACATATAGTTTAATCAATATGCAACATATATACATTTACAATTAATTTATATCCCACATGTAATGTGTCCCCAAAGTTCAAATGATCCTGATGAGATCCTGCTTTTCCCTAGCAGCATGGTCACCAGCGCTAGGCCAAGGCCGAGGAGTTCAGCTGAGTGAAGCCGTGCGGTGCTAGTGGAACTGAAATGGGAGGGTCCTGGAAGGGTTGATGCTGGATACCAGCTGGGTCTTTTTGGGCTTATTGGGCTACTGAAATGAAATGGTCTTGAGTTTATGGTGTCCGATTGGTTACAGTGGCCCTCGAGAAAGTCTGAAGGAAGAGAAATTTGGCCGGTTTGATGGCAGTTGCCAGGAAGTCCTTTAATCAAAGCTGTAGCCGAAGCATTTACTTTTTTTTCAAATCCAGTAGTTGTGAGTTGAAGTCAAAATGAGAGACGAGGATACAAGAGGATTCCAGCATCCCAAGCGTAGTGAATGTGGCATACTCACACCGAAAATCACCCGTGCTTGGCCCAGGTCAAATGGTATCTTCGGAGTGCAGAAGCAGGTTTTCCCAAGGCGTGTCAACATGTGTCAACGAGTTCCTACATTTGGGGATCCGCACGTTTCCGGTTTGAATGTGATTGTGGTATTGACGGTATTGACACATTATAAATTTCTATACATACTTCTGCCATTTGGATCCATTTGGGCCTTCTAATTATCCTCTCTTTACACTGGAAGTTGCTTCTATCAACTTTCTATGCCGTTGAACATGTCCAACCTCCAACAGCCGTCTAACCCCGGCTCCCAGTTTGCGGCGAGTTCTTGGCCACTGAACAGGCTCAGTACACCCTGGGAATGTTGTACTTGGAGGGAACAGGTTTGTGCCCCAGCGGTGATGACATGTGATGACTGCGCAAAGCATCATCGATATTTATGGCATCTCTGTTGCACATGGTGCACCAAGGCCTACCACAAGACTCTCACAAAGCAGAGATGTGGTGCCGTCCCCAGAGCTCATGGTTGCAAAGAACGTGGGTAAATCTAACGGGTACCGGACATGACTTGTAAAATCTTATATTGCCCATAGGATCCATGGTGCTGCTATATGGTGCTCCATGGATCCCATCAATATACCCCAGTCATGTTAGCATTAATATACCAGCACCATGGATCCGTCATGGGTTATCTTATATACCCTGCTGGATCATGCTGGATCGCCTCAGAGAGAAGGGATTTTTCAGCCATGGCCATGTCAAAGCCGGGTACCAGTCAGTGGCTGGCTCTTTTTTAACGGTGACACCGAGAAGGCCCCGAGTCCGTTGTGAGTCCGTTGTGAGGTTGAATTTCGCTGCAAGACAAGGTCATCCTGAGGTGAAACGGGTAGGTCATCCCGGGTAAAGCAGTGGTGATGCAACCAACCTTGGGGATGTGTCACGGACCGTTCAAGCAATGTGACTCCTGATTTTCCTGGACTCGGCGGAAAAGAGACAAACCATGGATGGCGGCATTTTTGTAGCTGACACACTTTGAGGGATGTTTGGTTTTGATCATTTGACAGCTGAAGATGGGTTGGACAGTGCCCCATCTTGCATTATGGATGCCAAAGACATCAGTGTCAATCACCACAAAGTTCACTCAAGCTGAACTTGGAGATGCGATGAGATGGATTCCTTTTTCTATTTGATTCTATTATGCAGACACATTATATGAGTGCAACTCATTGCATTGCTGCTTCTACTTGAATCAATTTTAGATTGATCTCAGGGTGGGGAGGGTGCAAGAGCTCTGAATTCATAGCATTTGGATTATCCAAGTAGTGGTACCACTTATCATACCCTTTCATTCAACATCATTTGGTCGGGTTCAACATCATGCTTGCTGCAGGCAAAGAATAACATTGCCACCATGCACGCTCAGCGTGGTGAGGCGCCAGCAAGATAAATCTGAGTGATGTTAGGCTGACTGATGAAAAACTGGGTCATGTCTGACAAAGGTGTTGCCATGCTGTTGCCATGCTGAAACGGGTAGAAGTCTTCCCCTCAAGGACGCAGTCACAACTATGGCCCCTTTGGTTCCATTAAGAATCCCAAGCGTTGCGGGGTGACTGTTGTAGATGTTTGCGGGAGCTGAATGTTGGCACAGATGGCCATGCCAGGATTTAGGATTTCCATGAATTTCTCGTGCCAGTTTCAGTCAGATCCTTCGTCAGATCCAGTTTTTCGAAGGTGGAGGAGGCCCTCAAAATCTGGGAAGACTTGGCTGAAAGCTGTGACCTGAGAGCACTGTTGTAACCAGTCCAAACTGGAAGGGACGGGAAGCCCATAATGAACATGGCCATCCTTTTCTTGCCGTGCCACAATGCTTGCACCGTATATAGATTCGTTGGGATGCAATCCCTGAACAAACGTACAGATTTTTCACATGATTTTTCAAACATCCTTGAACTGTCAAACACAATGTCCCTTTTCTGCTTGTTCAAAGCTGCAGTTTTGCTGATTGCACACTGCACAAATCTGCACAATGTCCATGTTTTGGTTCCAAGGTGGAGAACCCAATGCCCAATGCAACATGGGCCACTCAGCTGGTGCTTCATGACCTGGATGATATGTATAGTAACATATAGCAGTATAGCGTATAGCATATAGCTGTATAGCTGTAACATATAATAACATATAGTATGTAACATATAGTAACACTGATAGCTGTATAGCAACATATAGCAGCCATTCAACGACTTCTTGTTCAAGACTCAGTGGCTAAAGCGCAGTAGGTTTGCAGGGCCCACTGGCATTACACTGGTGGTTGAGAACTTCTGCACCGGTGGCATTCTTAAACCTTAGGATAATGTGTAATTATGATTGATGTATAATGATTATAATTGATATAAGTTATAAGTACCATTTCAGTAACAATATGTAAAGATAGTCTGTAGAAATGTGACTTTTGCTGAAGAAATTCTGCTCCAGGCATGGCTTATCTTCGTGGAGCTGGGCGCCCACATGATGCAAGCCTGGCAGCTGAATGGCTAGGCTGGGTGAGTCTCGAGGGCATCGTTTGATGTTTGAACACTTTGAACCATGGAACCTGAAAGTTGTTTGTAAAAGATGAGTAAAAGATGAGTAAAAACCAGATAAACGATATGGCAAAAGCGCACTAAATGAATTGGAGAAGGACAAAGTCGAGGTTTTTTTGAGCTTGAGCTTCTCAAGTTTGTTTTGTAGTAGATCGACTTAGGACGTGTAGCAAAGGGGTACTAAGCTTCTGACTTCAATAATGTCAGATTTTGCGTGAGTTTGTCAAATGCACACATTTTTCAATGTGTTTTTTGGGGTCCAGTTGTAGTACTATCCAATTCGTAGGTCTTTGATGGTCTTCGCTGATACAGAAACGTCGAGAAATCCGGTGCCTCGATGAGTTTTCCAGCCGTTGGAGGTAAAGCTGCCGCTCAGGGTCACCAAATGGCACTCCAGGCCTTGGCAGTTCCCTGGCGGAGATTTCCCGTGTTCGGACAGGGATTTGGGGTGGGAAGGGTGTTCTGAAGGGTCCCACAATGGAAGCTGTTGCCTGAAATGGCAACGATTCAGTGATGGCCCACTGAAGCAGACTTGTTTCAGATCTTGTCTCAGAGTAGCTGTCAGCCAAGCCGAGGCAGTTGCTTGAGCCCGCGTTTGGCGTGACATGCAGATACGTGAAGAAGTTAATCCTCAGGTGGCTGGGCCAGGGTTTGACTTCCGAGACCGTCTCTTCTTCGCAGTGGTGTAGTGGTCAGAGTCAAGGTTTTTCGGAACATTCATTGGTCTACAGTTTTGTATACCTACATATGCCAAGAAGGTGTTCGCATCTGGCCAGCTGTTTTTGATGTGGCTGCTGTAGATCCGTCCAGCGACATTTTGTTGAGCCTTTTGATCGCATTCCAAAGCAGTGGAGGAGAACATGAAGGGTGCATGATGGTGCATGATGGTGCATGAATATGATGTGTTCGAATAGGACAGCCAACAGAAGCATTGGACTTTGCGAACTCGAAATGGGTAAACCGGTGAGTCTGTTGCAACTCGTTGCGGTTTCGACTGCCAACTTGCAGCTGAGGATGGGTAGGATAGGACATGACTCCATGCTGAAATGGTGAGATCTTCAGGCATCAAGTCATCATAGGTCATCTCCATTGTGAGACTAGGCATGTGACACACTCATTTGGATTTGGTGATTCCAAAGAAACACCCACAACACTGGCTCGTGAAGCATGTGAAGCAAGTGAAGCATGTGAAGCTGAAATCACATCATGGAATATCTTGAGCCTGGACCCGACTCTTTCGCAAAAATGGCTGCTGCCACCATACCTACGTTGCAGACGCCGTTGACTCAATTGCTGGGAATCCAACATCCCATCATGCTGGCTGGAATGAATGGAGTAAGTCACTCTGATCTGGCGGCAGCAGTGAGCAACGCAGGACGTTTCTTGCAGATTGTTGCAGCAGTTGGAGACTTGGTGATTTGTAGATGTACAGCATGAAATATTTCTTGCTGGTACCGGTACAAAGAAAAAATGGACCAAAAACCATCAAAAACCTGTCGGAACCGTAGCTTTGTGGGGAGAGCCTAAATTTTAGGCCTAAATATCACTCGCAAAGATACACAATTTGCATTTGGACGGATTGGCCATGGCAAATCGGTGCAAATCGCAGGAGGCATCGGATCGATTGGTGGATTGACAATGACACCCAAAGTTCTTACCAAAGAGATCCTCGGCAATGAAGTTGGACACATACAACATACAACTGAACCTGGGACCACTGTGCAATCATTTTATGGACACCGCAGATGCAGGGCTGATCGTATCATGTCATGAGATCAGGATCAGCGAACCTTCAAGCCGTTTGAAACTATTTCATACTATTTTACGCAAGGTGGATGCCTCGCAAGAGTTAGTAACATTCTAGAAAGATATAGAAAGATCTAGAAAGTGCAATGGTGTTTCCATCTTCGTGACTGTTTTCAGCAGGTCAGATATGGTCATATATCTCCACAGACAGTATATAGTGTTGCCGATGTTTTTGTTTGTTTTGCCTGTCCAAACTTCCTTCACTATTCGTTCAATCATAGAATTGGATGATGGGAAAATTTACAGGAAAGCCCTATATTTGATGGTAAAAACCATGGTTTATAGATTTTCCCTTAAACCAATCCATTGATTCACTATTCGTTCAAGGATTGAGTGGCTGAAGAAGAACTTGGTCGACACGTCGTTGCCATTCGGAGTCGATTTGGCCATTCCCCAGATCGGTGGAAGTGCACGGAAGACCAACCATGACTACACTCATGGCCACTTGGATTTCGTTGGAAGCTGCTAAGATTGCTAAGCCGTATTGATTTTTTATTTACCCTCTGGTTATTTAACATAGCCATGGGAAATGGCCCATTTATAGATGGTTTACCTATTAAAAATGGTGATTTTCCATGGCTATGTTAGTCATAACCAGAGGGTAAATACCGTATTTTACCGCGACTGCAGGCCATTTGCCCGAGCTCATAGACATCATCGTTGCCGAGAAGGCCAAATTGTTCATTTGCGCTGTGGGTGTGCCACCCAAGTGGGCTGTGGACAAACTTCATGCAGGCGGGTCGGAGGAGAAGAGTTTCAGAGTCGTCCAAGGGTTTTGCCAAGGGATTTTCAGGGATTTTGCTTGTTCAATCTTGTTCATATTTGTTCATCTTGTTGCCTCAAAGGTCACAATCCCATGAAACATGCCTAAAAGACAATTCGGAAAGAGGTGGTACATGGTGGTACAGGTACCAAGCAATCCGGCCTGCTGCACCTCTGTCTTCGAGCCATGCCAGGTGGTGTTGTTATCGCCAACATGGTGGGTTCTGTGCGCAATACCGTGAAAGCACTCGATGCCGGGGTAGATATGATCATTGCCCAAGGTACAGAAGGAGGTGGACATACAGGTCACTTTTTCCAAGTAGAGTAGGATGGTGCGATTGGACATTTTGAAGTCCGGTTTGGATGTTAGATGTGACGACCTGGCGCTAATTTAAATTGGACAGAAACCTGACTTTGCAAGAGTTTCAAGGGAACATCTGGGGATTATGGCAACTTTTCAATTTGGGGCGTCATGGCAACTTATGGCAACTTCACAGGTAGTGCTTGGCAGAGGTCCGAGGAGGTAAGTTGTGCGCTTTGCCAAGGTGATATTGGAACCATGTGTTTGATCCCACAAGTGGCTTGGTCAACAAGGGATCCGGTTGCAAGATGTTCAACGATGTTCATGTATTCACATTCTCTGATTGTCTGATCTCATGTCCTGGATTGTCCTGGCACTTTTTACATCGAGGTTTTGGTCGATTTCTTAATTTTGTGGCCTCACTTTCCAAATCAAGCTGCTGGAAGGTCCCAGATATTCCCAGATCTATGGAGCCCCCTTTTCTATCGCGCTTTGTACCAGGAGTTCCTACTGGATGTTTAGAATAGAATCTATTTATATCTAATTTATTGTATAAACTCTAAATATGGGACACTGCAACCCTCCCAGCTTCTAACCAGCTTCACCTAGAGGTGGTCGATGCATGCCGTGGTCGCAGCAACTTCTTCGGCTCCCCCGTGGTGTGCGTCGCTGCTGGGGGCATCTACGATGGCCGGGGACTGGCAGCATCATTGAGCCTTGGAGCTGCTGGTGTTTGGGTAGCCTGACAGCACTGAGATGCACTGCTGGGTGTTTTGGCCATTGGGGACATGATGGACACTTAAAGATTTGGGAAAGATGTTCCAAACTTGATGGATTAATGGAGGGTTTTAATGATCTGTTCAAGAATGATTTGATCAGTGCGACCTTATGTCTCGGTACGTTCTTGCTTCTAGAGGACACGATTGCTGACTCCAGGATATTTAAGTTATTTAAGTGATTTTAAGTGCCACCAAGTGTGTTTGACCATCGTTTTCTGGTAGTCACTTAACAGAAACCATGACTTGACCTCCATCTTTTTCCAGCTTGCGATGCCGTTAAGATGCCTGCAAAAGTTTGGAGGGAACCCGCAGGGAACCTCAGCTTCACCCAAGGTTGGTACCCGCTTCATCTGTGCAGAAGAGTCCTCCGCACCAAAGTCTCACAAAGTGTCTGGGCGCTGCATAAAAAAACAACTGTGGCTTTCATCTTGAACATGTTTGAACCTCTAGGGCGCCAGGCACAGAGCGGCCAGTCCCCAGTCAGCTTCAAGCTGTGAATATTGACTAAGGTGCTTAAATGCCCTTTGAATGTTTAAATCTGCATGCTGCCATGCTATGTAATTATGCATTACAATCATTGTAGACTGGAGAGAACAAAGCTGTGCTACTGCCAAGTTCATCGCTTCAGTGATCCTTGACCAATGCCCAGGACAAGGTGATCGCTGCAGAGAGTCTGGATACCACGCGCACCTTGGTGCTGTCAGGAAGACCTCTGCGGCTGATTCCCAACGACTGGATCCGCAGCTGGGAGAAGGATCCCATGAAGCTCAAGGAATTTTGTGACAAGGGGATGCTGGGCCTGTTAACCCATGGTGCCATGGATAGCCACACTTTGGGACATAAAAAGCTTTGGAAAGCACACCCCCCCTGCAGCATCAAAGAATTTTCTCAAGCACAGGTCGGACAGGTCGGACAGGTCGATCGTCCTTGGCGCCAAGGATAGTTCCCTTGCAACATGACCTCAAAGCCTTTGGATCTGAAGATCAGCAGATTCGCATAGCCATTTTTGATGCTGCGCCTCGGCGCCAGTTGATCTTTTTACTGCGTGCGCCTTTTTGGGTTTTTTGGATGATATGATGCACATTGGGTTTCAACAAAACAGAGGTCAAGGTGAGTGGACATGTAAACAGACCAGAGAAACTCGAGTGTAAATAGTGGTGTTCGACGCTTGGATTCGAATTTATGAAGCCTCCAGAAATGAAGTGATCATTGATGCACGGGCACTTTCCCAACTACGGTGGTTTCAAATGTTCTGAATTGATCAGCACGGGCTGATCCCAGTGATCAGGTGAACAGTCTAGCCGGACAAGCGGTTGGTGGCGTCAAGGCAGTGGAGCCTGCGCGCAAGATCGTTGAAGACATGGTCACTGAGGCACTGCATGTGAACCCATGGCCCCATATATCCCATGGGTTTATTACACAGGCCCATGGGCAGACAATTCTTGGATAGACCATTATAAACAATTATAAACCATACCGTGCAACTGCATTGTCCCATATTGTCCCCGGTGGGATTTTGAGATGAATCGGGGAATCTAAAACGGGACACCTTCCAGATCCTGTGGGTGCAATGGCAAATTGTGAAGGTATCTCATGGTATCTCTTAATCTCAAAGAATCTCAAAGATAAAGCGCGCCTTGACCCAGGCCATTTACTAGATTCTCAACTTTCCACAGTCCAGGGTTTGCCCGACCAACTATCAGTGTACGCAAATTGAAGAACCCACCATGCAATCCATGCACTCTTGGGGTCAATCGTGTGCTGTCGAGTCGTCTCGTTGAAATATGTTGAAATAGGCCAAACACTATCAACTTGTAATCCTGCATTTGGGCTGATTGTCTCAATGGCACAGGCAGCGGGAATTTTGAAATCCAATGCGGGAATGCTGAGCAAACTGTAGACTCAGCATGACTCAGCCGCAGACGTCGGCGTTGGCGATTTGATGTACAGCTTCTGGGTGGGCGGGTTTGGTGCCACGGGTTTGAGCGCATATGCTGCTTGACCCTATCCACCCAAACATGGGACATGTTTCAAATGTTTAAAACGCTCACTGCCGAGGCAAGTCGGTTTTGCCTTTTACCCTGGCGTTTGGCTTGGCATTGAATGGCACAACATGGCTGAAAAACATTGCATTGAATGAGGGGAATGCTCTGTAGCGCGAGATTTTTGCAAACTTTCAAAATGAAACCCAGATCGATGCATGTCCAAGCCGAAATGACCATTTGCGATGGAAATACGTCAAAATGGTGGTATGTTTTCATTTGGCTATCATGTTTTCGTTTATATATGACATGATCATACATGATTATGATGCTTATGCAATTCTCATCATGACTCATGACTATCATTCATTATTTCCATGATGATGGCCGATGATGATGGCAATGACTGTGATGGTGATGATGATTATGATTGTGTGCACAACTTTCATTACCGCTATGGGACGACCCTATACCGATACCCCCCCTGTTTTGCATTTCATCGCTTCAAAGTCGAACACAGAAATCTTCACTGCCGATGGGGGACGACCGAACAAAGAGTTTCGTGTGCTCACATGATGCCACCGCTTGATTTGCTGTCCTGTGGGCCTCAGGGGACTTTGTGGATGTTGACGTGCTGCTGGACGTTGTCGAGATGAGCAAGGAGGCGACGGGGATGAATCCGAAGAGCGGCAAGAAGAATTGCTAGTTTCGATCGTTTTTCAAGACACCTAGGACTAGGACCTACCAGCAAACGAAACGGTTAAGTGCTGAGCTACACCAACTCTTTCCACTTTTCGAAGTGTTTGCATCGCATCAAGAAACCAAACTTCAGTCCTCGCCTCTTCAACCTCAGATTTCATCCACAAGTGTCTTCAATGAGTCCTTTGCGGTCCTTTAGTCGTAGGGAGATTCCGACTCACGACAATCATGAATATCATGAATGGTGAACTCCTATCGCATTTCTTCAGGAAATTCTCTCCTCGTGACCATGGTGAGCAGATCTACGACTGTGCCGGCTGTGCCATCCACATTGTGGCTGCGATGGAACATGTTTTCAATGGATGTCAAGTGATGATCATGGTGGTTTAGTGTGGTTTAACCATGTTTAACCGTTGGTTTTCTCCTTGTTTCTGAGGATTTCGTGCATCAAATGTCCCGAAAATCTCGATGTAAATCGAGGAAGCCATCCTGGCCATTCGGGAAAATATTGCTGCGATTGCTGCGGATCAGCCAAAACAGGAGATCTGATGAAAAGCCACCAATGGACGCAGGAGATCTGGAAAGGAGCCGCAGAAAATCCAGGGGTCGAACAGTCGAACAAGTCACCTTCTGAATTGACTGCTTGATACTGCTTGATACTGCTTGATATTGCTTGATTGTGCATGCCTTGCAGACGTTGCCAACATTGCCAACCCACTTACAGTAACAAAGTCTCCTTCGTTTTTTTTGTCTTGCTTCTAACACCATGATACAGTTTACATCATTTTACCAGTCTCTTTCTGGTGCATATGATCCATATTTGGCTGCAGTTTATCCAACACACAAAGTTAGTATGAAACCTCTTGAACCAATTGAAACATCCTCCTTGCTTGCATTATATTCGTTTGGACTCCACTGATTCTTCCTGCCCTCCGATGCATTATCAGGAACTCATGACAGATGTGTGTGATGCGCAGATGCCATTCGCACACTTGACAGACTTAAACAGACCTGGAAACATGTGACATATGATCTCTAGGTCCGCTGTGTTGGAAGATAAATTGTCTTTCAGTTCACTACCAGATCTTTTCGTGCTGCATGGCTGATCTCCGTCTGTTGGCATTTGGGGCTCAGGAACGGAATTGCAGACATGATTTCTCTTTGTTTCACCATTTAGTACTTGGGGAAGCTTCGAAGTGTAGCCTGTGATATGATTGTATTGTGTTATGAGTTATGAGATGTTGTCAGACAGAATGTTGATAGATGCCAGCTACGTCGCAGTGAATCCTTCAGACAACTGGCTGCAACTCTGACTGCATTGAGTACGATGTCGCTATGGCGGATGCATGCAGAACAAAGCCCCATCTTCGCAGAATACTTGCTTTTGGCAGAAGAGGCCGCCGACGACAGCAGCGATGGTCAGCATGGCCAATCTTTGGCCCAGTTTTGAAATGCGAGAAATGAAGGGCTTCGCTGGCCAGAACATGGTTCTATATGGGTATGGATCAATACCTATTAATACCATTTTTAGGGGGATGAACATCCATTTACCAGCTATTTTGATGTTCACCAGGGGTACAAGGTTTTGACACACTGCCATATGGTTCTTGCATGTTCTTGCTTCATTTATCTCCATTATTTTGGTGACAACTCGGGTGATGGTAAACATGTTTGCCTCTCGGACGGTGCAGGTGGGATGGGGAGAGTTGGTAGACACCGCGGACACAAAGATTGGACGTGGTGATGTGCTGCTCGTGGTGGATATGCAGCATTTTGACTGCAGCATTAGTCATGGACAATTGGGCTACCCTCTGGTAAACTAACATAACTATGGAAAATCAACTCACTATAAATGGCCATTTTCAATAGCTATGTTAAATTACCAGAGGGTAGTTGTATCAGACATTATCAGACTGATTTCTCACTCCTTTGACTTTGTCTAGGAATGGTTTGAACAAAGGGCAAACTTCGCAACACAATGTGAGTGTTGAAACTGTGGTTGGAAAATTGTATGGGTGGAAAGCCATGGTTGAGCCATGAGCCAATTTTGGAACACACTGAGCATCACTGAGCTATCTTTATAGATATCTTTAGCTCAAATGAATCGTGGAGAAGGAGGAGTATTGGACTAGGTGGCCAGTATTTACTATGTGTCCTGATGTGTTCTGAGCATTCCTGGCATGTATCTGAAATGATATGAAATGCATATAAAATGCATTCCTGATGCAAGATTTCCATATTTCTGACATGGGATCTGTCTGTCACAAGGAATGACTTTTTGGAGCTGGATCCCATCAATCCCAATGGAGGTGTGGAGTGTCCAGTTTTCTGCACTTTTTTATCTCTCGAACTCATTGGATTGCCTTGAAAAGTCTCTGGACAGCTGAGAGACAGACATTTCCAGGTTTCACGACTTGGTGATTTGTTAGTGACGTTAGTGCTAGTATGTGCTAGTCTCTGGCAAGGATGGGGATCAAACCTGGCCAATCATCGCTCCGAAACACAAATCATCAGCAGGTGTTTAGATTTTAGTCACTGCTCATCTTCCGATGAAGACAACACACTTGGGGTTTTATATTTGAAAGTCCACGATGGAAACATGTTAAATTGAAAGCGGTTGAATCCTACCCTCCTGGGGTCATATCATGAGCCATTCGCATTGCAGGACTGCAGTAGTCCTCAGATGTTTTTGTCATAGCTCTCAAAGCCTGTAGGTCATAAACAGATACCCTGGCCTGGGTAGTAACGGGTAGTAGATGGTAGTAGTTCCTATTGTAGTGTGATCCCACACCAGCGACTGTCACTCTTATAATTTGTGTATTTGTATTAGATGGATCAGATGGAAACTATGGTGCTAGGGTTTGGCCCACAACCAACATCAGCCAACCACATTTGCATACATTCGGCAAGTGGTACAGCAACAGAACATGACCTCGTTTACTCCATTGCCAGTCGCAAGTCCGAAAGCCTCATGAAAGCCCTGCAGGTGCCTTCGCCGTTGCAGAAGGCAACTCCATTTGTTTTCAAGTGGTGCAACTCATAGAGCACTTCGCACAAAGCTCCCTGACTTCCAACTATTTTGAACCCCATTTTGAACGCCTAGGCTGGTACCCAAGATACCCCAGGTAGTGCTTGTGACCACACTGTATTTGGTTCCGAAGGAATTTTCCGCAAAATGATGATCTGCAGATACGTGTTCGACTGATTGATTGCTTCAAGATGCTGCGACATCTAGGCCACGGTGAGTTGCAAGTATGAACAGGGATGTGAGATAATAATTTTGGAGGTCTCAAATCCTGGTACCAGCGAAAATGTTTCTGAACTGCAGAGTGCAACTTGTCTCTGTGGAGTGGGGGCAGAAGGCAAACAACCATTATGGCGGCAGAATTCCCTCAGAATTCCATGTATCTCTTGTCGGTCTAGTGATGAGTGCGGTAAAAAACGACCTGTCCACTGAGCCGAGGGTTTCTCAAAAGAATTTTCAAGAAGATGTCAACTCTTGCCCATGCCAAGGAGGAGGAGATGTTGTACTCACCAGTTGCTTTGGCTTGCATATTGGCCCTTTGCCCTTTCAAATATATAGTATCTCATTATATCTCACTATAGTGAGTGACAGTGGCTTATGAATTTGGCAGAAACAGAAACTGTTAACCAATCGCCGCTCGAGCCGAAGGGATGGGCAAACCCAGGAGGCATTAGATTTGGTGATTTTCATCACCCATCTCGCGTTTTAAATTTGGTGATTTTGAAGGTGCAGACATTTGCAGACATGGACTACACTGACTACACTGACTACACTGAGTACACTGACTACACTGACTACACACAAACAGAGCATCTAAGGAGATTATCATCCCAAGAAGCACTGTTCTTTTCTTCAGCAGAAAGGGCCATTCCCGGAGCATTGTGTTCAAGGAGCTGATCTGGCACCGGTTTCAGCTACCCAGCCTGCCAAACTCACAGCTGATGTACCACAAATATGAAGGAATGTCATAGGAATGTCGAGTTGATCGAAGATAGGCGAACAATGAGCGAAGAATGACGTTTGAATGATGACCGCTCTCGACTTACCTCATAAGAACTGGTGATTTTGCAGGCTGAACAGTCAAACAAGCACTCTGGCTGCGGAAAGACAGGGACGGATGTCCAGGTGACTATGGCTGTTAGGGGGGTTCGAGTTCCGATCCGGAGAGCCACCCAAAAGTCGGATTCGAGTTTCGGGTTTCGGGTTTCGGGTTTCGGGTTTCGGGTTTCGGGTTTCGTCGCTTGAAACCAACTTTCGCTGTCAGTTTCGGGTTTCGGGTTTCGTCGATTGAAACCCACTTTCGCTGTCGGTTTCGGGTTTCGGGTTTCGATCGGCCCTGGGGAAGTTCGTCTTCTCGGTTTCGGGTTTCGGGTTTCGGGTTTCGGGTTTCGATCGGCCCTGGGGAAGTTAAGTCTTCAGAGTCGGTTTCGGGTTTCGGGTTTCGGGTTTCGATCGGTCCTGGGGAAGGTAAGTCTTCAGAGTCGGTTTCGGGTTTCGGGTTTCGATCGGTCCTGGGGAAGTTAAGTCTTCAGAGTCGGTTTCGGGTTTCGGGTTTCGGGTTTCGGGTTTCGGGTTTCGGGTTTCGATCGGTCCTGGGGAAGGTAAGTCTTCAGAGTCGGTTTCGGGTTTCGGGTTTCGGGTTTCGGGTTTCGCTGGTCGAAACCAACTCTGCAGACCTCTCTCCGGATCACGTCTCGGGGGTTCAGCGATGGCAATCGATCATCAAGGTGACCATGCTTGGTCAAATTGCCTGCTCATTTAACTTGTTTATTAGTACTATATATATTATTATAAATCTACAAAAGCAAAACAAATAGTTACTATAGTTTATCAGCTCCAGGAACCAACGGATCTTTCTTCTATGAACCAATCTCTCAGTGCGTCTCGCGACTTCGTGGTGGTGATGCTCCATACCACGATGAAGTTCCTTGACCAAAGCAGGTTCCATCTGGTTCCGGATCCATTTGGATCCATCGATCGTGCCATGATCCAAGCAACACGAGCAACACGAGCAAACTAAGATGTAAATTATTGTGAAGATTTGTGAAGTTCCATTTTCGGGTGATCTTTTTTGTGCTCAGTTCTGCGTAGTTCATTCAGCCTTCAGCCCTTCATGTGAACTTCAGTTCCGATCATGTTGACTGCTAGTGAATCAACTGGGGGATCCAACCAAGTTTCGGCATTTTACGTGAGGGATGTGTCGGATTGCTGCGTGGTGTGTCATGATCCAGATGGAAGTCTCAAAGGTTAGATTTAACATTTTAAATGATATGACAATGATATGAGTCGAGTGTATTTTTTTTTATTTATCAATCCATTTTTCCCAACATGAATTGATATGTTTGTGGCTGGCAAGAGTACATATTATGAATACTGGCACTTTGTTCTGAAGTGATATACTTCCAAGTCTGTTTTGAGCACGTTGGAATTTTCCAAGTCTTTCAAGGCAGACGATGTTCACAAAGGACTCCACGCGAAATTGATGTGGATTTTTCTTTGTTCTTGGAATACGTTTCCTTGCTCTTTGGAACTCAGAAGCATTGATGCCCCACCATGTCCTTCAATGCTGCGTCTAAGGTTCGGATTGCGGTCAAAGGCTTCCACGAGGAGACGGGTTTGAGAGATTGCAAGACAGAACATGCGCGTTCGTGTGCTTTGTTTTGCTTTGTTGTCAGGGGCGCTGACCAGCCTGTGGACTTGTTGTTTCTGATAAGCTAAGATTCGGCAGTCTTCGCTGCCAAAAATAGCTGGAAAAGAATTGTTGATCTCCTTGGGTCAGGTTGGCGATGAACGCTGCACATGTAATACCAGTTGCCACCATATTGCAGGTGGCGCCTCACAATTATCAATTGGCCACCTCACATCCCCTGCAGAAATGTTTTTGTTTGCTATTTACAGAAACGGGAACATGTGGCAAACGAGTGAATTTGTCCCAAAGTTTGAGAAACACTTAGTCCAAGTCGACTTTTTCCAGGGCCCTCACCTCACAGCCAGGACGTAGATTCCTTTGGGGCGTTTGAATACCCAGATGAGGCAGAGTCTTGGGTTACTTGGCAGCGACTGAATCTTGACTCGCGGGTGGATTGTAGTCGACTGAACTCGACTGAATCTACGAACGCCCGTTCGTGGTGATAATGTATCAAATGTATCAACAGTGTCTCCCGTAGTCGTCATAGCGTCACATGTCCAGGCTGGAAACACAGAGCAACCATGGCTATTGAGCATAGTTTTCCACAGATCATGGCGGCTAACCCTGGTTGGTTTTGGTTCACACCCCAACCAGGGAAGACATTCTGCTGACTTTCAACTGATGCAGATGTGATGGACATGGGCTGAAACCACCACCAACCATTGGATATCCTTGGTCTCAAAGAGCTACTGTCTGCCATTTAGAAAGTGGGTGATGATGTTCCAGCATGTTCGAATTCGTTGACTTCACTTCCATTCCTTTTTTTGCTGGTATCCAACGCCTTACCATGTGGTGGTGCCGTGGCGGCTTAGGAACGGCTGCCACATACATCGAAATGCAAGGAAGAGAGACTGCACGGTTACGGCCTCAATGCCTGGACTGGGGCTGTCCTGCTGGACAACGCCAATCAGGCGGGAGTGTAGCCGTTTGAAAGTATATAATACATTTATATAAATGAATTATCCTATTACCCGTTGGTTATTTACATAGCCATGGAAAATCATCACTTTTAATAGGTACATCATCTATAAATTGGTCATTTTCCATAGCTATGTTAAATAACCAGAGGGTAATGATCCTATTACATCCAATTACAACATATCAAATGATAATGGTTATCAAATGGTTATCATGGTTGGCCATGTACCCTGTGGATCCCTGTGGCACCAGGATGCAGATCCCAATGCTCCCCCAGACGCTTGGAATTTGGAGAGGTCCTCGGGGTCCCACACGTTTGGGTGTTTTTTTTCTCATTTTTCTTTCCATTTAAGTTTATCCCTTTTGCGATGCTTTCTCTTAACCTCAACCTTTCGGAACTGCGCAAGTGAAGAGCCAGTGGGCAGTGGGCGATTCCAGTAAGACGGCGGAGTTTGATTTCCCTTGAACACACCTTCGAGCTGTTTTATCAGCTATATAAGTCAGAAGGGTAGTACGGTAGGGCCTGAGGGAGTGGATGCCTATAGGGTGATGGGTCATCTCGCCTCGAGGATGTCATGGCCATCTATCGCAGGGAATCCTTGAGCGATTGGCTGCAGAATCGGGGCACGTCGCTTGGCAGAAATGTCAGCTACCTTGGGCACCTGTGAAAGGTGTGCCTGGAGTACAGAGACAGTCCCACCATGTCCCACCATTTGTTCAACTCGGGCAGTATTTTTTGATGTTCAACTTAGGGAGAGGCTCTTCGTTTGTGGGTGTCCTGGCGTTTTGAGGAAGGAGTTGGCGCAGGTGAGCCATGTTTTCAGGTCTCTTTGAGTACCTCAATGTGGCTTTTACATGCTTTTACTCATCCCAAATGTAGTTGATTGATGCCGATTATATAATCCGCATTGTGGAACCGATTGTGAGATGGGCTCCCACGTGCTTCCACGAAATAGATAGGAGAAAAGCTATGACCGGTGGACAGTGGTTGCCCGGAGCTGGGCTGTCCCACAAACCTGGGATGGTAGTGAGCAGTCTTCACACCCATGTGGATGAAGATCGGTGAATCCTTTTTTGGGGTTCCCACAGGTGGGTTCAGTGAGGCTGCTTTGCCATTCCCCATCTTGTGATCCTCGTGTTTCCCTGGCCTGAGTCACCTCGGATACCAAGCAAGCAACTGTTCTCAGATACATGGAAGTGCAGCCATAGCAATGTGTCCTGAATTCCTTCATTTTGGAGCATATTCTTATAAATTCTTGAATATTCTTATATATTCTTGTACATGTGAACATTTGTGCATAACCATCATACAGTGAGGGAGCCATGATGGTCCTGACGAGGTTGGCTTTAGATTACTGTGTGCTGGACACAGTGCTGGGTGCAACGAAGATGGGCTTCAGGCATGGAACACTGCTGGAGGTGAAGTGAATCCCCCTTGTTTGCTGAAGACTAAACTGCCTCCCCTCCGAAATTGAAGAGCTTTGAATGGCGCAGATGATGTAATTTTTTATAGGTCCGACCAAATCGCTCTGCAACAGGAACACCCACCTGGTGCTGGACTCTTCAAGAGCTATGCATTTGAAAGATATGGGCAAGGCGTGGCAACTGGTGCTCTTTTGCAGCGCATCTCTCGCTTCGCTTAAGACTGATCTAGCAGGGAGCATATTGTGAGACCCCCAGGTCTAGTCAGTCCTCAGGGGCTGCAGGGGCTCTAGATTCCTAGATGTTGATAGCAGCCATTTGGAGGTTAAATCAACCAGCAACTCTGCAACTCTCACCTGGCGCAGTTCGGTACTGGCTTCCTCAGCGACCCTGCGATGATTCAGAAAAAGCTGAAAAACGCCGGGGCAAAGATTGTTGGCGGCTCAGAGACTGGAACAATGCACGTGTGATTTAATTTGTTTGCTTTGGGATGCTTTGGGCGAGAGGAAGATGTTTGCTGGATTACGATGTAGTTTGAAGATAATGCTGAGCTTAAAATGGAATGTAAGTTAATTTGCCGCCTTCGAAGTAGAACAATTCGCTGAGCTCCTGTGCGGCGATGCACGGCTCTGCTGAAATTTGTCCTGGATGCTTATTTCAATTGATAATTGTCAATCAATAGTCAATTCAAACAACAGTGATTTCTGATCTTCAGAGGTTTGGGCTTTCTGACAGTTGGGCACAACACCTCACAATGGGCGTGTACTGTAGCATAGCATGCTCACATATGCTCACTATTTTGTCCTAGGTGCCCACCGCAGCTATTCTCCCTGGCGACTTGGCTTGCTCGTTTGCGATTGCAGCTATGAAGATAGATTCAACAATTGATTCAACATTATATTGGAAGAATATGGAAGAATGATAAGAATGTAGAGCATTGAACAATTCACGAATGATATGTTTCCTCGTTCGTCAGAAGGCATTGTGCCGCTTTCCCTTCCTTGAGCACGACCTATCACCTGTAGTAGCTACTTGTACTGGGGTCATTCAAAGAGCAGCAAAAAGCATCAAAAAGCAACAACATGCAATAACAATGGAGTAAAGCCTCTCAACGCTGGTTGCGGAACCCAGAAGTCTGAAGGCGATATGTGGTTTTCGGACAAGTGCTGCAATGCTACATAATGCGTCTTACTGCACAGCCTTAGGATTTACGCCTTCCAATCCCTTTTATGACAAGGCAGGAGCAGTGATCGAGTGTTCATCGCTCAACCTCTCACGCACTGTCAGCCACTGTCAGTCGAGATTCTGTGTTTTTGGCTGAACTTGAACAGTCGGATTCTGGCCTCTCCTGCCTCTCCTGCCTAGATTCGACAAGGCATTGCCTTTGAATAGCCACCTTGGCTTCCTTGGCTGCGGTAATGGTTGATGCCTTGATGCCGATTGATGCCGATGAGATGTGAGGCGGAGCTGAAGCATGGCTTTCCCAAGACCCTCGGGCCTTTCGCTTTGTGCCGCTGCAAGAGGCTGTCGCTTTGGGTGGATCGCGAGGCTTGACAGAGAGCGGCGTGGAGCAGGGTGGAGTTGTGGATGGCTTGCAACTTTGAGTTCTGTGGTATTCTCAATATCAATATTGTATTATATATTAATATGTATATATATATATATGTATACTTGTATGTGATATACATATATGATATGATATATTATTGTAATACGCAGCTTATATATATATATATCACTGGTAAGGTGGAAACATTTGGAAACTCATGTAGATGCGAGAAGTGAAGAGTTAGTCATGCTCAGTGCAAAACGTGATGCCATGCATGTGATGAGTCATGAATTCAGACTACATCCTGGCATAGAAGATGCCTGACGATGTTTGCACGACGAATCTGGTCACTCGCATCATTTTGCACATGGATTTTGAGTATGTTTGCGCACCGCCGGCCAAGGAAAAGGGAAGCTACAAGGTGCTCTGCTTGGTCTCAACTTTGTCAATCCTATGGGCACTGCACACCACACAACACAACGTCACACAATATCATACAATCATATTTTAATATACCCTCTGGTTATTTAACATAGATGGTTTACCTATTAATAGCATGGTGATTTTCCATGGCTATGTTAGTCATAACCAAAGGGTATTTCAATCCTCAAATCTGCTTTTTATGCGATGGACTCCAAGGCCACAAGCCCCTTGGATGTGATTCGTCAGCTGGAAGATCGGGACATTCCACCCACAGGTGGAATGTGGAATTGGGAGAATTTGGATCCAAATGCAAACCACCTGCCTGTGTCTGTATGGTTTGCTGATGTTTGTTGATCCCTCGGATTGCATTGGACTCTGAGACGAACGAAAATTAGCTTGCTGTCGGATGGAGTACGCTTGCTGGCATGGGCACAAAATGAAACATATTGAGTTCTAGTATGTTCTAGTATACCCTCTGGTAATTTAACATAGCTATTGAAAATGACCATTTATAGTGGATTTACCCATTGAACATGGTGATTTTCCATAGTTATGTTAGTTTACCAGAGGGTAATAATTGATGAGTTCTGAACATATTTGATGGCTTCTACGGCTTCTACATATTTGATAAATCCTTCGTATTCAACCAGGCATTTGTTGGAGCGCCCTTGATCTGAGCTCACCAGACATACCAGCAAGAGACACAGATGTTTTTTTTGATTTATTTGGGTTGGTTACTGCAAAAATTCTCAAATGGGTGTATAATGGGTGTGCTATGGGTGTATTATGGTCATTTATGGTCCATGGGTGTAAAATTATGGTGTTTTTTTTGACCATGCCACTTTGGGTTGGTTAGCATACCACTGTTGTAGAATCATGCTCATACCACAGCCATTCCATACATTCCATAGCTGGTTGGTGGTTTCAAACATTTTTTTATTTTCCATTTCATCTATGGGATAATCCTTCCCATTGACGAACTCGATCATTTTTCAAGATGGTTATTGCACCACCAACCAGATAATTATTAACCATCATTAAGCATCATCATAACCATTAATATTAATCATATATTAACCATTATTAACCATTATTAACTACCAACCAGTCTCATTCCATATTTTTGTTACCACATGCCACGCCCATGGATCGGTCTTGGCCAGGCCGCATCTCAAATCCTGTGCCCCTCACCTTGAAGGACGAGGAGCCTTGGATTGGGCATGGTCATGACGGCTTAGTGGCACCATGTGGCACCTGTCCCCAAACTTGATGTCAGGACTCAAGAGTTGAATTGCATATTGAATTGTTGTGGTTGTGAATTAGCTTGAAAAGGAGCTGCTTGGCTTCCACAAATCGCAACATCTTTGAGTGAGTGGCTCCAATGACTAGTACTTTCTCACGCATGATGATTTTCTGTGCGCTCACATTGGTGCACTCTACCCTTGCCGGAGCCTGCTCTTTATTGGTCGATCTTAGTTGCTGACTTTGACGCCGATCGCTAGGTGAAGAAGAGCCTGAAGATTCCGCAAGATGCTACGGAGAACCTTAGCTGGATGTAAAATTTAATGTCCAGCTCATCCCAGGCTGAGCCACTTGTGCTAGTCCATTGACATCTGAGGATGCAAGTAAAGTGAGATCTGATTGATCTACGTCGATCTGACAAGTCAGAACCTCTAAAATACAAGTGTACAGGTTGACTACTTGACTTGCGATTACAATTCATATTCTGGCTCAGCCGTCATGGCACTATCGTGCAGACCCACGAAGTACGACTCAGCAATGATCCATGGTGACGTATTTTGTGGTATTTTGCAGAGGTCATGATTCTATGCCGCTTATGGTTCATCAATCCCACGTCATTGTCATTCAATCTACAGTATCGTCATGCTTCCACACCATTATAATACCCCTTACAATAGTTAATAGATGTTAATAGTTAATTATAGTTGATTAATATTATCCCATCATATCCCGTGATATCCCGTTATCCCTTGAAATTGAGTGCTTGATTTCTAGACCATGTGTTTGTGTGTGCGCCAAAATCCATGATCCATCTGTCCCTTCACCAGATACTGCTGGGCATATCCGGTAAGCGCAGCGAAGTGGACGGATCAGGCGCCTGCTTTGGGAGGCTGAGAAAGCTCCTTTAGTTTGCACATGATTTTTAAGATCCCAATTTCTCCTCTGAAAGATTCTCAAACCAATTTCACATTTCAGGTTCAAACTCCCTGATTTCACATATTTCAGATGATTTCCCTGTCTGTCAACTGGGTTAGATACAACCAGACCTGCTAGTAGCATCTAGTAGCACACCAGACGACGGCCAAGTGCAGGCGTTGGCGTATTTCTCAATCAGTACACCATCTGCGGCCTTTTTTGTCTATGGTGGCTACGTCTATTTCGACAGGATGGGCCGAGTCAAGGGCGTGTCTCTTAGCTCAATCTTTGATGGGGACTGTTTAGGGGACTCTTAGCAGGCAAGGATGGCAACGACAGACAAGTATCAAGAAACTCAGGCAGGGGTCCCCAAGAGACAGAACTTCAGATACTTTCATTGGGATGATCCACAATGCCACGATCAACACACCAAATTGCAATCTTTTGATGTGGAAAGGCTTGGGGCTTGGGTCTATAGACATAATAGAATCATTCGTGTTTGTCTATGGGTGTCAAAATAATATTGTCAAAATGATAATGCGGGTCAAAGCCATCTACAACTCCACTTTACAATACTTTACAATGGATTATTTTACATCGTCCCCAAAATGATCTTCATTTGTATCACTGGTTGGTTGGGAGGTTCATATTTCAGGCGGACATGTTCATTTTCCTGCTATAGTTTTTGCTTGGTCGAATTCTCACCAACTTGATCTGTTGTGGTATGTTGTGGTAATTTTCAGCCCTACCTACTTCTGGTCATAAACCTGTTCGGTACTATATGGTACTATTGACAATATCTGTCTTTTGGGGTACCCTCCGGTAAACGTTTACATAACTATGGAAAGATCCACCATTTTTAATGGGAAAATCCACTATTTCTATGGCCATTTTCAATAGCTTTTTGTATGTTTACCAGAGGGTAGGGTGCCCTCACCACCCAGGTTCGCAGTTTCTCTTGGGAACGGTTTGAGCTTCGAAGCGGGACAAGCATGGGATCAACGCTACACGGCGGCCATGGAAAACCGATGGGTGCACATCACAGTCCCATATTTGCTGGACAAAGGACGAGAATCTGAGAAGGGGGCGTAGAAAAATCAGGGCTTACCTGCTGTGACATGGAGAGGGGTGGGAAATTTGAGTGTAACTTGAGATGTGCTTGGTGATTTGCTCGGTGTGACCTCTAAGAGCTGAGCTTGCTGCCATATACAGAGATTCACAAGCCACCAGGATGTCCACTCACCAGTAAGGTACCCAATCATCAAATAGACGATCAACTCCCGGAACTTCTAAGGGCAGGTTCAGTCACCCCGGTTCTATGGTCTGATGGTCATACTGTGTTCCATCAAGTGCCATTTTACCCACAAATAGGTTTCCAGCGCACCTCCCCAAGTGGATGTGGGGTGGCACTGGAGCAAGGGGCAAGCAAGGAGCTCGTTATTTCGCGTGGATCAATGGTGGCGAAGTGCTACAGCCTGCTGCCAAGGACGTTTGCCGCGGCATGCGGCATGCCGTGGCATGACGGCTGTACTTGGGGTCCTGGGATCAAAATCAGACGTGGCTTGACGCAGGTCTTGGTTAACTCACATCACCGGCATCCTGCATCCTCATGGATCCTCAAGCTCCATCCTTGGGCTGTGATAGGTACTGTCATTGATAGGTAGATCCAGGTTGGGTGGACTGTGGACTGTGGCTTACTTTAGCCAAGCGCCTTTCTCATTCTTGTTGTTTATCAACATGTATAATCATTTATATTTGATATAGATAGTTGATCGATCAAGCCAACACGTTGTTGGCAACTCAAATGCACGGACCGTGCCAATCAGGATCTTGCAACCTCAGCATGAGAGGTTGAGACATTCCCTTTTGGATATGATAATCTATGTAACATGAATATAACATGATGACATTTACCATGGCAGCAATTGGTATCATGGCAGTGATGCTTCCATTTCTATCCTGGCCAGGAGGTGCTCGGAGGTGAAGACTGGAAGGTGAATGCCTTAGTGCCAAGTTGGTGAAGAACACATTGGTGCTGTGTTTTTGATTACAATTTTACCAGTTTCAACCAACTTGGTGGTGTTGAATTGTATGACTACTGTATGACTATCATCATTTGGTATTCATTCAGAAAACACATGTCGTGTTCTGGATCAACATGCGGGTGGCTAGGCCCAGAATGATCCAGGATGCAAGTCATTTGCCTTGACCAACTCGGAAACGGCTACTGAAACATCCCGTGAAACGTGTTGGCTAGGTTTCCTTTGCAAGTCACCATCCCCTTTCTTGGGGGACGTCCCTAAAATCTGCCAGCTGCCCATATTCATGTTCCGTCATTTTGGAAGAAATGACCTTCTGCAACGCTGGCTTCAGATGGGTTGTGTCCCATCTCCACAGAATCCTCCACAGAATCCTCCACAGAATCCTCCACAGAATCCTCCACAGAATCCCCAAGTCTTCCATCTGTTTCATCCTCCATTTCCAAGGCTCCGCAGCATGGCTGCTTTGTGTACAAGTTCAGCGAGTCCCCTCAATTGGCAGTAGCGTGGCGGAACTGGGAGACCGATCACTTGGAGGATCAGCTCAACTTGATCGCAACGCAGGGCTAGGGTTTGAAGCTTGAGGGAAAGGAACAAGTACAACCCAACCACGTGCTCATGTTGAGAGTACTCAGTGTTCATGTCTGTTCCATTATCTTTCGCCGAGATCTATTTCAACTGGCCTCTTTTCAAGTTGCAAACTGTGGGGATGTTACTGCCGTCAGTCAGTGATGCGATCACAAAGGGTGGCTTGCAATCAGGGACCCTATGGTGAATAGTGCTTTACTTCACGAGATTCGCAGAAGATCTTCATAGAGTGAACCACGAATCTACATTTCCAACCCCAAGCTCACTAGTTCGCCCATCAATAGCCATCCTCCCTTTGCCCGGCTTCACATGTGGAAACCGTTCCAGGATGATCGGGACGTGTACTTTGCAGTGGCTGGATCTGGAGAAGATTCCAAAGCCTTTGGTCGGATGGGTGCTGAAGAGCAGGCCGGCAACAGATCTAGCTGCATAAACGAGAACATCTTTGAGCACCTACATGAATAACATTGAATAACAAAATGTCCTCAGATTGCAGCGTGAGATGGCAGCATATGGCAGCATATGGCAGCTAAGCTTAAGGGTCCCATACAGTCCCCAACTCAGATAACTCAGTGTCCGGATGTCGATGCGAGGCTTTGCAGAGCCTGCGAAGGCAGCTGGGCGGTGAAGCTTGGCGATGTGTCCATGATTTCAGCCTCCATGCGCAACCTCAACCTGGAGTCAACGCGCATGTAATGAGTCATCAGATGTAATCAATCTACCCATAATCACATATGAATACATATGATACACATGTTTTTTCACGTCTGCTTTATTATTGGTTGGTGTGTAGAACTCTGTAGAACTGTAGAACCATGATTTTAGAGGGTGATCCCAGTATCCCAGCAGAGTGTTGGCCCCTTTGGGTGCATGGTGGGCCAAGGATACACTTCAATCTGCGAATCTCCAGAAGGTGGAGAAGTGCCTACAAGATTGGGCGACTTGGCCGAGGAGATAAGCAGCACTAAAGATACTAAAGCCAATGTGGTCCTGGACATGCGTTAAAAATTGCAGCTGGCATCTTTGTTTTAGTTACTGTATATTCTGGTGACCCAGTTTGGAATGTGGAATGATTGAAGCAGCGCTTGACTGGCGGCAATGTGGTTTCACGATGAGAGAGAAACAGTATGCAACAATAGGCAGGGGTTGACATGCTGGGGAGCCACATTGCGAGATATTGAAGAAATACCAAACCAAGACGTTGCTAGTGAACCTTGCCATCTGCCAGGATTGAGATCAGAGATTATGTTATAGTCTATAAATAGTGATTTATAGATATTTATAGTGTATCTGTATGAAGTAAGTATATATGATCTTGGCAGTATTGTGTGCAAAGAAGACTCACTGACTCCGGCTTTCCTAATATATGGCTCAATATGGACAATGAGTTTGTGCAATCATCCCATGGTTCATCATGTTTCCACATAATGAGGCCACAAAAAAACACATTTGTTTCATCTCGTTTTTTGCATCTGAGGATGCCAATAGGGATGGAAAGATCAGCGAAAACGAGATGGCGGCAGCCTTGAAGATGCTGAATCCCAAGATCTCTCCAGAGACTCAGCAGACAGCCGAGAAACTTTGGGATGGGATGAGGATGGGAAGTTTCGGATGGGAAATGGCAGAGAAACAGGCAGATCCGTTTCATAGTTTTGGATGGAATGATTGGGATAGTTTTGGTAGTTGTGTCTGGGATGAGAAACATCCAAAACGATAAAAAAACTATGACCAGGCAGACAGCAGACATGATTATTATATATTATTATGATTCCTCGATGGAAATGTGACTGTTGAAAGGGTTGGAGATACTGATGTCTCGAGCCAATTACACCCAATAGGCGGTTTGCTGTTGTTGATGAGGCTGATTATTATTTGTTTACATCTGTCTAAAAATATGTGTTTACATTTGTTTCATAATGTCATAGTGTCAGGTATTATTCCACCACCTTCAGCTTTGTGAGATATGGTCTTCCCTCATCGCAACGGACGTTGTATCCGTACAGCGGCTGCCGAGAAATCAAGGATAGCCTAAAGCGTATCTTCGGTCAGGCGGACTTGAACAAGGCTCCGAGTAGAGCGGGGCAGCACCTGATGCCTGCTGGAGTACTGTAGTAATTGATTGGTCTTGGAGGAAGAGTCTGAGCAAATGGTTCGTAATTGTCCCGAATTGATGATTTGTGATGATTTTGCAAATTCATTGTCCAAAAGAGCGCTTGCAGCACTTCAGATTTGTACCATGAGGTTTAATTAGTTGGTGTATTGCTTGTTTTTATTTAGACTTTCTAGAGTCTGTTTAAGTATTGAAGCCTGCTTAACTGTGTGCGGTCATGGTTAACATTGATGATATAAATACCTCTTTGCGTGACAATGGCTTCACACAGCAAAACGAGGATGGGTAAGACAGTTAAAAAAACTCAACAATGAAGAACCAGCAGTCAATAGAATACACTACTACTTGTTGCAAGAAGAACAGAATTCGCATACTTTTCTGCGGCCATCCGCTCCTATGAGAGATCTTTCGGAGATCTTTCGGAGCTCATCAAATGCAACCCGTACTTATGCAACCCAAAAGAATTCAAAAATTCTAAAGTGCCTTTTGCTTTGGAATTCAAGAATTGAATCTATATTTGGTAAGGGGGTGGTGAGTCGCACAGAAATGAAGGCCATACCGACTGTAATAGTTTCCATGAGGAGGCATCAGCAGAGCATTGTGCAGGATGGCTTTCTTGATGTGGATGAGTTTATGTCTTGGCTATGGCCGGAGTCCAGAACTTCAAGGTGATGTGCGCATTTGTGGACAGTATGGGAAAGTATGGTGCTGGACTATAGATGGAAGGTGAAACTTCTCAATTTGTGGAAAATCATGTTGTTTCAGCGAGGAAATTTAGAAGCACATGTCGAACTTTGACCAATATTTTGTCATCCTTAAGCCTTATGCTGTGCAGCCTGCTACTCTTTCCTCGCACCCATGCGATTTCAGGTGAGGGCTTCCGGTGTGAGTGACTTTTGACTTTTGACCATGAGGTTTGAAAGTGACTTGGACTGATTCGTGTTCCAAGATGATCTGGGGGCCATCCTCAGACCAGGTTTTTCTACCCTATAGTTCAAGATTCGATGCTTGATTTATTGTGCTACGGAAGTACCTGAACGTATACCATTCACTTCTTCGTACGTGCACCGGGTATGGTATACATCAACTCCCCACCATGCATTTTCCAAGAAGAATTCGATTCTCCGACAGGCCGTATTTCAATCGCTTTCACCATATGATGTGTATGGCGTTCTTTAAACTCTAAATCACACGAGTCGAAAGTTCATCGCTAATCCATGTCATGCCGGTCCCCGTTGTCCTTTGAATGCATTGAAGTCACTGCGCCAAAGCATCGTCAATTGCGAACCACACAGATGGTACACGACAATACAGGACCATACACCACCTTCAGATCAAAATGGTGCGATCATTCCAAGGTCCAGACCAGACACAACCAGACAAGTGAAGCCGAATAACGTGATTTCAGTCTTTCCCAAAGAGCGAAGTGACTGCTGTTCCAAGTGCAGGGCATAAATCCTCCAAGAGGACTGGACCTACGTGCAATCGGAGGAAATGATGTGATTGACTTTTTGAATGCAGCATGGTATGATCCTGCCCGTCCAGCTTCAAGAGGGCCCCTTTGACACCACTAGTGAGAGATTTGCTAGTTGAGTCAAGGACCTGAAGCAGGATAGCTAGGGATTTCCAGAACTCTGGCAAGGGGGCAGGGAATGTGTGTTCTTGTGTGTTGCAAGGGTCTGACATTGAACATACACAGTCCGAATACAAAGTGCTATCTTGATATCCGTCAGTTTTACAAAGATGCTTTTTGGCAATACCCCTTTTATATCCTTTTATTGAAATACACCAGTGAAATTCTGGTATTCCATACAGTGACAGGTAACATCTGCGTTCCGAGTTTTTCATGAGCTCCAGCTGCTTCTGTGGCTCAAACGTGGCTCCAGCTCCGTAGAACTGGCAGCTAGCTATGTCAGCTATGTCAGCTATGTAGACGACATCTATCGATGCGGTGAAGAGTTCACGGTTTGGATTTTGGTACTTTTTTCACAGAGTTGAGTTATGGATGGATGGTGGCTTTCACTGACCATCAGCTTTACATCAACTAGCACCTGTGCAGCAAATCAAGACTGGGGACAAAGAGTCACTTTCCATATCAGACGTTGCAGCACGGGCATACTGTATACTTGTGACTAATTCATTATAATTCATTACTAGTTGTCTCAAAGCACAAGTGCATCCTGTCAGCCTTTTGTCATCTCTACTAGTACGACTCTACATGTGCGACAACAAGCCCTTGGTTTTGGTTTCCAAAAGATCTCTATCCTCAGCATTTTCCTTAGTTCTCTTTCGAATCGATACAAAGTTTTGAGCAAGTGTTATTGTTGTAAGGGAAATAGCAACCTGCTCTACTAGGTGTACTGATAGTCACTGACAGTACACCTGAACCAACTGTGTAGCATCGGATATCCCTTGAGTTAACCCCATTAACATAAAACTGCAGCCTAGTCGTGCTGCATTTCACACAGAACCATGAACTCAACATCAATTCATGACTAATTCATGTTGGGCTCAGTGCTTGTGATCACATTTTTGCTTCAATTTTGGCCATGGCGACCATGGCCTCCAAGCTCCCATGCAGGCCCACTGATTTGGGGACACCCTGGTGCAGCGCATCGTGTTAAGCTCATTGCTCTTGCAATATTTGCTTGTGATATGGAAATGGGATGGTATTACTGTATCTTTTTTCCAATTCTGTTTGGAGTATTTTTTTCTGATTTTATGTTTGATTGCTTTTGCCTTTGCGTTTGCTTCTTTTCCTACTTCTTTGCTTCCCTGCATCTTTGCTTTTCTACTTCTTCGCTTCTCTGCTACTTCGCTTTTGCGCTTTTCTGCTTCTTTGCTTCTCTACCTCTCTGCTTGTTTGCTTTTCCCTGCTTTTTTTTTCTATTTCTCCTCTTTTCTTTAAACGATTGTAAAGCCCTAAAGTAACTCTTACAATAATTGAATCAATCAGACCTAACCCAACCCTAAAGGAACCTTAAACCAACTAAAAAAAACACATCTAAATAAGCTTGAATCCAACCCTAAATATATCCTTAGTACACTTTAACTCCACCCTCTACAAAGCTCAAACCAATCCCAAACTAACGTTCAACCAACCCTAAATAAACCTTGAACCAAGCCTAATGAACCCCCAAACCAACTTTAAAATCATTCACACCTTTAACCAACCTTAAGAAAATTCACGAGCCAACCCTGAACACTCCCTAAACCAACCCCAAATAGACCCTAAGCAAATCTACAATGAACTCCAAACCAACTCTAAATAAACCCGAAACCAACCCGAAACAAATCTTAGACCAACCCTAAAGAAACCCTAAAACCACCCCCAAAGAAACCCCACGCCAATCTCAAGTAAACCCTCAATAAACCCAAATGAACCCCTGAATAAACATTAAACCGTCCCTGAAGAAACACTAAACCAACCTTAAATAAAGCCTAAACCAACAGTACATGAACACTAAACCACCCCTAGAAACCCTTAACCAACCCTAAAAGGTCCCAAGCCTTAACATGTCTTAACAAACTTTAAGTTAACCCTTTATAAACATGAAACTAACCTTTAAGCCCTAAATAAACTTCAAACAACACCCAAATCAGCACTAAACCAACCCAGGACTGACCCTAAATAAACCCTTGAACATACTTGAACTTTCTTGAACTAATCTTAGACAAACCCTAAACCACCTGTAAATAAACCCTGAACCAGCCCCAAATAAACGGAAACCAACCCTTGATGAACCTTAAACCAACAGTAAATTAAACGTAAACCAACCACAAACAACCCCTAAACCAACCCTATATAGTTAACCAAAGTTTAAGTAAACCTGAGTGCGGCCAATGTAAGAGGAGTGATACTGATAGGAATAAGAAACAGAACAAATGCATTCCTATCACTATCACTCCTTTTATGTGGGTGTGAATGTGCCACCAAGGCAGAACATCAGAGACACCGGGAGACAGTATTTGGGTTTTGACGAGTGTTGCGCACTTCAAAACTTGAAAGTAACAAGATGGCACCTGAATACAGTGAACATTTTCTAGTTGGGTTCCCCAAGAAAATCTGAATGAGACTAGCACGGTGTAGCAGAAAGTTCTTTCGCTGTCAGGTCGCTTTGGCTCTCCTGTGTGGTTTGTTCTGTCCGGTCCTCATGACACATGAAACAGCAAAAACACTGTTGCAAAATCTGGCATGCTCAGCATGGTCATGAGGTGGTTTGAGACCATCCAATGTTCAGGAAGGAATTGTCAATGATCAATGGTCCGTTGGCATTATGTTTCTGACTGCAGTCTCGGTGCCCAGGGGCAGGCGCGTTGGCCTTTGCCTCGCCCAACCCGCAGCCACAGCATCTTGAATTGCACTTGTGGTACTAGGTGAATGGGGACGGAGGAAATGACGCCACGATTTGCAAGGGCAATTTGCCAGATCACTACAAGATCTCCCAAAATTCTGCAAATTCTTCAGCTAGGATCGAAGTTCTAAGTCGCCCAAAGTCAATGAAAAGGTTGCAAATAGCTCCTGAAGCAATCCTTGGTGCCAATGTTTAGACACACACACACACACCCGCTTCCAGCACCAGGTTGCAGCAGTTGACATCTCTTGGGGAAAGCCGCCAGTGGCAGGATGGCCTGGGAACCGGATGCCCGGCATATGCGGCACATGTCAGGTAGAGGCAAAGTCACTTACTCATAATATATTTGTAATATATATATATACATATATATATATACATATTATGATCTATTACATAATTATGTAATTATATATATATATATATCACTATTGTTTGTACAGTGGACAAACATGCCATGGCAGTCATTAAATGCTCCACCAGTTGTGAACCACTTGGGAACCAACAGCCACAGCCACGGATGGCGTTCGCCAGGAAACCCTAGAAGTGTTCTGGGACATGTGCCGCTTGGATCCTTCGGCTGTCGCTTGACAGCAAATTCCATGGGAGGGCCAGTGGATCAAGACAGGATCGGCTTCAACAACTTGACATGTTACTTTAAAAATATGTAGAATTGAATACTGTAATTAAAAAGATATGTTGACAGTGTCTGTCTGATTAGATGAAAGCCTGCTCCATTTCTGTTTCTCTTTGCCATTTGGGATTTCTTACTTGCAAAGATGGAGGCCCAGAGCCTGTCCTGAGGGATTTCAAGAGGCTTGCTGGTTCACCCAAATAGACCGTCGCATTTCAGTGAAATGGACTTGGTCACAACTGGTTCAAGCCTCATTTTTTGTGTTTGAGCAAGGGCCTCTAGATTTAGATGTCAGCATTGGCACAGTTTAAATGGATTCAGGGATGTTATTCCTTTGATTATTTGTATTATATTGCTACTGGGCTGACATTTGCCCGAACTCAACAGAATCCCATTCGGGACTGCAATCTGCTGTGGTTGCTTCGGCGCATGTTTCAATATCTTTTTGCAAAGTGCAAACATGCAAAACATTGATATTGCATGCTTCTCGTCTCAAGTTTGTGTTTTTACCTAAGGCGGTGCCGAAATCACCCTTTGAAACATCTGAAACATATTCGAAACATGTTTGAAACATACTCTTTATCATTTGCAGTGTTTCGAACTTTCAAGTAAAACTGCAGAAAATCCACAAAATACCAAAATAACGCCAAACTCACCCGACCTTAAGTATCTCCAAATAACCCTCAGCTTCCATAGGCACTAAATCGACCCGAAATCAACCATCAAGATACCCTAGAACAACCCTAAAGAAACACCAACTAAATAGCCACACAACAACATAGACAAATTTGAAATAAACCCTGAACCAACCTTAAACAAACCCTATAAAGAACCCTAAGCCAACCCGAAATAAATCCTAAACTAAGCCTCAACTTACTAACCCCCGAATGAAATTTGGGGCGAATGCCTGGTACTCCATGACTTCCCATGAACCCAGGGATTGAATGCTGCAACCTGGGCAGCTGTCATGGTCGCCTGCGGTCGTGTGGCAAAGTGGTTTGAGGCGAAGCAAATCGGAATGGGGCTCTACTTGGGTCCCAAAAAATGCAAAAAGCTGATGAAACTGGATGAGAACCTGGTTTTGGGATCTGGAACGAATTTGGTGAGAACAGAGGTAGCACTTTGCAGGCGCTGTTTCTGGATTTTCCAAACCATGGCAGGTCATGGAACTGCTGCAAGAAGCCGTGGCAAAGAGCGTCACGTCGGAGTTCCCTGTGGGGTGCGGAATTCAAGAATTGAGAATTTTGAAGTGGTTTTTAATTTAGTTTTTACGCTTTGGAACGGGTTCAATTTGCATTTGAGCATGTTTAGGCCTACCAGCCAGGGCTTTGTTTTGCGTGTCCGTCCCAAAGTTCATCAAGAGCACGGAGTTGCAGTCTCACTTATTTCAGTTATCCTAAGCATTGGCCAATTCTTGAAACTCCATGGAAGCCAAGGCCAAACTCAGAGATGTCTGCTGCTGCCGTCAATGCCTATGCAAATCGGTTAGCGTGGGAGGAGGCCGGGACAGTATGGGACAGTGCCAGTCATTGCAGCACTGCTGGTGCTCTGCCCTGTGTGACCCCTACGGCCCTACGGCCCTACGGCCTTGGGAAGGCTGTTCTTCTCTTGGCCTTGGCACCAGAGGTGGAAGGGTGGAGACCTCGCACTGCAAACATGTCAATCAAAAGATATCAAACGTATCCAGAATATCTAGAAGAATTGCCTGGAACATGAGAACATTTTCCCTGTGCATCCCTTGCCACTTGTGGTGGGTCGTCAGCTCCTGGTTTAAGTTGAGTTCTTCTGCCAGTGGTGGGTTGTGGTCAGACGAAAGCACCATGCAACTGAACTCTCTGTGACATGGTACTTGCGTGATGCATGTGTCAAACTTGTGCTTCCAAAGATAAACAGCAAACCGAGAGTGCAAAAACAGGTTCCTTGCATTTCCTTGCTGGATGTGCCCTGGGAGTTGTCACAACTGAGTTGTCACAACTGACGCCCCCCCCTTGCGATTTGACCACCACTGCCTGGGAGGCACAGAAAATTTTGCCCAAAGTGGTCCAACACTTGGTGCTGAAATGCTTCGGGTCTGTCTGACCTACTGCCAACCGAAGCGATACCTAGCACCAAAGACATCATGAATGGAATATCATGAAATTGTTTATGGTGTACTGTAGGGTCTGCAGAGTCTGTAAAATCGTAGTAGAGTCATCAAAGAAAGTCAGGAACTCAGACCGAGCTGTTGCTGCATGTGGCACACCGCCAACGTGAATCCGACGCCTTTTGATCCAGCCACCTCCGACAACCAGGAACTACACACGCACTTGTTCCAGGAATCAATGGGTTGAGGCTGATGATTATAAAACAATTTTCACAGGACTGCTGACCACCTCAATGCTGTTTGAACTATACTCCGAGTCAAAGATTCTGTTGCAGCTCGCCATTTTAGGGCCTGCTGAACACGGAGTGGCCTTGACATGCTGTAAGTTTGAGATAGTTTGAGCAACACGAGGCAGGATTGCATGTTCAAAAACTGTATCAGTCAGGAGTCCAGCGTACAATGCAGGTCAAAGGATGTGCAATTTTTACACAGCTCAGTATGCTCAGTATCAGATCTCGGAGACATTGGACACACTTCGTTATTGACGATGGTCCCTCTGCGTGCGACCAGAGGGACCATCGGCTGTTTCCAGCGCTGGGTCCCCCGTGCTGCAAGTGCGCTGCCGGCGCCTTGGCATGCGCGCGCGGCAAGGTGGAATTCCACCGATGGCGATGACGAAGCAGACGACACCAGAATTGGCTTCAGCGTTGAGTTTCGTATGGTTTCGTGTTTGATGCATTTCATGGAGAAGGCCACCTTAAGATGATAAATGATGCCAACATATGCCAACTATTGTCCACATGAAATTCAATGCACGTTTATTCCAGGGAAGGGTGTCGTCCTAAGTAGGGCCTAGGGTATCAAAAGATGGTCAAAAGTCAGTCCCACCATCTCCCGGGGTTTGCTTCGCACAGCGCAGAACAAGGAGAAGAGCAGCAAGGCAGTTGTTCTGTCAAAACGCTTACCGGAGGACTTCATTGAAAATACCTTGATGCCCCATTTGGAGAGTCAGATGTTGTACAACATCCACGTCTACACACCAGCTGAACTGACCCAGATTGCGAGAGCTTATAGCAACTCAGCCAAATTCAGGAGTTCCAAGTTGCCCAAATCTGTCGTTGAATGTGACAGGCACTGCTTGGGGATCTGTGTGACGTCTGTGTGTTTCAACTTGGAGCGGACAAATCGAGCCCCTGCTACGAGATCAACAGGTGTACAGGAAAAACTGGTCTTCAATCTGCAGCCATTGTAAAAGATCACGACAAAGCAATTTCAATATATTTCAATCAATTTCACTTAAATTGGTTGCTGGGCCTCTCCAAGGCAAGCAAGATGTGAGACAGCTGGCACTTTGCCGCAACTTGGTGCTTGCAAGACTGATGTAGTTGGCAGGGGTTGGGTACACAGGGATGACAACCGAGGGCCTTGATTCCTACACCCTACACTTACCATGATGATGATGCTGACGCTGACGCTGACGCTGACGACGACGATGATGATGGATGCACACTGGTGGGCTGATCTGGTCCTTGCGGGCCTAATGTGAGGCGTTTTTGGAGTCTTTATAGGTTCATGAAATCTTCTGAGTCTGTGTTTTCATGAGTCAAGTGCTGGCGCTGAGGAAAGCTAGCTGATCACATGAAGGATCGCATGAAGGGCACCTCATTTGCATTGGGGCAATTTTCACGCTGTGGATGTTTGGATGTGTGTCAAGAGGCTGCGCCTGATGTTTTGAAGATCAAGGGGTGTTTGGCTGCGCCTTCCCCAACAAGTAGTCCTTAAGCTGAAGTCACCAAGCATGAATTGTGAGAGCAATAGAGTACAGCAGTACAGCGTTGCTGCATGACAGTGCTCAGTTCATCCCAGCACTGCTCGATCCAATGTGTGACATATGGTTGTTTCCAGACTAGTCAAGGCTACAAGTCTTCCCGAGAATGGCAACCTCCATCAGTGCCCAGAACATCCCAGAACTATTGTCAATCAGATAGGATCCTAATTTTGCATTGCATCATATTATATCATATTATCATCATCTATTGCATCCTCAGAATCGCCGATTCCAAAATCTTTAAGCGATTTCTTGGCCGCTTCCGTGCCGGGTCAGGTTTCGAGGCAATCGATGTAGTGGATGCCCTGGGCCCTATGTGGACCATGACTCCCGACGACGACGAACTTTTCGAGGTTTTGGAGCAGAAGATCTATGAGAAGCTGCTCAACCTCTTTAAGAGGTTGCCAGAGTATGGTTCTTAATATGGGTATGGGTCAATACCTATAGATACATTACTATAGTGGGATGAACATCCATTTTAACCCAGCTATTTTGAGGTTCACCAGGGGTACAAGGTTTTGACCCACTGCCACCTTGGTTCATCAGCCTATGTCCGAAATGGGGGTTTAGCAATGTTTAGCAGTAAAATACACTGAAATACTTGTAGCATGAACTACTGAGTCTGTCACTTGTGGTATAGTTGAGTCTATCACCAATGTAACCAAGATGGCTGTTAGTATTGGCTGGTATCTATTGACCAAATTTTGGGTATATATGGTTTGTCCAGACAGTTGGTTTCGCTCCCGTGCCATCCCAATGAATGCATGGTTTTCTGTCAGTTCCACTCCTTGGCATTCTGGTAGCTATTGCAAGTCTTGGAACAAGTGACAGGCAAGCTGAAACCCATTCATTTGATGGGTGGGTTTGCTTTTTAAGTGTGTTGTGCTACTGTATGCTAGAATGACCTGGAAAATCAAGCGAACTGTACAGAGTACGGAGGCTTGCCGACTGGAAAGGATGAACTTGAAACCTTTCCTATACATCCTACCAGGGCCTGCAGTTCTGGAATGCGTTCCGGTTTTTCTGTCTCTTGACTCTTGTCCATAAATGATCATCACCATGGTGACATTAACCCTTCACTTTTGGATCATCACGTCATCAAGGGGTCGTTCGGAGGCCTTGATCCACCTGTATCTGAGAGTGTTTGAACATGTTCGTGCGCTGAAGGATTGACGACTTCACTGCCTTAAACTTCATGGGCATCGTCCGCATCTACAACAAGAGGGATCCCTGGCTGTTGCTTTAGCGGTGCTTCAATTGATGTGTAGGGTTGAACATGGGTGAATTCTCAAAACTGCCTCGTTGTTGAATGAAGCGATTCATCTCCATTCATTGGACTGGGTAGTTTTTCTTGCTTGAGGAGACATGTCGAACAGGCGCTGCAGGCCAAGGTTATGCAGTGTTATGCAACTGAGCCTGGATAAGCAATCCCATAGGATCCATGTACGGTATATATGCTAACATTTGGGGTATATTGATGGTAAATGTTACCATATATAGCAGCACCATGGATCCTATGGGAATGATAAACAGCTCCCAGTTGCTTTGTACCGAGGCATCCAAACATCATCAGCTTCTGACCAAGATCGTCCCAAGGCCGGGAACCAGCAGAGGGTCTTGCCATGTCTTGCCGTTGGGACGCATGGGACCCTACGGCCGTCATCCCTTGGCTCCGCACAACAAACGTTCCGCATCAACTGAACCAGATTGATGAAATGTGTTGACAATTTACGAAAATTCGAGGCAGACTCATGTGGCATGCGGTGGCTGGGTGTTTTCTGTTTGATGTTTGCTTCATGGCTGAGTTTTGCCATGTTGAGCCAGAGGCTGAAGGATTTGTTGGCCAAGTATGAGGGCGTGGAGCTGTCCGAAATGTTGGTCTCCATGGCGCAGTCCAAAGAAACTGACATGGACATCCTCATGACTCTGGTGCCAGAAGTGGAACGACGATACAATGAGGCCGCGTTTCAGGGTGCCGCTGTTCAGAAGATGTGTGTTTTCAGTACTTCAGAATCCGTTTGTTTAGTCAGATGGGTTCTGGATCTATATGACCAGTTCCCATTCAATTAATGCATATTAATGCCTCTTGCAATGCTAATCCGAATCCAGCAGAGCAAAATTGATGGACAACTTAAAGAGACTTCCAGTCTTTCAGAATTTGGTAGTGATGTTCACATAAGCCAGTATACTCAGTATATATCCGATTCATGAGTTTTGCAGCTTTGGGACTTCCTGCAGGTTTCATTGCTCCACTCCCTGAACAATGTTTGGGCTTTGTGCCAACTGAAGATTAAACATCCCAGACTCTTGGAGAAGGTGGCTCAGGAGAGGCAGAAAGATCCATTGATATGTTTGAAACTTTGGAGAAACTTCCTGTCTGGATATACATATGTATATATATATATGCATATATATATATACACATTAATTATGTCTATATTATATAGATATATCTATAGATATAAATTGTGGGTTATGAACTCATACACTGTGGTTCAAGTGGATGCCAGGCTCTCAGTCACCTCTCTCATAGTGCAATTCCTGAGTTTGGTGCTTTGATGTGCTTTGTTATTCTGCTTCATGAACCCATACCACTGAGCATAGTCAAATCCCCAGTTCTAAATTGTTATGATTCGTTGGTGCCAGGACTTGTCGAATCCGCAGAAGTCCAAAGATCTGACAGCAGGTGGCCATCGGGATCAATCGGGCCAGGATATCCCAGGTGATTTGGCTCCACACTTTTGTCGAAATGTCATAGTCACTGCGTCTATGACTGAGCATGACTCAATGGCCATTTTAGTAAGGGAATATATCCCCACAATTCATATGGCCAAACATATGGTATACTAACGTACCTCGATTTTAGGATCCTGTTTTATTCCCATTGAATGAGCCTTCGCCTTCTGGTTCCGACTCTATTTTTTCCCATGAGTTGAGAATCTACAGGGCAAGAATGGATGTCCACCACCAAACAGCATCAAACAGCAAATTTAGATGGGTCAGCTATGGGTGCAGCATGGTGCATCAATACAACTGGCTCCTACCAGCCTGCAGCCTGACCTGTGGAGGCTACATGGCTCGAATCGTTTGGGTCTACCGCATGTGCGGCTCTTGGGACTTGGCGACTCGGACGGGAACACATTTTGGGAACATCCAAGAACTGTAGTTATTACCCATAGGATCCGTGGTGCTGGTATATATGCTAACATGACTGGGGTATATTGATGGGATCCATGTTACCATATATAGCATACATGGATCCTATGGGTTAGGCTAGGGCTTCGATTTCCAACTTAACACATGAAGTCATGGAGGTTTTCCTAACCCAGCGGACAGAGGTTGCCATGAACCTAAGCCCATTCGAATGGTGGCACAGGACGACCGGGTTCACGACCAAGGTCTCCGACACGTTGCTGCCCATGATCCGCGCCTCCAGCGCTGAGTTCCGCACGGGAGACTTCGCGCGACTGGCGCAGGCATTGCCGGAAGAACGGCAGACCTTGACCAGCAGCATGGTGGCAAACTGCTTGGAAAATCTTGGAAAGTATGGAAAAGATAGGATGAGATGACTGAGATGACCTGAAACATTCATGAAACAATAAATACATGTAAATACCATGGGATAAGCTTGGGAATATTGTCAGGGATTGTCAGGGTAGATTCGAGTTCATCATGATTTTAATTTTAATGTGATTCTCATTGTCATGATCAATCTGGTATAAAAGCAGAGTGGTGTAGTTTAGACTGTTGCCACTTGCCACGCTTAGAGATGTCCCCCAAGGAGTGGCCCACAATCTTCGCGGTGGTCTTGGTGACATGGGCCGCAAGGACAACTTACCACAATAATCCACATATCTCAGGCCAAACTTCAGGATAATGAAAGTTTTCAAAGTATAATCCACTAACTTCGCCAGCAAATGCCTCTGGCCACTCTCTGGCCCAGCTTGATTTTCAAGTGATGTGTCTAAAGATGAGTACAGCAACCTCATCATCTCATCCAGTTGGTGCCAGGACTTCCTTATGTACCTCCTGGGCCTCGTGCATGGTGAGGTTCTCGAAGACCGACCCGATGCAGGTCATGATTTTGGTGAGATCACTGGAGCTTGTCTCAACTACATCAAAGAGGACCAGGATAACTTCAAAAGGGATGAAGTGCAGAGGATCGTGTACCTCCTGCATCACTCCCCAAAGCACCTTGGAGCCAATTGGACCACTGGAGCCATGATGAGCCATGCGTCTGCGTCAATCTATTGCAATTTGGTCAAAGCATGTCATAGCAAGTCTTAGCAGAGCGCAGTCTAACTTAGACTCCCGAGCTCTTGGAAAGAAAGATAGCAAGTCTTATCATTTATATCATTTATTCTGTATTCAATGAATAGTCTGCAGTATGGTGATGTATGATGCAGTATGCACGTGTTCCAATTCAACTCAGAGCAACAAATTTGCTTCCCTAAAAGATCAGACCCAACATATCCAACATTGTTCTGGCTGTTGCAGCCACACAGTCATCAGGTACCGCTTCTTAGAAGATGAGCTGCCTGCCTCTTGGAACGCGACCAAGGAGGAGACGCTCGATTTCATTCGCGCCAAAGGCTCCAGTCGTTGATCCTTTTTCGCTGCGAAGAAAAGGGCCAGCTGCTACAAAGGGGGCCGCTGTTGAAACCACGTTGAAACAGGCATTTTTCAATTTTTCAAGGCTGTCTAGTCGATCCTGTAGACTAACTTTGGGATACACCAAGGGTCTGGAGTTGTAAATTGGTATCCTATAGCCCCTCTCGTCACTATTCCCATGGACTTTGGTTCCATTTTGTGCCCCTACCTAGGATGCTTGGTGATGCTTCAGATTGGTTGTAGGCTCCGTATCAAACTGCGATCATTCTCGTCCTGTCGGGGCATAGAGACGCTCTGCAGCCATGCTGGCTCCAGGGTCATGTTGCCCCAACTGACCAAAGTGGCTTCCATTTCTATATCAGGCGCCACAATCTGCACTTGAATTTGCAGTTTCATGAATCGCATGTTATCAACTTCTATCGATTTTAAGTCCTGGAAGGATTGTTTTTGCCCAACGAAATGAATGCCAATTGAGATCTCCAGTTCTATCTCTTTCGACTTGATTCTGTGCAGCAAAATATGTGTTTAGCAGCATCTTTGCAACACAGACCATTGGCATCCATGGACATCCAGGGCATTCCATGACATTCCATGACATTCCATGACCCACAGGTCAATGTCGAAGGGCTACGACTCTTGCAAAGCTACAGCCGAGGGGTCTGTAACTGTTTGTGAAGCTCGGCAGCCACTAATCTCACTAGTCCTGGATTTTGGTCAATGGCACTTGTTGCAGTTCCAGTTGCATGTTGAATCTTAAGTAATTTTCAAATATGTTGATTGATTCTTAGCTGATTTTATTTGTGGTTTCAACATTTTCAACATGATATCTGTTTTGTCTCCTGCATTTCTTGTGTGATGACAGGAGTTGAGCATCTCGATATCTTTGACCTTGGAATAGCATGGAAAGGATATCCCAAAGCAGCAGCCAGCTGGCGATGACAGGATATCCCAATAAGATCAAGAAACACTAAGAAGCCGCACAAAATCATACAAAACCCACATGGGTTGTATGATGTTATTTGTCTGAAATGGGGTCCCTTGAAGAACAAATTGGGGGATTTGGGGTAGTGTCCAAGCTCAACCACCCCTGAGGAAGTTCTCGATGACATGCCCTTCGGTCGATTCCATATTGCTCATCTCACTTTTGCCATCCTCGCAGTGAGTGTGCTGGCGATACCCTATGACTCCTGGAAAACAGCGCCGACGAACGTGTGTTTGTTCAGAACCTGTTTTGGATGGCTGTCCACCGGCCGCCAAAAAACCGGGATCCTAAACGGGCCAGAAACAGCATGGCTACTTTGTAAGTACAATCTCCTGGTTTGTGGCCATTGGTGTTTCGACAGTCCTGCTGTCCAACGAACCATTTCAATCCGAGTGAAATCAGGAAAAGTTTCGTCTGGCTGGTTGAGATGAGGGCGAAAACCATATCAGCATTCACTGTTTGGCTTGTGATAGCGTGGTGCTATGCGTGCACATGTGATGCTGGACATATGTGGCATCATGTCGCATCCATAATACATCATAATACTAAGGTTAGATCATGTTACATCATACTGTTACAATAGTTTTCGTTTTTGCAGATTTGTACATCATGTTACATGAACCTTAGCACATCTTAGCACCTCGCACTAAGGAGATGACCCCATATATGTTTCCTGGACTCCAGATCCATTTTGGCCCAACTCTCAGCGAAGAAGCGTCACGTGGCGCCGGGAGGAACTCCATGTTGCAGGTTTTAACGTCACCGAGGCGCCGGGCGAGAGGAACTCTCCACTTTTGCCGCAGCCTTTCAAGCAGGCAGATGGCAGATGGCAGGAGATGGCAGGAGTCCTGCTGGGTTGGTACAGATTGGTATAGATCATAACAGAATATTAGAGAATGGTACAGTCTCTCAGTATGGCATAGCAGTTGAATAATTACTGCATGATGAGTGCATAATGATGCCATTGTTTCCATGATAGTAAATGGTGGACAGCCGTGTGTGCCGTGTATGCAGGGAGGCCGGATTTTGACAAAATTTGGTGGACATGGAGTGTTCAATCAATGTAGTGTATACCCATAGGATCCATGTATGGTATATATGCTAACATTGGGGGTATATTGGTGCTAAATGTTACCATATATAGCATACATGGATCCTATGGGATATAGTATTATATAGTGTCGTAGGTACTAGTTTAATGCGTGAGCCAGCTATTTGAAGTCTCACATAGTCTCACTGCGTATCTCAAGTTTCCATGGGACAGAGTCGTGATTGGGCTCACGGAGATTGGTCAAAAATGTCGATGCTGCCCGTGGCACCGAAAACATCATGCAAAGTGACTGGTCTAGGCTCAAAATCAGCTACTGGGAGACTGGGTACCTTCTGGACCCTAGACCAGCCAAGTGTAACTTCAATACAAATGATGAGAATTGCTGTGACGAGCCATGAGGATCATGAGGCCATGAGGGGTCAAGTCATGTCAAGTCTCCGTCGCAGGTTGCGCTTTTGGGACTTTTGTCGCTCCAGTCTTGGCAGACCGCATCGGTGGCTTGGCCAAACTTGGCCAAACTCTCCGGAGTTCCTCTGAGTTCCTATGGTGAGACGTTGCACATCTTTGAAGGGCGTCATGGTGGAAGGGCAGTTGAATGGCACCAGAAAGCTGCCCGGAAAAAGATGTCCACGGAGGTTCAACTCCTTGTGATATCTTATGGCAGGATCATTATTTGGAATTAAAAACACAAATGGGAATGGGAACTGGGTCATCAAACTTATTTTGTGTTTCTGGTGTCAGTGGGCTAGATTGCTTGACCTGATCCTGCCAACTTTTGGTTGTTGCACCCCAAGGTCGAAAGCCAACGCTGACATTCTCTCTCACCGCAGCAGCCTTGTTGTCCTATGCTTCAGCTACAGCACGATCGCTTCATATGTGCCTCATCCAGGGATTGGAAAAGTCTGAAGATTCACACTGTCGACGTATTTTTTGGTTGGCTCCTCACAAATTGCCACCAGGGTTTTTGACACGCAGCCAAATTCTGCTGACGACAGGTCCACCTATAAAGTAAACAATGTTCGCATGACGTCTAATTCCCACAGAACAAGCAGCTCCCGATCAATAGCCAATGGTTTCTTGGTTTATGTTAAAGGTGCTAAGCGAGGAAGCCTTGAAGTTGCCAAACAGTTTAAAATAAACACATTCCCAACCGTTGAACACAAAGTTAACATTAAAGTTGTCCGGCCCAAAAAGGTTGATGCAGGAGTCGGCGACGTTTTGTCGATGTCTGGTCCATTTTTCTTCGGTGTTTTTTGAAGTTTTGTCATGGTTTGGTCGAGGTTTCGTCGAGGTTGGTCGATATTTGGTGGTATTCCTCGCATTTTGAGCCTTGCAACCTCAAGGATACACCATTCACTATCCAGACCATTCCAGACCCACCATTTGCCAGGCTGCTAGTTCTGCGGACAGTCAGTTCCGCCATTTGGGCCATTGCTTGGAATACGGTGAGTCCTTGGTACATCGAGTCCTTCGGCACGTAAAAAGCGCTATTCCAGGCAGCGGCAATGCTTGAATCGCTAGCATACAGTCAAAGTGGATTAAAGATGAATTATTGAAGTATATATATATTATATATATTATATAGTAATTCCATATAATTCCAGCATTACCAGATGTTTGAATAATCACAAGCATGATGGCTGCAGTCGGCTGCAGTGCGGTTTCGGATACATTGAATTTGCATGACTTTCCTGAGGTTTCTTCCAACTCGTACACGTGGTGCCATGCTGACAGCGCTGAGTCTAGGGTGGCCAGTAGGACAGCAAGCAGCTGTAATTACCTTATCAGTTGAGTGATGGGTGAAATGCTGAAAGGTAAGAATGTATGTTGAAGTGGGTTCGATTTCCAACTCTTTTCGTGCAATCTGCCTGGCAGTCTCTTCAAAGTTTTCGTATAGCAATAGGTCCATAGGTCTCCAAAAGGCATGGAATTTGATTTCAAGAATTTGATGACTGGCTGTCCAGTTGTCTTTCCTGGGCCAACCTACAACCTGATCTACTAGCTCTGTATACACCCAATTTGGTGCATATCGATACTGGTGCAGGACGTGGTATCTCCATTTGCTGTTCGAACTATTTTCACTCCGATTGGCAGAAGCTACAAGAGCTCCCAGCCATTGCCATGCTGCTGCTGGCCATCGGGACCAGATTCATCCACGAATCTCCCAGGTTTTTGGCCGCTAGAGGCCGCACAGATGAGGCGGGCTTGGGAGGGTTGGGATGTGGCTGGAGATGAGGAGTGGACAGGATGTACATCAAAGGACACTTGAAAGCTATTGGTGTGTGATGGGATTAGGATGCGGCAGATGTTAGTGATGGTATTCTCCCTTTCAATCTTCAAATTGAAACGGAAACCAACATGACTTCTGATTTCGATTTCAGCTTACCCTCAATGCTCATTTTTGAGGGAAGTATGTTGCAATCTTTTGCATGGTACATTACCTATATTTCAAGCTTAAGATACGATGAATCGTCAGATCTTTGCACTACAAAAATTATGTTGAGACTTCACTGGGTCAATTCTGGCCCCTCTAAGTCTCTTTCCATCCTTTGCGACGTTCAGTCTCGCAATATGAGAAGACCTTGAAACGGCACAAAATTCAATGGATTGGTTTTCACGGGAAAAATTTAACCGGAAACCATGGTTTTTGCCATTAAAATCATGAAATATGAGGTTTTCCGGTTAAAATTTTCCCCTAAACCAATCCATTGACAGTCATCCACTGACATCGACAGCCCATTGTGGGCCCCAGCGGGATCCCGGGATGGCCGGGATGGGCTGAGGCACGGCAAGTGCTCCAAGAGGTTCACCGAAGCAACGGCAGCGAATGGAACTCCAAGTGTTGCTTGACCCCAAAATTCGTCCTGGCGGGCTGGAGTCGATGACCATGGAACTGGCCATGAAGTTATATTACATGTATTCATGTGTATGAATGTATTCTACAATGTTAGTATATATATATATATAAAAAATATATATATATATATCATATGTTAGTTATCTACTATCTACCGATTACATCCAATTACCTACCAGGTACAACATGGTGGAGATAGGCGGAAATAGTTTGTCTAGAAAGATCTACCATCGCTACGTCCAAAATGCACTGCACCTATTCACCCATGGAAAGAATCCATTGCTGGTGGCCACAAGTCAAGGTCAACTCTGTCTAGATGATTCCAGCACTCAAAGCATGGATGAGAGGCGAGGAGATTTTGAAGGGTTTGGCCAATGTTGGCTGCTGTGGGTAAATTACCAGCTATGGCTATGTGGCAAAGCTGGGTGTTTCTTGTGAGCCCATTGTGGGTGGCAAGTCCTAGATGGTGGGGTGTGCACGTTTGGCATGAGCACCAAATATCTATATAGGTGGATTGGGCGTGGACTAACTTAGATACTTGAACGATAACCAGAAAGCAGGTAGAAGGTATCATATGAATGAACAACTTTGATTGATTCGCGTGGTTTAACTTGACCAAAACACTCAGAACTCAGAAGACCAAAGTTACAGCGAGTTACACCCATTAGAAAAGAGCTATGTTGAGCTCGACTGAGAGCATAGCTGTGCAAGTCATGAATTTTTTTTTGGTGGAGGCCAGGCCCCCAGGCCCCCAGGCCCTTTAGATTCATGTCATGCCATCATACGCCACAGCTCTGGAGGACTTGGCAAGAGCTGTTTTCACCAGACTACGTTGGGCGCATCGCCTTTTGTTGGTCACTTGGCAGGGCACAATTCGAGCCTCGGAGAGCGGGTAGAACTATGGCTCAGTGAGGGCTCCAAACACCCAAATTTTAACACCATGAAACTGGTCCATACTGGAGCTCTATGTCACTCTATGTGGGGATGGGTCAAAACCCTATCCCCCTGGTGAACATCAAAATAGCTGGTAAATGGATGTTCATCCCCCTAAAAATGGTATGTATAGGTATTGATCCATACCCATGTCATCTTAAGTCAGGGGATACGATCTTGTATCTTAAGATGTCTTAAGTCTGGACCCGGACAAGAGTTGCAATGCATTTTTCCAATCTTCCAATGATGCAACCAGCAGATCCTCATCAGTCTCCGCAGGTCACTGTCCCATCTCTCGGGACTTAGGACACTGTTCTCGTTGCTGTCGTGCACCACCATCCTGATTGATACGTGGGGTCCACTCATCTACCAGCACCTGCTCTTTCCGCATCGAACTGCTACTTGTCATCAAGTTGTGGTTACTACAAAGTACATAAAGACACAGCAATTAATACAGAAAAGGTCGTCAAAGGTTGCTTGTTGTTTGGTGATGACAAAATATCCTCTAGCGTTTTCCTAGTTGATGGTGCTTTTTGTCTCATGTTTGTCAATATGTCGCCGCTTTCCCTTTTTTGATTGAACCGGCACGACTATGTTCGAAACTACTAGCTTTAGCCGCTTTAGCTTTCTCACTATTCTTGCCTGATGCTGTTGATCCCTGTTTTTTCATTGTTGGTTCTCTTGAGATTCGACTTCAGAAATTTTGATCCAGGAATCCATCAAGCTATATCAAGCTCAAAATGATAAAATCACCAGCAACTGCAGGTTTTGCCCCATGGCCTCTTGATGCTGTTCAACGTGGGCGACTTTGTTGGCTTGGCCACATGTCAGCAGGAAACAAGGGAACTCACGGATTTCTATGTGGAAAGATGTGAAAGTGTCCAGGACCAGGAGAAATTGGCATTTCTTTAGATGAAGCGACTCAAGTCTTTTTATGATGTTTTGTGGGGTTGCTAGTCTGTGCAAACCCCCAAACCGAAGTGGCTTTGTATGGTTTTGTTGTAAGAACTCGTGGCCAGATGAAACGATATCTACTTGGGCCAAGATTTGCTTCATTATTCATATTCTTCTATACAGTAATATTCTATCATCTAGAATCTATGTACTATCTATATCTATCTATTATGTAGTAGTATAAGAATAATATACATATACATTACATGCTGTGTATTACAGCAACATCCAGCAACGGTTTCTGCCGAGATCATCTCGGTTTGTGTGATCGACTTCATCGGACGCAAAGGAGGCTTTGTAGTAGGCGTGGACAACGGCTGCGTTTTATCGCTGGTAACAAGATGAAGCGTCCCGTCTCAGCGCAGCAGAATATGATTAATATATGTTTAAGTTTGATATCCACAGTGTCTCTTGAAGCAGAACACCATAGAAAACCCAAAGGCACCAATTTTGGATGGGGTGTCTCTAGGGCTATTATTGTTGTTTCATCCAATAAATGTTGCGCAATGCGATCATGCAGTGTCTGCTGGATGGCACTGAACAAATGCTTGAAACTGACTGAATGCAACTATATTTTCATGTTGCTGTCCATCTGCTCAACAGTCACTAGTCATGTTCTTTGCCCTAGATGTCCTGGATGTCCTATTTCAGAATGTACAGACAATGTACAGTCGGTTATCCAGAACGCTTACACCACCAGCCCACTTAGTCACTTTGCCTTTGCACTGCGCTACCAGCGCTGATCGAGGCTTCTTTGTGCAGGGCTGCATTCTTTTGACCCTCTCAGGAGCTGTCCAAGATTTGTATTTTTAGAGATGTTGGCTTAGAGGGTTCATGCGGTATGCCTTCCTCCATGTCCAATATCACTACGCAGGTACACAACCAGGACAATTTAAAAATTGCCTCATCGTTCTGGCAATATGTAGAAGATCGAGGTACAAATTGAATGAAGACAAGACCGGTGTTTCATCTTCCATCACATGTTTTTTTTTCAAATCCTGTGGAAGATGACAGATGATCGCGGTTGACTTTAGATTCTTCAAATATCTTGATCCGTTGTTGACACCAGAAACCACCGTTCAGATCCTTGCATGGTCTTTTCTTTGGCATGTCCCGATCCTTTGGATCAGGAGTTCATGGTCAAGCCCATAGACTCGGACACTACAGCCTCTATGTGCAGTCCATGTTGGGAGTGCAACTGGGCTACGCTGTACAGATGAGTTGATGGGTCACGCAGGAAACAGCCGCGGAAGATCTTCTGCTTGAATATCTAGTTGGGTACCCTCTGGTAATGACTAACATAGCTATAGAAAATTCCCTTTTATAGTGGATTTACCCATTGAAAATGGTGATTTTCCATAGCTATGTTAAATTACCAGAGGGTAGATTGAATGGGCTCACATCTGCATCGCCCTCGGAGCTGCCGCACTTGGCAAAGGATGGCAGCCAGTTGCCGCAGTTTTGCATGGGAGGCGGATCGGGAACCGGGAACGGTGGTTTTTTAGTGATTTAGTGTGTGTTGATGTTGCTGTTGCTCTTGTTGTACTATTTGTACTGTTGTTTCTATATTTTTTGGGGGGGAGTTGGTTGTCATCGATAGCAGTCAATGTCTTGGCCAACGAGCCAACCCCGCGTTCCGCGTTCCGGAACCAGGGCGCAGTGATGTGGACACTTGAGGCGGGGTTGAACCTTTAATCCATGGGCAGGACTCTGGTGTTTGTTTGGGTCTTGCAGGAATAGTAATTTAACCTATATCCCATAGGATCCATGTATGCTATATATGGTAACATTTACCATCAATATACCCCAAATGTTAGCATATATACCATACATGGATCCTATGGGTATAATGTACTATAGTATACTATAGTATATTCCCGAACCGTATCTTGTGATGCTTCTGCTCTGGAGTCAGCATGCTGTTTTTGTTTCTCACGATTGCCCAGAAACCCAAAGTCTTCCTGTGCCGCTGGAACAGCTTGAAACTCCTTTGAGTTGGTGCGTTTGTTGCATTCCTATCTTGTACCAAATTATTACGTCCCCACTTTTGGACTCAAACATCCCGAAATGTTGCAGGCCTTTCCTACGCCTTTGCGTACTGCAGCATTATGCTCCTCGCGTGTTTTTATGCAACTAATGGCAGTGTTGACGCTGAAGGCCGCTGTGTCCAAGGGGCGCACGGACAGGAATGCCATAAATGAAATCGTGGTAGATACAACATGATACAACCTTTGCGGAGAAACTTCCATGATGCGGGTAAGTGCCCCTGTCTGCCTCCAAAAAGAAGATCATAGACTGATCATAGATGGGTGTCTTCAAATGGGAGCATGTGCATGGCTGGACCCTGCGCACTGACCGGGGTTCTGCAGGTGTCAGCCGACTATTTGGCCAATTATGCAGCGGTGCAGTGGCTGCAGCTGTTTGGTGGTTGTCTCTTCACAGCTGGCGTGTGAACCTCAGGAGCGTCAACATGTTCCTGGAGAGGAAGTATATTTGCATATATTTGCAAGAAACCTGTACCATGTGGGACGTCAGGAATTGGTATGCGTAGGAGCTGATGGGAGCCCATTGTGCTCGTGGAATAAAAAAGAAAAAACACATGTGGGACGTCAGCACAAGTAGGGATGACTAGCCCGATAAAGAATGGGCTTTCAACATCTTTCAAGTCGGTTTTCCCATCAGTTGGAGAGAGCATGAGAGACCCAGATTGCACGATGTAATTTGCCATGCTGAGGTCATCGTCACCATTTTCAACCCACAGGAAACTGCTGGGCAGCCCTTGGCGGAGGGTGGTGCCCGATCGCGGGTGGCTTCAGCCTCTAGAGACTCCAGAAGTTCGAGAACCTCCTGTGATCAAGCGAGTTCACCCTGATTTGTCGCATGGAAACAGAGAAAATCGATGAAAATCGGACATGTTGACCTGGAAGTCAGCCTGGAAGTTCCTGGAAGTAATGATTGAATAATGTTTGATGATTTTGCACAATGCGCGTTTTTTTCCAAGAATATGACCGTGACAGGTATTTCCAGGAACATGCGCCCGCCACAAGGGTAGAAACTCGAGAAACACCATAGGTGCTGCGACTGGAAAAGACTCAGAGGCTTCGGCGAATGGATTGGCTCGGTAGTTCCGTGACAACCGTGTCGTTCGTTCATTGCCAAGAGCAGCTGGCTTTTTTGAGTAGTTGACAGTCTGTCTGAACTCATCCTTTGGGGACGAATTGAAATTATTTATAGTTTGTTTGAAGTTTGATATCCTGGGTGGAAACTGCCGACCAGAGACTCTTGACTTGAGATATCTTGAGATCATAGCCCTGAGCAATCAGAAGTCATGGCCATGGCAATTCCATGTCGTATCACTCGCGGTTCAACGGGCCAGCCGTGAGGTGGAGACCTGTGCTGTTGCCGGTCAATCCGCCGAGGTCACTTGGAGGCTGCAGCTTGAAACAGCCAGGCGTTGAAAAGTGAGACTTGTACCATCTTGTACCAAGCTATGACAATTAGACAATTAAGACCGGGAAATCGTGGCATGTTGCAGCGCGTTTTTTCCGCGTATAAAGTCGTTCAGTAGACTCGGCTCAGACTGCCCCCAAGCTGGGCAATCGGTATGGGGCCAGTGTTTAGATGGCCAAGGTCACCCAATTGGTGAGGAGGCAACTGGAGACGTTGGATGAACCACAGGGTGTCTTGGCAGCATCTGGGGCAGAAAGGGTCTCTGGAAATATCTCTTAATGGGAGTCTTTGTGCGATTTGGATGTATTCAGGGTCTTTCCGGTCTTCCGGAGCTGGGAGGACGCTGCAGGCCGCTGAACACTGGATGATAGATTTATGTAACACAGGAAAGGTGGTGGCAATGAAGGTTTCGCGCGATTCTTGCAGTGATTCTGCATGCGGAACCATCTTTTGGATCACCAACTGCCATTCAAGATCTATGGGAAGCATGATTTTGAAACACTGCCTGTTTGTTGCATAATCTCTAAATCTTTATGGGTGACCAATCTTTATGGAGACCGGACCCTGCATTTGCAAGCTATTTGAAGGGATTTGCAAGGGCGGTTTGGACATGTTTGGACCTTTGGGAGTCTGCCATAGTCTGCTACTGAGGCAGTGCATTGCTGCTGGCGATGAGCCGCACAGGGCGCTTTTGGCGTGAGTCGTCTGTTGGCCCAGTGCCAATATCTAGACTTGGCAGGTTTGAGGCATTGAAATCTGAAATTGCAGTGGCCTTTGCGCCCTCACGTTTGAATGTTGTTGCACCATGTTGCACCATCAGATTGTTGGGCCCTTTTGTTTGATGGAACTAGGGACTACTAAGTTTGATAAGTACAGTGGCTTGTTAGCTTGTCCCTGAGGATGGCATTGCTGGCAAAAATGAGAGGTGCACCGTCATCACCATGTTTCGCGGGCCGGATGTGGATGTGGCCAGTAGACAGAAACTGTTGATTCTAGTCCAACCTCACAATTGTTTTTAGATTGGTTGGTCAACGATACTAGAAGACGTCGCCTCATCCAAGAGGAACTGCCAATGGCAACACAGAGCTTGTCAGGAACTAGACAGCGTTTATTTGCCCTTGTTTCTTCATGTTTCTTCCATGATCCAGATAATAATGTTTTTATTTTACTTTATTTTGTGAGCGTAGACGCTTCTTTTGAATTTTTCTGAGTATATTTGTAGTTCATCAGCTGGTAGCCAGGTCAGCAGTTGCAGCTGAGCGCTGAGAACCTCCAAGACGTGATGGCGGCCTGCGATCCAGGCGGAGATGGCTTGTTTCGTGCCCTGGCAATGGCAGGATTTGGTCGCAACAACTGAGGTGATTCATATTGAAAATGAAATTAGTAGATATATTAATATGATGATAATTGATAATATATGATAAATAATATGATTGATATGATAATAATATATATATATATGAATTATATATGTATGATTATTAATATAATATACAATATATGGTGACTTGATGGGACTTATCTGAATGGGATGCGAGAATCCTACTGTGAAACGATCAACATTAAATTCTAGTCCTGCATGATTCGAAATGTTATCCAGGAGCCGACAGCATCGGGGACTGGTGGATGGAAGATTATGGTTGGTGCCATAGGATCCATGGTGCTGCTATATGGTAACAGTTACCATCAATATACCCCAAATGTTAGCATATACACCAGCACCATGGATCCTATGGGTATTGCTACTGTGTAACGCTGCTCTCCTGCGAATTGAGTTGGAACGACAAGGCTCTACAACCGCGCTCTGCGGTTGTGATATTTCCGCCTGTGTGTTCATTGCCAACATCGGGCAAAGAAATACAGATTTGAGAACGAGAAAATGAAACCTTTACACATCCCGACCTCACTCTGATGACTCCGTAGCCGGCTCGGACCAGACACACTGCTAACGTAGCCATGGGGACGGTGGCGCCTGACTCGAGCTTAGTGAAGGATGGCCAGGGCCTAAAAGATGCAAAGTGGCATCCGGAAATCAGCTTGACGCAGCATGGCCTTTGGTCCAAAGCTCTGACCAGAAACTGGGTCTCAGACAGTGTTCCCACCCCACCCCCGGATAGGGCGGGCGAGCTCTCCTACTTGTGAAAGTCATGAAAAGACGGAGCTGATTGCTTCTGAGCAACGATATCAGACACCTTATTGAAACCTTTTTATTGTGCAAACCAAACAGAACCAAACATAAGACACATTAAGACCACAACACAAGCGTCAACACACAACAAAAGGAAACACAACAACACCCCGACTCCTCGTAAAAACGCACCCTCAGACGCGAATATCCAGCAGGTTATGTTCCACAAATCCACTCCAGCTTGGGATTCGCAACTGACCCTCATTGGAGTTGTGAGGACTGTGCCAGTGTGTGTTGCCCGTGATCTTGCTCCTTCATGCCTCGGCTGTTGTGAACCTTGACGCGTGGGTGGCTAAGCTGTGGCAAGAGCTGTATAGCTGGCCTCAACTGCACTGGGCCATGATCGAAGCCTTGGTAGCCGCCATAGCTTTCGTGGATCCTTGGATCAATTGCATCCCGTAAAGGCATTGGCGGGCCATATCCAGATAACATGTCAAGTCATGTCAAATATTCTATCGCATTGATTCGAGGTAGGAACACACATGATGATACCTGGTTGGTGGTTTGGAACATTTTTTTTTTGTCCATATTAATTGGGAATAGTAATTAACCACCAACCAGCTACATGATGAATGTTCTGACAATGATCTCACAATGAATACATCACGGGTATGTGAGACTTCCCCGGCGCTGAAAAAAAAATCCTCCAAGCGGTTGATGAGGGCTCATTGAGCCGTGACGCCCATCCGATGCCTAGGTTTGGATCTCTGGCTTCTTCTTGATTAACGAAATTCCTTTCATGAAGAGATACTTGTTCACAGAATGTCACCTTTTGCTTATTTTGTTGTTTCAATGTTCTTCTTAGTCTTAAAGCTTGTGACTTAGCAACTCTTGTTAGGAAGATTTGGTTTAACCCAAAGTACTGATATGTGGCATTGTTTTCATTTTCCTCAATTTCGTCAAGTGATCAGCAGTGGTGACCGGCAGTGGTGACCGGTAGTGGCCCAATGAGACAAGGATATCGCATGGTTGTGCGGGAGGAATCTCACCCGTCTGGGACACATTGCATGAGTGACAAGACAAAGCACAGAGTCTGGTCATCCTTTCCAGTGTTGCTAGGCTGCGAAGTTGTGAAAGAACTGTTTCCAGGAAATAGTGTGATTGGCTTCCACCATCCCCAGCGAAAAAGGTGTTGTAGACTGGTTGGTGGTGACTGGAACATGTTTTATGACTTTCCATATATTGGGAATTTCATAATCCCAACTGACGAAGTCCATCATTTTTCAGAGGGGTAGGTCAACCACCAACCAGATTATTATTAACCATCATTAACCATCATCATAACCATATATATTAACCATATATTAACAGGATATTAACCACAATGGTAGGTTGAAACCACCAACCAGTAGATTGTTGTAGCCAGCTTGCCGTGGCCGCCAGGTATGTCTTGTCAATCTTCGCGCTTCACCTGGTGCGATCTGCACCCAAGGTGCAGCAAGAGGCACCAAGCGCAGCACGTCTTCTCGTAGAGTCTCGGTGAGATATACCAAGTACCCTCTGGCAAACTAACATAGCTATTGAACATGGCAATTTATAGTGAGTTTTCCCATTAAAAATTGTGATGTTCCATAGTTTTTTGTTAACGTTTACCAGAGGGTATTCCCATGGGTCACCAGTGGAGAAATCCTTTCCACACTTGAGTTCGCTAGAACAGGAACCTTTAATTTTCTCTGATTGCCTTGGCCGGGTCTGGTGGTTGAAAGGTGTGCCTATTTGTCTGCGATTTGTGTTTGTCTCGAATTCTGAAAAGAGGACGATAAAGAGGCCTAGATTCCATGTTTTTGAATTTTTATGAAAACTTTGAAACGCAGTTTTGGTGGAGTCTAAATCACATCCACAAGCATCCACAAGCCTAGATGTTGCTCCAGCATTTGCTTGGTCCATCACACCCCAAAAAATTGGCAACTGGTGCCATATTGGGTTTTGGTGGGTATTGGTATGGCGTTTGGCTGTGCAGCTTGATGGTACGTACGCATTCTGTTTAGCAGATACACTGACTACATGTTGATGGTAAGGAATCTACCGCCAGGGCCTAGCATGGTTTAGCACTACATAACTTTAGGGAGTTGCCACCTTTAAAGTGAGACGACTTGAAATGTGTGTGCTTGCATACCCTTTCTTCATTCCAAAACATGCAAAAATACGCAAACATGTGTTGGCTTTGTGTTTTATTTTTACCCTTGCATTCATCCTTGCATTTAAGATTGCATTCACATCCATAAACCTTTCAATTGCCATTCCAGGTTTCCAAGCATGATACACCACTAGAATCCACTAGAGAGTAGTATCAAACTCCTAGAGCATGATTTGGAAGTTGCAGTGCAACCGACATGACAAAGCCCATCAAAGCCCAGTGCCCAGTCAATTATCTAAGCAGGTTGACCATAACATTGGCTGCCCGAGGAGTTGTTCCTTGGGATTTGGGCTTACGACTTTATTTTCTATTGGTTTCCGGGTTGCAGACAGCGGATGACTGTGGGAGGTTCAGCCGCTCAGTGGGATGGTACGTTCTTTTTTTCAAAGAGCATTTGCATGGCAGTCATTTGCCTGCCTCCAAAGCCATTGCAACACCAGTGACTTTGAGGGATAGGCATACGTGGTTTGGAAAAGATGATGCTCAGGAGTCATTGCGTGTAATGCCATTGGCCTACATGGGATGCACATAGTTTTGTCCTCGTGTCCATCTAGCGGAAACTTCACGCCTGGTTAAAAATGAGTTTACCTGAAAGGATACTCATGGTGAAATTATTTGGACCCTCCGGTTGGACACTTTTCAATTTGAACGTCCTTGGTTGAAGAGATTACCGCTGTCAACATGTGAGTAACCGACAAAATTATTGTAATACAAATTTAGTCTTGCTTCGCCTTGGCCTTTCCGGGTTGCACAAAACCTTCATAACCGATAGGGGATGACCCTATACCGATACCCCATTTGCGATACCTCCGGGAATACTGAAATCCTCACAACCGATAGGGGACGACCCTAGTTTGTGCATGGCATCAATTTAAGATATAACTTTGTCCGCTGTGTGTGTTTTTCATCACTTGGCCGCGACAATGAGCAGAGGCTGCACTTGGCCATGCATCGCTTTCCACATCGGTGGCACAAACATGAGATTCATCACGAACTCAAGGCCAGCTGCATGCACTATGGGAGTTTGCCATGAGACCTACAGTAGCTTAAAATTTGACACTACATGACATGTTTCTCAAAGTTTCTTGGACTTTGGAACTGGAGCCACCAAGATGGTAGATGTACAACTGGACGTCCTTTAAAACCCTGTGAAAGCGTCTCACACCCAGTTTAGTTCGAGAGAACTGGAATGAAATCAAAGCATATCAAAGCATTAGGGAGGTGCAGATAGTTGTGTTATGTTGTGTTACATTTCTTACTTTTGGACATTTTTGTCTTTTAGTCTTTGAACTCCGAATGCTTTTTTAGTGGCCTCCAACTCTGCGCCAGGTGCATCCAGTGTGTGGCACAAATTTTCTGTCGGCAGAGTTGGTGGTGAACCAATCGTTGGAAGACGGCACGATGCAGGTGCGACCCGGTGCAATCCGGTGAGACCAGCCTTTCCCAGTGGGATTTGATAGGATTTGTATGCCTGCATCCATTCATGCATATTGTCAATGGGAATTTCAGGAACCTAGATTGGAGGTACCTACCATATATAAGGCCTATATAAGGCCTATGTAAGAGAATATCCCCACAAAATATGGCCTTATATGGTACAGTACCTCCATTTTAGGATCCTGAAATTCCCATTGAAATTATGATATATATTTGTCTGTGTACTGGAGATTTCTGATGACATTTCTTTTGGAGCACGCATTGTGCTGTGGGAAGACAGCCTATGGGAGATTTGTTATAGTTTTGTGTTTTGTCCCAAAGACCAGCTTTCTGTTGTGGAAGCGTTGAAATCTGGTCCAGTATGTTGTTTTTGAAGAACCAGAAATCGATTTTCATTTGAACAACATGTGGCTTGGGTGGACTTTGCTGTGAAATAGAGTAGCACCTTCAACTGTGATTGCCTCAGTGTTGCTTCTCCATCTTGCCAGGTGCTAGTGAACATGTTGGTTCAGAATATGCCCCTCTACTGGGGCTTGCCGAAGCACAAGCTGAGCCGACTTCTCCACAACATCTTGGTGACCTACCTCCTCTCAGAAGCACACTCTGGCTTGGATCTGCCATGGTCCATGCATCGCCTGTGCCCCAGACTTCTTGGAGGTGCCTATCGCCATGAGTATCATCATCACAGGACAGCTACAGATGCTACAGTTCAGTTCCCTTCCCTCGTGTGATATTGGATGTATTTGGCAGCACAACTGTAGCTCAGTACCTCATAATTGGGGAGATTTCCATAGAACCATCTCTCCAATTCAAAGCTCATCCCAGCATGTTGACAGGAGGGATTGCTGCTTCCACCAGTTCTTTTGCTACCTGGACGACTTCTTCGGTTATGTGCCCCCCAAAACCACAGATTGATTTGGGTCCTCGCCTGATTTGCCACTTCGCCCAGCGCTGACAAAGTCAACTGGGAAGGTGTTCGAGAACATGGCTCAGTGGCCAAGTTTGATTCCTTAGACAGCATGTTTGGGACTCCTAAGTTTGCCTAGAGGTCTAGATTCACAGTGAAATTCATATCCAAAGTATGGAGTGTAAATTTACAACAACTTTACATACAGTACATATCCATACATATCCATACATTGCAATATAAAAAGCATTTGCAGTATTTCCAAAGGTTGATCTGATTCTTGACGCTCACTCGAGCCACCGTGGAGCCATCGTACTGCGAGGCTGTCGCATACAACTGGAGATGGATTCTGTGATGAAAGGATACTCATGGCAAGTGTATCCGCTTGTATCTTGTACAGTAAAAAATCAGCATGATGAGGATCGTTATCTGCTGACATTGCAGGTAAGCATAGCTGCTTCTGCATCAACTTGGGCTCTTCATGGCGCCATGGCGCGTCCTTGTCTGTGCACCGTGCAAAAAATGTCGTGAATCGGGAGTAGATAAATGATATAAATGCAGCTGAATCAGAATTTGTGAGGCACACAGCTGAGCCCATAAAAAGGGCATTTCTACATGTTGATACAGCGGCTGGGCGGCTCTTCAGAGTCCTCTCAAGCTGCAGATCGACCCTCGACCCAGGTGCCAAGTAGAATTGTCAGTTCCCATAATGTATATCTATAGAACAAATTTATGCATGGGCATTTAGATATAAGATATAATAAGTTATACTCTACTATATAATATGTTACAAACACATGCTAATATAATCTATACAGATAATGTGCTTATTTGGGCAACAAAAACATGTTTTGAGTATGTGAACGTTTGATAAGGCTCCTAATCAGAACACGTGCATCGTGCCTTCGGTGGCCAGTAGCCTTGTAGAAGACTCCAGCGGCTTGCGAGCTCTGCAATGGTAAGTATATTATACGTAAGTATTAGATAGTCACACACTGGTGATCACCACCATAAATCAAACACAATTTCCATTGAAAACTCCTGGAGTTGTCACATTGACATGACACCCACCCAAAGAGAGGCAGCCAATGGCGTCGTGACGCCGGTGAAGGTATCCTCCTTGAGGTGGGTGGCTGTGCATGGGATTCTCCATAACGTCCTGGAATCAATACTCTTCTGTAGACTCTAGAAATTACTATATCAAGATCGCAGATGATGGTTAACATCCTGGAAGATTGGTTAAAATATGTTAAAATCAACATCCTGGATAATACCAATCATATCCCATCATTACTATTATCATATATGGTAAAGATGAACAAGATGACGAACATCTAGAAGCAATCGACCTTCTGGTCCCAACTGTTTCTTGAGATATTCGAGGAATACAGATGTAGCCGCCCGCCATCATCCTGGGAAGGAAGCGAGTGAAGGAGCATTTCCCAAGTACATGTTTCATGTTTAACACAGAAAACTTGATCTGGTGGATACGAGCCACAAGCGTATACACTTGCTGTCTCTTGCACATGGAAGAGGCACATTTCAAAAACTGCTCAGGTCCGTGGTCAGTTGTTCACTTGTTCAGTGTCTCTTTTTTTGGGGTTGCCTGGTGGTTACCCTCTGGTAAACATTTACATCACTATGGAAAATCACCATGCTATCCATGGGAAAAAATCCACTATTTCTATGGGCTATGTTCTATAGCTATGTACCAAATTACCTACTGTATTAAAAATGGCCCATTGATAGTGGATTTTCCCATTAAAAATGGTGATTTTCTATAGCCCAGAGGGTACCTGCTGGTTTCAGGCCGTGCCACGGCGTCCCATGGAGGTGCCCTTGAACAGTTCTGTGGCAGACACCACGACACCATAAATTTGAGACCCTACTGTAGGTATGTGCGCGGTTAGCAGCACCCTGCTTGACTGCAACATAAAAGGCATTTTATAGGCATTTTTATATGATTTATATTAACGTTTATTAATATCATGTAATATGATATTGTTAGATGACTTGTGAAGGGTGGAATATTCCTGAAGTCTCACGAACCATGGCAGTTTTCGGCTCAGTAGCTGTAGCGATTTGTAAATCAGCATTCCTGTCGACTCTTCCAGAAATGGGCTGTGTCGAAAGTGAACAAGCTGCTGAACCCAAGTGTGTCTCTGGCACAGAAAAGGAACAAAGTTCGATCGTGATACCATCTGCTGATGTACCCAGAAAAGGTGGACGGGTTGGAAAGAGAAGAACGAGCAAAGATGAAGGCATCTCAAGCAGTGACTGGCTTGGCCTAGCGTTGGTGCACAGAACGCTGTGAGTGCAGCTCAGGGTAAGTTCAAATACCTGACATCTCTTGGTGGTCAGGTAGAGGTTGTGACCAAGACTGGCCCTGGTTTTCTTCGTTGAAACAAGCCCAGTCCACTTTGAGTGGCAGACCTGTCTGCACTAGTCTGTTCGCAGCCGTTGGTAGATAGACTTGTTCCGTTCCATGCACTTGCTTCTCTGTGACATGTGCAGTTCTATACAGTTGATGGAAGTGCAAGAATCAAGAGACTGAGCAAATATTTAAAGTCAAATTGGCACTTGGCCAAAAGAACGTTTTGCCTTGCTGGTGCTCAATGCGAGTGTACGAGGGCGATCTGAAATTGCTTCGCCAGTTTCACTCCTTTTGGACGCTGTCCGCGGGTGAAATCCAAACTAAAGAATCGGAGCAAGTCACGGCAAGCCATCCTTCAAGAGAACATGTAAGATCATGTAAGCAAGAGCATGAGTTAAAATCAGGCTTGCAGCGATGCTGAAAGTATGACGTGGTGTTGTTTCCTCCATATAAGTGGAAACTTGAGAAGATAGAGTCACCATTCTGGTAAAACATGTTTTTAGGTGCACATGTTGAGTGTGTGGTTTTCTTTGTTTGATGTCTCTTTCTGATTAAAAAATATATATATATATAAATTCACTCGATTGCTCGCAATTAAGCACCACCAAGACATGTGCCAATTGGGCACCTAGAGGCAAAGTTTAGGCAAGATTTGGTGCCAGTTTGAACTGTACAGATTTTTACTTGGATTTGCCAAATGATCCATACCAGTCCTTTGTCCATGGCAACAGAAATTCATAGTACGTAGTTCAGCTTCAGGATCGTTCCCCCGGCAACGTAGATCCAAGTGACGCTTCGCGAGGAAGTGTACAGACTCGGCATTTGCAATGCACAGAAGAGATAGACGTTGGGATGCCAAACAACTCTGCGCAAAAACCTTCAAATGATGAAAAAAGTAAAGACTGCGGACAATTGATGCTGGACATCCATGGACATTGGACATCTTTGGCATGCACCAACAATTGATCCAGATGAACACACCAATCTGAATTGTATGTTCCTGATTCTGGGCATACCAAGCATAGGAACGAGCTTTGATCCACAGCACTGACCAAAGTCAGTATGGTCTTGAGAACTTGGAGAAGCTAGTAGGCTCGCTTTGCCAAATACAAGAATGCCATCATGAAAATATGAGAACCATCTCATATGTTTGTTCATCCCTGCCAAGCAAGGTTGATTCTTGAGTCACATGCCAAATCCATCTGCAACGCCACGCAAATTCCTATTGTATTATACGTATACTAATATATTATATTATATACTAATATAATATAATATAATAATAATATACTATTTTATATATTATATTTATTATTATATTATTATGTGTTTATATATATATATATGTAGTGTTCGCAGATTAGGAACCTCTGCGAACCTATTGCTTCGCCGATTTATAACCCATTGTTCTTGCAGTTTTTTTCCGTTAGACGTCCGGGTTCCTGGAGGGGCCCTGGCGCCAGGTTCTTCAGCTCTTCTGCTTGGCAAGACGGTGGAGCCTGGGGAACCCAGTTGCCAGTGGACAATTCGGAACGGTGCGAACTGGTTCTGTTTGGGAATTGATGCTGTGTTTGCATGTCTTATATTTATTTCGAGTGCCGGGGCGATTTATGGAAATTTAAAGATACAATTACATGAGATGAGCAGGGAAGAATGAGGTTGTACAGTAGTGGTTCGGCTTGTTGATGCTCTGACTGGCACACGCATTTGTTTCCGTCAGCCAGCTGAAGTGAGCCTAAGTGATGGATGGGAACCAGTTTGGGGGTTCAACACTTCTGAAAGAATGAGGGCACATTCCAGACCACCATTAAGGAGTTTCCTGGCCGTGGGCGCTGGATGTCAGCTGGGGTTCCAGGTATTGAGCCAACAGCTCGGCTCTACCGGACTGCCCTTGGAGGGTTGTACCACTCAAGCTCTGGACGTTTCTGGGTTGGGAGCTTGGTGAAATGGCAAATTGCAGAGGTGTGACCCCACTATGAGACTGTTGAAACAAGGTGTTGCTGAATGACGTTCTAAGTTCATTCGAGTGGCTTTGGTCACAAGTCGAAGAACAACGACATTTTGATAATTTACTCATTATTACATTATTAAATTATTGTTTTCCAGCATGGATTAAATGAGTTGAGTTGGTACTGTAAGATGTTTTGGATACAATCGATCGCAAGCGATTGCCCTGTGGCTGCCTCAAATATCCTCAAATATCCTCAAACTGATCTATTCAAGATGCACTGTATACAAGGTCAGATTCTGATCTTCCGTTCCAAAAATGTTCAGAACACCTTCTGGATGTTTGGTGCACAATTCCGAAGTACATTGGCCTAATCCTTGTGCCACTGGCAGTGAGCCGCACCTTGGGAGAAACAAAACTGGCAGTAAGTCATGAAAGTTTTGATATGTTTTTATATGGAGACTTCAGCGTGACAGAAAGGAACTGGAACTCGCTCCGCATATTTCCGCAAGCGGAGGGTCCCTCCCCCTGCAAGAGACTCCTTCAGTGACTTCTCGAAAGCCTGAGGCTGACAGGTTGAATTCATTGCAACTCTAGAAGATTCCAAGATAGAGTTGAAATATGAGTTGATTTATGCGGTGAATCAGCCTTGATTACGTGTGGGGAGTGAGGATGCCCGACTGTATAGGTGCCCCCTGATCTTATCAAACTGTTTGAAT